AAGTTTTGCAGGCTTCTATATTATTATGAGATAGGCTTCCATACAAGACAGGTATTTCGATGTATGCCAACACTAAGTTAAAACCAGGCGTATGTGCTGACAATGTATCTTGAAAATCAGGCTTCTATTCAAAACAGGCGTTAATACAAGACACTATAATTATACCTGCGTACGCGTGTTGCTATGAATAATATAACAATGATATAGCAACATGCGCCATAGGCTAGCTACAGTCATGCACCTTCATTCTATACCCAGTGTGTGTTGGCCAGGAAGCAGTATGTACAGGTACTGGCGGTGAAAGCCAACACTAACGGCAAGTGTTAGTGAAATGGGTGATGGGCAATGCTGACAGAATTAGAGAGAGAGAGAGTTCTGTTTACAATTGAACTTACCGGCTTCTCTCCGTTGGACGAGCTACGTACAAAGCAGCAGACGGAAACCACAGGGAGTAAAACAACGATTATAGTAAATGACAGCATCTCACTTTCTCATAAACTTATCTCTTATTGGCGATGGTGCCATCGTGAGAATAAAGAATTCAAACTCAACAGCTGGCCCTGGGTGCAACACATAATACGCATCCTCCTTATTGCATTACACAGATGAGTGGGCCATGTGTGTAACTCAGCAAAGCACCCTGCACAATGACTATGTGCACGTACTACATGCAGTATTAGAACAAGGCAGATGAGTAACTTCTGCCATAAAGCCTTCTAACGGCACTGGTTCGACAGTTACTTCTGCTCTAGCTTGATCAGGATTGGTATGGAGATAACAAGGAGAAAACATCCAGGTATTCCGTTGTTGTAAACGGCTCTGGACTGATAAAGAGCGCAGTCAATTGACAAAGCCGTTGCCTTACCCGAGATGGATCCCAGAGAGTCATGCTGTACACTGGCGACCCAGTCTCTATACTCTTGCCTCTGACTGTCCACAAGACCACTCAGCGAGCTCACGCACTGTGTCTCAAACATCTTGGAGGAACAAAAACAAACCAGAAGGAAAAGAAAGGAAAACGACACGTCACTATATGGAAGGAGGGAAAGGCCTGAAGGGGCTACTTGCCAATACTATTGTACTCCCTGAAAAGTGCCCCACACAGAAAGTGAACACTGCCCTACAGGATTGAGAGATGGTTGAACTCCCCCCCCCCCCCTCCCCCCCCCCCCCCCCCCCCCCCCGAGTGGCTATTTAGTATTTAGGCACATACATAGTATCGGTGTGATGATCAACATGGTGATACCAACTAACATCGCATTCAATAGGGTAAGAAAGGATCTTCCAAATTTGAAGTGTTTGTTCTAATTGAGTTTTAAAAGCCCCCGCTTGTACTTTGTAGTTAGCCTTGTAGCTCGAAACGGCAGACACCAGACAAGAAATACAATAATATCTGACAGGTGTGTAGCTGGTCCACCTCTCAGGGAGGGGGCACTTCACCAAAAATATCAGCAGAATTGTACTGATATTGCTCCGTCCAAAACTGGCAATCACATCAGAGGTCAACAGTATCATGATGCATGAGACGATAAGAACACACGTGACCATACAGTTTGACTCAACAAGTGCTATGGCCATGCACCTGCAGGCTGAGCCTACAATACGTTGAAAAATTCGGGAGGGAGGGGGTGGTGCCCCCATACCCATGGGCTACGCTCCTACCTGAACAAGCAATAAATACTAGTGCTGAAACGAGTACACCGAGTACTCGAGTACCCGCTCGTTGAGTACTCGACTCGATATCAAAAAAGGACTCGATAATCGATAAAAAAAATTTTAAAAAAACTTGATAGCGACGAACACGTCCGCGGATCCGGTACACACACGCGTATAGTGTCTCCTCAAGGCCTCACCTACAAGTTTTTCTACACTCGTACTGAGTACTGTACTCGTCTACTGCAATGTCTGTAGTGCCGGTACATGTGCCTGTACTAGGCTGTAGCAAAAGTCGAACAGGAAGCGTATACGCATTGCGCATGTACTAGTAGCTAGGCTCGGACCTATTTTGAATATTTCTCTCGCTTTTCTGTTTACTGACATTTATTGAATATGCGCATGTGTGCTTATAGAGTACTCGATACTCGACTCGATAGCTTATAGAGTACTCGTTTCAGCACTACTAAATTAAATACTCATCACTGATGTGTGAGTTACGGTATGTCTTATTTTCCGGAGTGAAAGCCGCATTTTAAACACTAATAATTCGCCAAAAACAGTCAGTGCCCCCCCCCCCCCCCCACACACACACAAAGTCAGTGCGGCTTATACTACGATGGTCCAATTAAACGATGATAAACAGGGTAGATGTCTGTATTTCGTGACCAAAAAACTCCGGTTACGGCTTATACTCCAGTGCGGCTTACACTCCGGAAAATACGGTAATCGCATATTGACTACGATCTCGCAAAGCACACCCAATGCATGAGCAATGACATAGTAGGTTTACCTCGGTTTCTTCAAAGTGCTTTGATGTCAAGCGATTGATGTCTTGATCTGTCACTTTCGTCCCCAGATGGGCAACTGCCCTTTCCACTTCAGCTGAGTGCCTAACATAGCAAACAAGGAATACCCGAGAGCTTTTCTATAGTGTTGGAAACATCTGCTCAGAATATGTTGCCTGACGAAATAAAACAAAACGAAAAACAACAGATCACATGGAAACGAGTTATGAAGCACCTATCCACGACTGTAACAAGATAATAAGCAGTCAGTCGTGGATGGTTGCTTCATAACTCGTTTCCATGTGATTTCTAATATTTTATATTTACTGGCTCAGGATCCGGGTTGAAAAACAACAACAGCAACAACAGCAACAACAACAACATGTGAGAATAAAGATTTGAAACAACAACAACAACAACAACAACAACAACAACAACAACAACAACAACAACAACAACAACAACAACAACAACAACAACAACACCAACACCAACACCAACAAAAACAACAACAACAACAACAACAACAACAACAACAACAACAACAACAACAACAACAACAACAACAACAACAACAACAACAACAACAACAACAACAACAACAACAACAACAACAACAACAAAACTGACTTCTTTTTATTAGAAGAAGTAACAACAGATATTTTCCTGATGGGGTTCAATTGCTTGTGTGTGTGTGTGTGTGTGTGTGTGTGTGTGTGTGTGTGTGTGTGTGTGTGTGTGTGTGTGTGTGTGTGTGCGTTCCGTTTGCCCCACCATCTCCGGCGTCATCAGGCTGCGTGCTCCATCTTCCTCTCTGATGCCCCTCCGGGGCCCACGTGACCCCTCTGGCAGTGGCTCTACAGGACAGGACAGGACAGGTGTGTGTGTGTGTGTGTGTGTGTGCGTGTGTCGTAACGAAGCCGTTCCAATGCCCGGTATGCCACCGTAGCTTTCGTTGACGGCAGGATGAGAGTCGCCACAAATGTAACGCGACAAGACACTCCCGTCGAGCGCCCTGATGGACAGCACAAATCCGAGTCTGCCCCTTTGGGGTCACATAGCCGGACACGGCAGTGGTACAAGGAAGGAAGGAAGGAAGGTGTGTGTGTGTGTGTGTGTGTGTGTGTGTGTGCTGTGTGTTGTGTGTGTTGTGTATGTGTTGTGTGTGTTGTGTGTGTGTGTGTGTGTGTGTGTGTGTGTGTGTGTGTGTGTGTGTGTGTGTGTGGTGGTGGTGGTGGTGGTGGTGTGTGTGTGTGTGTGTGTGTGTGGTGTGTGTGTGGTGTGTGTGTGGTGTGTGTGGTGTGTGTGTGTGTGTGTGTGTGTGTGTGTGTGTGTGTGTGTGTGTGTGTGTGTGTGTGTGTGGACATCACTGCTCGGATTGCGCATGCCTCTCGTGCTTGTGGCGCCTTGCAAGGAACCATCTTCAGCAATCCTGACCTTGATTTGCATATCAAGAGGTGTGTGTTTAATGCATGTGTGCTGTCGCTCCTCCTCTATGGGTCAGAGTGTTGGACACCATTGCAACACGATCTCCAACGTTTGTCAGTCTTTCATATGCGGTGCATCCGTTCCATCTTGGGTGTGTCCCGCAGAGATTGCTGGAATAATCACACGACCAACGCCCAACTGTTGGAGATGTGGGGTGACACTGATACCATCTGCGTGAAGGTCGCACAGCGTCGCCTAGAGTGGCTGGGCCATGTTGCCCAAATGGACAGTAGCCGGATAGCGAGACAGATTCTGTTTGGCTCACTTCCCACACGCCGCCCAGCACATGGCCCTCGCAAGCGCTGGAAGGATTGCGTTGTCTCCGACCTAAGAGTTCGTGGCCTCACCAAGGAATGGTACCCTATCACCTGTGAGTCCCGCGCTGACTGGCGGACTATGTACGCCGAGCCTGTGGAGAATGTGCCTCAGCCTGACCCAGTGGTATGTGCGGATTGCAATCGGTCATTCTCGCGCCCTGGAGATCGTGCTCGCCACAAATGTGTGGTTGAGCGGGCAAAGCCGATTGCTGAGCAGCGAGGGGCTTGCCACTGTGGAGATTGTGGGCGTTGGTTTCGCAGTAAGGGTGGTCTAGCTGTTCACCGCTGTTCCGCACCTCAGCCCCAGCCTCCCGAGCCCCGGCAAGTCTATGTGCAGGATGCCTGCTGTGCTGCGCACTGTGCTGTGTGTGCCCGCTGCTTTCGGTCTGTGTAAGGCCGCGGTCGTCACCGGTGCTCGAGGACTGGCCCGCGCCCGACTGCCCAGCAGCGTAATTCGTTCAGCCATGTATGCGTGTGTTCTCGCCGGTTCCGTTTGCCCCACCATCTCCGGCGTCATCAGGCTGCGTGCTCCATCTTCCTCTCTGATGCCCCTCCGGGGCCCACGTGACCCCTGTGGCAGTGGCTCTACAGGACAGAACAGGACAGGTGTGTGTGTGTGGGGGGGGGGGGGGGGGTGTGTGTGTGTATGTGTGTGTGTGTGTGTGTGTGTGTGTGTGTGTGTGTGGTGTGTTGTGTGTGTGTGTGGTGATGGTGGTGGTGGTGTGTGTATGTGTGTGTGTGTGTATGTGTGTGTATGTGTGTGTGTGTGTGTGTGTGTGTGTGTGTGTGTGTGTGTGTGTGTGTGTGTGTGTGTGTGTGTGTGTGGTGTGTGTGTAGTGTGTGTGTGTGTGTGTGTGTGTGTGTGTGTGTGTGTGTGTGTGTGTGTGTGTGTGTGTGTGTGTGTGTGTGTGTGTGTGTGTGTGTGTGTGTTGTGTGTGTGTGTGTGTCTCACCCTCACCTCTCTTGCATCTTTGCCCTGGATCTTTCCATTTCGATGATCTCTTGCTCAACGTTTGATGCGTACGAGTGTTCCAACTGCAGCAGAGTATTCAGTGCTGGCGAGTGAATAAGTGAGTAGTACACTTGGGCAAATGCTGCCTCTTCACTTTGTTCAACACTGCCAGAACAAGCAGCATGTTCTGCAACATACTTGGCTACCCACTCGTCTTCTATGCTTCCAAGATTGTTTGCTTTTTTCCCACTTGCTAACGCGTCCAGCATTTTCTCCGACTCCTCATCTTGAATCTGCTGGGTCTCCTTCTTCACGAATAACAACAGCTGCTCTTCAAGACTCGACTTCACATACGCAGGTAACTTGTGTGCCAGCATCAGCCTTTCCATGAAATCGCGTTTCTGACCACCAAATGGCAGTTGAATGGGAACGCTGAGTGATTTCTCCCTGTTTTCATCTCGAAAGGAGAACTCAAACGTTTTGGTGACAGCCATTTGGTGAAATTGTCTGGAAAATTCAAATTCAATTGGATAATCTGGTTATCATAAAAGGGTGCTGGGTGTTGGAAAATAATTGGTCACGAAAAAAATTGGTAACGAAGTAAACAGTGAACTCGAGTGCACAGGATATGACGCTGCTGAGATCACTTCACACTACAGGGCCTAGGGACAGGATCATTATGGTGGGGAGAGCAAAGTAATAATATTCTCTCCACTTGACTCCAGGCTATTATGTATTATTTTCAAAATAATTCTTCAAACTCAGGCCACGACATGATTGATGACATGACAGTCGACGTGCTAGTATAGTACTTAGTAGTGGCAACTGTGTGCTTCTATTCTGCATCATGCAGAGATTGCAGAGTGCAGACACATGCATGTGACATGATTGATCGCGATGATCACGATCAGCCGACTCAATGATGTCACCGATCCCTGATCTTTTTCACGTGACCAAACAGGAGTACAGCTGTACCGCATAATTTTACTACTCTCGTACTTCCATCATGCATGCACCAACAAAAGCGCCCTCAATCTTGACGCAAATTTTCAAGTGAAGTGTGTCCAGCCCGCCCGGATATCAGATCCGGATATCCTCCTCCATCCTCCTCAGTATTCTCAGTATTCAAGACTTGAAAGATGTCAGGAGACAAAATTAACGTGTTTCCTTCTCGAATGGCCTTGCAGATCATGAAAGTACGGCTCAAAGGAGCGCAGAAAGGGCACAGCCTACTAAAAAAGAAGGCTGATGCCCTGACATTGCGGTTCCGGCAGATTTTAGGAAAGATTATTTCGACGAAAATGGTGATGGGCGAAACTCTAAAGGAGGCAATGTTCTCGCTATCTGGAGCTGTCTATGCTGCTGGTGACATTGGACCCGTTGTCATGCAGAATGTGGATAAAGCTCAAACAAAAGTTCGCTCCAAGAAGGACAATGTAGCTGGTGTAACCCTTCCAGTATTTGAAGCCTACACTGATGGCTCAGACACGTTCCAGTGGACTGGACTGTCCAGAGGAGGTCAGCAGGTAGCACGATGCAAGGAGTTCTTTTCCAAGGCAGTGACCTTGATGGTGGAGCTAGCATCACTACAGACAAGTTTTGTCACGTTAGATGAGGTGATAAAGATCACGAACCGCCGAGTAAACGCTATTGAGCATGTCATCATTCCACGCATTGAGCGTACAATTGCGTATATCGCCACGGAGCTCGACGAGCGGGAGCGCGAAGAGTTCTTCCGCTTGAAGAAGATTCAGGAGAAGAAGAAGGAAGTACGGGCAAAGAAGGCGGCGGCGCAGGCTTTGCTGAATGCCACCGACGGTGGTAATCGGGAAGCACCGAATTTGCTGGCGTCAGGAGTGGACGAGGATATTTTATTCACATAGCACCATTGCTGTAACTGTGAGTTCAATGGTTAGCCCTTTGCGGTTCGTTTTATAGGATCCCCCACCCGTCACTACCATGCGCTCTTAGACGAGCCAATGCACGAAGCATGAACTCACCAGCTCAGCACGTACACTTCCGTTGGCAGATAGTTTCTTTACGTCTCTAGACAGCTGTTTCACTCCTTTGAGCTCATCAGTAGAGGATTTCGAATGATAATGATCTGTCAACGGAAGTGTCGTTGCTGGGCTGGTGTGTTTATGTAGCATCTGTGACGGGGATGTGGCTGTAGCCTGATTACAAGGACTTACGCCAGCACGTGTCTCATGAACAGAATACAGTCGAATGTCACTTATCCGACCACTTCGGGAATCAGGCATGTTGGATAACTGATATCATTTTTTATGTGCATATATGGCTGGATTTCACTGATTTATGTACACAATACCCAATAATACCCAAATATATTCATGCATATTCATGAATTGCTCCATGTACACATACATGTTAGCATACTTGACCACATCTACTTCAAGTAAATGCATATTACACCGTATAAGGCCACACGTTTTTATTTCTATGTTTCTCGTCACCCGCGCGCATACGATTCAGGAGTCTGGAGGAAAAAAAGAAAAAAATGTGCTGCACTGACTGTGCATGTGGGGACCAGCACACTCATGCACATGTACATACTGTGGCCTGGCCTGTGCGACACATGATGCGAGGTCGCCATTTTTTGTGCGCAATCTAGCTGCACATGCACAGATTGTGACAGAAGCTCGTACCACGTACTAGTTGTTAACTATGGATGCTATTTTGCATGGTGTATTGGTGGATTTTAGTGTGAACAAAGGTCTAATAAACTTTTTTTTATTTTTCGGTCATTTTTTTCCACCTCTCGCATACGTTTTTAGATTTTCAGGTGACGAGAAACATAGAAATAAAAACGTGTGGCCTAATACAAAAAAACTTTTTTAAGAATTTTACTGTTGAGAGTCATAAAATTACCACTCCCGGGCTTGTCGGATAACCGACGTGCTCGGATAACTGGCGACCGGATAAGTGACATTCGACTGTCCTAGCGTGAGGAAAAGTTACCTTCTTTTGCAGTAAACTCGACTATTAACTTTCCTCAGGACGCAGAAATACATGCCTACTCTTGGTTCACAAATTCTCTATGACTATCTATAATAAATAATAAAATAAATTTCACGGTTCGCGTGAGACTAAGCTGGAAGCCGAGTTTTCCGCATCCGCCGTGGGAACGCCACCACCCTCTAGGATCAAGGCACATGATGGCTACCAATAGCTATGATAGAATTATCTTACAAATACAAGCACATGCAATAACGGAATGATGGTAAATCAGCAGCTTTTATAGGCAGGCAGCAAAAGGTGCTGCAACAGCAATGGTCAGAGCAACGCGAAGTAGAGAGAAGAATAATGGTCAAAAGTAGACGTGTGGGCAATAGACTGAGTACGGCGTAATATTGCAAGGGGAAATTTTGCATGGGGGTACAGTGGTACAGCAATATTGCATGCGGGTACAGCAGTGCGTTGGTACTATTATAGGTGTGTACAGAAGTGCGATAATGTTGCATGTGGATACTACATTTATGGCTTGTGCATCGGTTTGGCAAAGAGCGCATTGTAGTGACGGGTGGAGCATGTAGTAAGTAGAGGATATAACCCGAGTCAGAGGGTTATACCGGCTGAATATAAATCCCGACTGCGATAGCAGGAGGGATTTATATGAGGGTACGGTATAACCCGACTACGAGGGTCATATCCTACTTATGCCAGGTACCCCTACGCATTTCGAGAACAACGAACCTACTTGGAGATCTCCTACATCATACAGTACGTGAACATGTTCTGCTGGTTATCAGTTGTCAATTGAAAGAATGGTCGAGCAAGGTCAGAAGGAGATTCCTCCGGGGATGTTTGGCATAAGATTTCTTTTCAGTTCCAGTGCATATTGTAGCATATTGTCTCGTGAGCGGTGCGGAAGTCAACTGAATTGCTGGGTTGCTGGAGTTGTCGTTGAATCAAACTACCGTCACTAGTTAGACTACAGTACAGTTTGGACTCTTTGGGAGTATTATCATGATTATGGTACAGTGCTGATTTTCACATGCGGCATCTTATAATCAGTTTTGCTTACTTGCAAGTAGATGCATTTGCATACACTGTTTTGTATCACTGTATCACATTTCAATCCATTCTAGCGTTTTCCAATCGGTTTAGGTGGATTTGAAGTACACTCGGTATCATAAACTTAGTTACGAAGGAGCCAGTCTGTTGATGATCTTCAACTATTCGCGAAGTACAATGTACATTGCTGATCCATTCGGGATACTTCGTGGTTATTTGACGTTCTTTATCCTCAGTTTCAGCATAATAGAATACTCTGTAGACGAATTCCAGGTCATTCTTCTTTTCCATTGTGTACTGTTCCTCGTCAGCAATGCCGTTCTGTGCGGAGTGTACACGTGCATGTGGTGTATGTTGTGCACATGTGTCTGTTGTGTCCGTCCGCTGGAGTACTGCCGTCTTACAAGTTCACTGCCTTTCAGGCAGTGAACTTGTACGGTGGCAGTGCCCTAGCGTACGTACCATGCAGCGGGATTTATACTGGCCAATATAACCATGGCTAGACGAGCGCTGATTGGCTGAAAACAGACCCTCCGCACCGTACCATGGTATAAAGTGGAGTACGGCCGAAAGCTCTGTCGCAATATTCTCAATTCTCCGTACTATGGTGCAGGCTTTGGGATATACATTGTACATGTACAGGTCAACCATCGCTAGTTTGACATCGGGAACAAGACAAACCTCATAAGTAGACAACGATCCAAAATCCCCTGACGCCTGAAAATGCATTTAATTAACAGTCGTACATGCAAGTCCGGATAGCAGACATTGACAACACTTGAGTCTTGTTTGAAGCCCCTGGCGCTGTCTACTTGTGAGGGTAGACCTGTACAAGGACTTGGCTTCGTTCTACTTGCAGCGGAAAGAGCCCTAGATAGCGAAAATCAACACAATCATATCTTAAATTGTGCTGGAAATGGTGGAGTGAAGTGCAATTGCATATTTCCGCAAGTTCATTAGCACCTCAAAGGGCTAAATTGTGCAGCTGTGCTCCTTTGTATGAAGCTACTCAGTATAGCTAAGTATTACTTTGTAAGGGCTACCACCAGTAAGATTCACTCATAGTAGCTGTTTTTTTGTGTTGTTTGTTTTTGTATTACTGAAGGGACGCTATCCGTCATTCATCCCTCTTTTCTGGGTGTTACCCCAGCTCCTCAACCATCTTCTGATCCGCATGTATTTTGTGAAGCATGTAACTCAAGCAGTAGGTATATATATTTTTTAATGCTTTTCTTCTTCTCATTCTCAGTGTCACCCAATCAGTGGCACTATGATCTTCTATCTGTGGAGTTTTCATGCCGATGAACAATAAGCAGTCTGACAGTCAACAACTGTATGTAGTGAAAATGTAGTGAAAATATAAATAGCTTCCAGCACTTTCAGATGGGTGAGGCCATGGACATAAGTAGCATACTCGCACGAATAGTGCTCCTGTCTCAGAGAGCCAATGAAAAATGAAGCTCTCTCTCTCTCTCTCTCTCTCTTAAATCGTGCCCCCCCCCCCCCCCCACCACCACCCGGGCTTGTAACCAAGCGCATGATGGTTCGCTGATGTTCTGGTCAATGTCTTTGCACTGATGGTTTCAGGATCAAAATCACAGTTCTTGTTGCCGTTTCTGTTGAGCTGTGATAGTAGTAGGGAGTAGTAAAATTTACTACATTGTACTTCCTGGTTTACAGTCAACTTTCGGCTCTCTTTTTCTTTGTTGTTGTTTTCCATTTGGATTCGCGGTCCAAACGGGCAAATGTATCCAATGACGGGAAAGCCAATTCTTTGCCTTCTTTGTTTTATGCTAGATGACGTAAATGCACTAGCACTGAAAAAAAATAGTGCCAGGGCAGCCCTCTCTTGAATAGTACCCCATCTGTGATTGATTTTGAAAAAATAGTGCTCCAGGGACACTAATCGTGCGAGCATGCGTACGGTACGTGACCAAACTGATATGTGGCTTTCAGAATACGCACGAGCACAATCAGCATTAGCAATGAGGTGGTTGGCATCACCAAGCAAGCCTGGATAGCCTTCGCATAAGCCAAATGGACAAAAGAAAAGAGGAACGATCCAGGTCAATGAGGTGAACACACGCATGCAACTGCATAAGAGGCTAACGAAGATGACAACACGTTATGAACACTTGCTCTTCTAAAGCAGGCCCGACCAAAACCTCACGCTAAGGGCCGGGTTCCACTGCAGCTCTGCTGCTCGTCTTTCCCGGCTTGAAACGTCATCATTACCATAGGCTTGAGCTGGAGCAGCGACTCGTAACCCTGTCCGGATTATGCGTTTTTTGAAGGGTCAAAATGGAAATGTTTATTTTTTGGAAATTTACCCAAAATGCTAAAAATAATCTTTTAAAAAATTCAAAATTTCACCCAAAATGCAAAAATTATGCTGCCGTTACCATGGCAACCAAAATGGCGTAAAACTTGAATCCCTTGTCGTTCCAAGTGCACGTGGAGGAAGCGCGTGTAAAGGATGTGGTTGTTTTCGATAGTCGAAAGGAATCGATCATTTTGTTTGGTTGTATGCAGGGAGTCGTAAAATACCATTTATTTATTTATTTATTGCAGCATCTCATAGCACAGTGAGAACACCGGCCAATACAAAGAGAGAGGGTGTTAGCCAACCACGGCCAGGAAGGGAGAAGGGGAGGAGAAGAAAAAAGGAACCGGCATGGACAAGTAGTGATTGCAACAAAATGAGAAACACAAAATCAAAGTCAAGGCGCGACAAGGCTCTTAAAGGCGGAGGGAAGAAAGGTCCTTAGCTTCTTGGGGAAGTGCCAGCCACGCAGAGTACGCAGTGAAAAGGGGAGAGTGAAGTAGAAAGGAGGACTTGGGTTTCGGAAGGGAAAGGGAGTTTCTCGTGCTACGGGAAGAAAACCAGTTGAAACAGTGGAGGTGAGGTGGACACAGATTGAGTTTGAGAGAATGGATAAGGTGACAAGATGTGAATTACGTCTCTTAGACAAAGGGGTAGTGTGAGCAAGGGCATAAAGGGTGGAAGATGGGAGCATGCGGGGTTTCCGGAGAAGGATTTTTAGAACTTTTTTGTGCTGAATTTCGAGCTTTTCAGCACGGGTTGTGGAAATTCCAGCCCAAGCAGTATCTGCATAATCAAAAATGGGGCGTATGTAAGCTGAGTAAAAGAGGAGTTTACAAGAGATTGGGAGATGGTAACAGTGAGAAGAGAGGATTCCTAAAGATGAACTTGATCGTTTACATATGTAATCGATGTGGGGTTCCCATGAAAGATTAAAGTCAATGAAAATGCCAAGATGCTTATGGCTGGAGACTATGTCTATAGGCTGGGGGAAAGTGGGATGGAGGAGGGGCGGAACATCAGGCTGAGAAGGAAAGAGCATGATTTTAGTTTTAGACAGATTGGGCGATAACCGCCAAGACGACATCCAGGAAATTACTCTTTGAATCCCGTTAGCTAGGTTACTCATCAGGCCAGTGATGTTACCATAATGGTTATTTTACGACTCCCTGGTTGTATGGCTTCTTCAGAGCCAAGTGCACTCTAGGCTGCCGATGAGCATGCAAAATATGCTAAAAATGTTGAAAAATGCTGAAAAAACCAAAATGCGAAAAAACCTGAAAAAACAAAATGCGAAAAATATGCAAAACATAATCCGGACAGGCCTAGCAGCGAGGCCGCGGCTCACCGCGAGCTTTCGCTACGATTCTTCATCAAAAACTACGAGCCCCGTTTGCTGCGAGCCCTGTTTCCCGTACTTTGCATTGTTTTGTATGTGAGAATTTTAAAATTCAAATTATTTTAATTCGTTGCGCAGGCCAGAACACGAGGATTTTTTTGATTTCGTGCGTGCAGGCAGGTAAAACGTCAGCAAAAAATGCGGAGCCGCAGTGGAACCCGGCGCTTATGAGTGTTACAGTCCATTTCAAAACTATAGACGCGTACCTAGGCAAAAACCGTTATGCCAGCATCTATACCACATAAAATCTGTGATCACTTTGTGCATAAATTTTTCCAAATTGGGCGTCTGTTATCCAATCCTTTAGAAACTATATGAGAGTAATTGTGGAGCGATCCTGAGCAATATTCCGAAAACTATTCTCAAAAAGTTCCAGCCAAATTTGAAATATTTCAAAAACCCTACGCGTCTATAGTTTTGAAATGCACTGTAGGTTGTATCGAAACCAGAGAGTCGAAAAATACTGGGTATTTTTAATACTATTTTACAAGTTGATTTTTTTTAGTTTGACAGTGATTTTCATGATTTTTACATATTTTTGGTATTCCGGGAAAATTTAGGTGTAATGTTAAATTTCACCAGTTGTAGTCTTTGGGGTGCTGAGTCGAATGGTCTTGGTCCGAGAAAGCTGAGACGCTCCCTTCCTACTTTAATCCCAATCGAACTCGCGCACTTCCACCGAAACTGGGTGACTGCGCCCTACTAGATGGGGATTTGTATGCAAAATGTCACTAAAAGCGCTATTTCGTTCTTATAAAAGCACGGATGACCGCGATTGGCCCACGGTTGTAGTCTTTGGACGCTGAGTCGACTGGTTTTGGTCCGAAAAGGCTGCGATGCAGCGTTCGGCCCTTATTCCCAATCGAACATGGTTGAACAAGCGGTCACGTGCTCCTGTGTACACCAGTCACCTGGTCACCGTGCCTGCAGGGTACAACTTACCAGCGTGTTTGACCTTTTTGGGTGCAGTCCTGTCACTCGAGTTGAACTCGAGTTGAACCTTGGTGTGAAAGTTGTCGCCTGCTGGCACGGTGACCAGGTGATTTGGGCCCCCAGGAGCACGTGACCGCTTGTTCAACCATGTTCGATTGGGAATAAAGGAGGAGCGCTGCATCGCAGCCTTTTCGGACCAAAACCAGTCGACTCAGCGTCCAAAAGACTACAACATATGGGCCAATCGCGGTCATCCGTGCTTTTATAAAAACGAAATGGCGCTTTTAGTGACATTTTGCATACAAATCCCCATCTAGTAGGGCGCAGTCACCCAATTTCGGTCGAAGTGCGCAAGTTCGATTGGGCTCAAAGTAGGAAGGGAGCGTCTCAGCTTCCTCGGACCACGACCATTCGACTCAGCACCCCGAAGACTACGACCGGTGAAATTTTGATTTTTGCCTTAACTTCCCCTTTAAATTTTACCGAAATAAAGGTGTTATACAGTACCGGATACACGCGAAAGGGCACACACTTATACTCGAATACATACAAGGGCACCTCCACATATAAAGTATAACGGCATGGGGAAAAAACTCAAGACCCAAGAGTGTATTTTGAAGACTTGAATACAGTCAACTTCGCTAATAACGACTGCGGATATAACGACAATTCGCGAATAACGACAGAATTTCCATGCCCAGAGTAAAGTCGCATCTAACTGTATTTAACTTCGGATACAACGACTATCTGAATAACGACAATTCGCGAATAGCGACATGCTTTTAGTGCCCTGAGGTCATATTCACTGCTTGAATAACGACTTTCTGGGCTTTTGACAGCTATTTCAAGTACCGTACTCGCGCGATTAGTGCCCCTGTGGCACTATTTTTCAATGTCCATCACAGGTGGGGCAGTATTCAAGAGAGGGCACTATTTTTTCATTGCTGGTACATTTGCGTCATCCAGCATAAAACAAAGAAAAACAGAGCCTAAAGTGTACTGTAAACGCTCACGACTCCACAGAAACGGGAACACGACCTGCGATTTCGTTCCTGAAAATACCAGTGCAAAGCAATGGCCAAGATCATTTGCAAAAGAACACCAAACTTGCACATGGGCTTGGTTACAAGACCGGGGGGGGGGGGGGGCACTATTCAAGGGAGGGCTTTATTTTTCACTGGCTCTTGGAGACTAGGGCACTATTCAAGAGAGGGCTCTAATCGCGCGAGTACGGTACCTGTCATGCAGAAGTACCAGAACCCATGGTGATGGATAAAGGCACATAGGGGGGGGGGGGGGGGTGCTATTATTTTTATTTTGCTTCAAAATAGTTGGAATGATCAGCAGAACTACAATGTAGGTATACATGATTGTACAGTAATCATCATGCATGTACATGTACAATGTAGATGGTTCCATAAGGCTAATTTTTCTCAAATCGATTTCCTTTGCATATTGACTTTATAGTTCCTTTCAATTGTAATATAAAAGTAAAGTACACATTGACATAGAGCATGAAAAGAGCTTCATTTTGATATGCATGTCATACTACTGTAAAAGCAGAAATTTTCGGTGGTGTAATATTTTCGGTATTCTCCAAAATCGGCGGTTCGGTAGAGGGAAATTTTCGGTAAAACCCGTCCTCCAGGTAAGTGTACTAGTACTACATGTATACAGTATCGGTTGTACCACAGTTTTCGGTGCGTTTTATTATCGGGAAAAATTGTCGGCACCGAAGTTACCGAAAATTTCTGCTTTTACAGTATACAAAATATGGATTCACATACATTCAAATGGGACTTCGGGTATAAGGACACTTCGCGAATAAGGACACTTTTCTGATGCCCCGCCGAGTGTCATTATTCGCAAAGTTTTTCGCGTATAAGGGCATGCACTTGTAATGTGGGTGAATACGATTAAAGAAACTGAATGGTCTTTAAAGTCCACACGTTTCCTTTTAAAATAACACCCCAACCTGACGTTTTGTAGCTCGTGATAGCCGCCTTCCATAAAGTGCAGCCGTGCCCATTTCATATCGATGTAAGTGCCAATCTTCTGTTACCAAGACTCCATGCGAACTGCAAAGGGGCCATTAGTATCAACGTCCGGCATTCGTTTTGCAATGGCTACTATGCTTGTACATTCATTTCACACAGATCAATGTCTGAGACGAATGCACAAGATAAAAGGTAGAACCTAAGACAATATAACCTGCTTTGGGGCAGCTTTCTAAAAAATGTTATTGTGAGCTTTAGTCCTGCGTTCTTCCCCTACAAACCTTTTGTAGAATTGCCTTCTAAACTTCTTAGGGACCAGCATTACTTATCATACACTGCGGAGTGCCGCGAATTTCAAATTTGACAGTGGGTCCGAAAAGGTACCTAAACTGGGTTCGAACCGCACAATGTACAAGCAAGAGGAGAGAAAACGACCAGGACTTTCCCAATTCAGTGTTTTTGGAGCAAAAAATACGGATGAAGCTTGCGTACCTTGACAAACTATGGAGATTGGGTACAGTAAGCAGAAGTTATGCCTGGAATAATTTCTTTTGTAAAGTAGTGTACATAAAGTAGTATAAGTATAGTAAAGTTTGGACATCCGCGTTACCACCGGCTTACGACTGTGTTGAGAAACACAACCAGCCTTAGAGAGGTTTCGCTCGTGCCAGGCCACCAGCATGCCTGATTATACCATATAGGTACAATATATTGCATTTTCACTTTTCAGTATTCATGTGAATCAGGTCAGACCTTAAAAAAAATGCCGTGACATCCATAGCACCCTAACATGACTGGCAATTCTTGACACAATCCGCACCTAGTACCCCCACAAAATTCGAGATTCATACGAGCAAGCCTTCGCTGGCTTGCAGCGCTGGTCCGGCATATCCTTTGGGATTGTTTTTGGGGTCCACAGTGTTCCTCTCGTCACGAGCATTCCAGGATGCCCAAGATAAACCAAAGTTACGTCCAAGTCAAGGCAACATCTTCAACGGTGCAATTCTCTATTGAGCTCGGATCGTATTAATAAAACGTGCTGGCTGTAAATCTGTCCCAATACTGAGAAAATCACGATCCCACAGCCATGCAAAATCCACGATTTTCAGATGTCATAAAACACAGCATTTTTGACAAAATTCATTGAGAACAATTCCAAAGCGCGAATATTAATGGAACTTTATAATGGGCGCTGGAAGCTGCTGTAGATGTCCGTATGTAGACACATAAGTGCATGCAATGTGTGTGCGGCTAGCTAGGAACCAGGCAACGTGCATGTCCAGGAATAGGGGACCGCGGGGAAAGGTGTGGCTCGATGTGCGTTATCCTACATGTGCGTCTTGTGAGTCTGTGAGCCCTGGTTCTGTGTGAAATTTGAATTTGCAGCCTTCACATTTTTTTAATAATTTCTTTCTCTTTAGTTAAGGCGGGCTCCTAAGATTAGTAAGAAGTATAGAAGACCAATCTACACTGAACGGCCTGTAGGGGAAGAACCCAGGATTATAGCTCACAATAAACTTTTAGAAAGCTGCACTATTTTGCAAAGTAGGACAATAAAAACTAAATCTCTGCTGATCGTACTGCTGTACCCACAGTATGCTCCCTACTGGTTGGGTTTACCAGGCTATCATAATTATCAGTCTATGCTGTAAAGATACACTTGGACCTGCTTTCCCGGAGAGCGACCAAATCAGCCGCCCATAATGATCTTACCTCAGCCCTGCAACTCAATCATGTGAATCTGTGACTAGGTGGAGTTACCGTCAGGCCTTCGACTGTCGACTCATCACCGATGTTCTTTACTGTCCTGTGTCACTCATTATCGACAAACACACTCTGGCACAGACATATTCACTACATTCTATTTCAAAGAAGCGAATTCTTTGCAGGAATACAGCTAACAGTAACAGGCAGATCTACAGTACATGATTGTACGAGTACGACTCGAGTAGCTGATCTACTGCTAATGCATGGTCGCGATCGCAAGCGCTAGCGCATACATGTAGTCTACATGACTGTTTTTTTTATATATAATTTTTTTATCACATTGCACATACATGTACCTACGAAAGAAGCTGTACATAATCATTATGCATGTCGCGCCGAGCTTGCTTTTATTTTGCTCGAATCTGCACAGATTCCGATCATTTGCCTTTGATTTGGAGGACAAGTCACGAGTCGAACCCCACGCCTTATCACGGGCACCGCGTCCGCATTTCCACTACTGACAGTACTGTACATGTACAGTCATGTTACTACTGTATGTACTGTAGGCCACGGATGACGTCTCCGGAGCGTGCGGCCGGGCTGGCCTAGCGCCAATGCTATGCGCTATGGCGCATGCATGGCCGGCTGTGTGGGCATTGACATTTTGATAATCTCCACGTAAATTTTCGAGCGAAGCGAGTGCAATTCCGGAGCTCAGGCGCTAGGCCCTAACCAGCTCTCCTCGGCCGCGTCTGTTGGAACAATCCGATCATTTAGCTTTCTCGTCTCCAGAAACTTGAAAGATGTCGGGCCAAGGAGATAAGATTAACGTGTTTCCATCACGAATGGCATTGCAAATCATGAAAGGACGACTAAAAGGAGCTCAGAAGGGGCATAGTTTGCTGAAGAAGAAAGCTGATGCGCTAACGATGCGGTTCCGCCAGATTCTTGCCAAGATTATCGAGACGAAAACGCTAATGGGAGAAGTGATGAAACAGGCTACTTTCTCTCTGACGGAGGCAGTTTATGCTGCTGGTGACATTGGACCCGTTGTCATGCAGAATGTGGATAAAGCTCAAACAAAAGTTCGCTCCAAGAAGGACAATGTAGCTGGTGTCACCCTTCCAGTATTTGAATCCTACACTGATGGCTCAGACACTTTCCAGTGGACTGGACTTTCCAGAGGAGGTCAGCAAGTAGCACGATGCAAGGAGTTCTTTTCCAAGGCAGTGACCTTGATGGTGGAGCTAGCATCACTACAGACAAGTTTCATCACATTGGATGAAGTCATAAAGATCACAAACCGTCGAGTTAACGCCATTGAGCATGTAATCATTCCACGCATTGAACGGACGATTGCGTACATCACGACAGAGCTTGATGAGCGAGAGCGAGAGGAGTTCTATCGGCTGAAGAAGATCCAGGAGAAGAAGAAGGAAATGCGGGCGAAGAAGGAGGCGGCGCTAGCTTTGCTGAACACCACCGATGGTGGTAGTCGGGAAGCACCCAATTTGCTGGCGTCAGGAGTGGATGAGGACATTTTATTCACATAGCACCACTGCTGTAACCACTGCTGTCTGTTGCATTACTGCATGGGACCTTTTTCTGTCGGTCATTGACTCCTCATCCTTCTCTTCTGGGTACATGTATTGTCCCAGCTCTTCAACCATCTTCTGATCCGTGACATGATGTATTTTGTAAAGTGTGTAACTCACAGAAAAAGTTATTTTAATGTTTTTTTCTCTTTCTTATAAATCATTGTCAATGTCACCCAATCGATATCGTCTCCTATGTGTGGAATTTTCATGCCGATTAACAATCAGGTGTGCATTCCTTGCTATCTAATTTTCCTGCATATTTCATTCCTTACGGCTTTGTTGACTGCTTATATATTTGACTCCTTCCTAGGGATTGAAAAAATGCTTTGGTTTGTCGTGATAAATCTAATATTGACTTCGTACTAGGTCGATGTGTGAAATAAAAACCTGGTCAAAGACCTCGGCTTGACCTCGGTACTGACTACTCGGCTTTCATATTGACCTCCTCGTTCTCAGTCAATATCTAGATACAGTGTACCTGCTGAACACCTGCTTTCAGTGGTTCAAGTTGTAAGAAGCAAGCCCTACTTCAAACTACCGAAAGTCCGTGGAAGCCACTGGGGCTGCCCGGACAAAGGCCTAGACTAGTCTAGAGTACATAACCATGTCCATTATCCCTCCTCTTCGTAAAATACGACTCTCTGGCAAACTACATGATTGTGCATTTGTGGTACTAGTCCCACTGTCACTGGCACTGATGCATGGCACCAGGGAGCCCTACATAATGTGTAGGGCTCCCTGCATGGCAGTCTAGGCACCACGCGTATACCATGGTATACCAGGATGCTATGTAGGTCTACCATAGTGCTAGTGATCGATGATCCATGTGTATACTAACTAATTGTATTATCGCATAGCAAGAGGACAAAATTATTATTATACCGTAAACAGTTACTTTATGTACTCTTGCCAAGTCTTGGTACATGTACATGTACATGATTGTATCGCCTGCTCATCATGAATACTGTCATACTATCTCATACTCATACCAGGGAGTCGTAAAATACCGGTATTTTACGACTCCCTGACTCATACTAGTGTACTCAATCTCATACTATAGTGTAGACTGTAGTCAATGTGGCCAAGCCGCTTTTACGGGCAACAATATTATGAATATGAAACGCAAGGTATTGTAAGAGCAATTTTCTGAAAATAATGTTAAAACACGAAATAATTTATAGAAATGCATTATCACACCGTAGCCACTTTTATGGGCAAATTCCAATACAAGGCAATAGGAACACGAGGATGAAGTTAACCTTTTAAAACCCAAAGAAAAGACAAAAGATGTCAACAATAGAACTACAAATATAAAAAACAAACATCAGGTCATAAAAACTACTTTAAAACATAACCAAAAGACAGCAAAGCGTGGAGAATGAGATTGACTTACAAAACAAAAGTAGTCCTACTATGCTTACAAAACAGAATCTACCTACACCACTAAGGAAGAAACATTAAATGATTGCAGTCTCACAAACACCGGCCTCTATCTAACGACCCATCAAACAATAGCTCCTGAAATTCTTGACTGGAGACTGTAGTCAATGCTAGTCATCATGGTCATGTCATGTACGTAGTCATCTGAGAGTGAGAAGCGAACTGGCTCAGTCAAGTCAAGAGGAACAGCGGAGCGTGACGGTAGCAACGGAGCGTCGAGCAGTGCAGTGCCAGTGCCAGTGGCGAAACTCTTCACTTTCACTGAGTGTGGAAGTGTGGTCGACAGGTGCTAAAGCCGAGGAGCGAGTGTTGACGATACGAACTGTGATCGTGTGTGTGTTGCAGTTGCTAACCTCCCTGCTTTCAGTCGTTGCTTCCCGTCTCATAGACCCTGCTCGTAGCACACTAGAAAGATGTCTGGACAGGGAGAGAGGATCGCGGTGTTTCCCTCGCGGATGGCCTTGCAGGGCATGAAAGGACGACTAAAAGCAGCTCAGAAAGGGCACAGTTTGCTGAAAAAGAAAGCTGATGCGCTGACGATGCGTTTCCGCCAGATTCTCGCCAAGATTATCGAAACGAAAACGCTAATGGGAGAAGTGATGAAACAGGCTACTTTCTCTCTGACGGAGGCAGTTTATGCTGCTGGTGACATTGGACCCGTTGTCATGCAGAATGTGGATAAAGCTCAAACAAAAGTTCGCTCCGGGACGGACAATGTAGCTGGTGTAACCCTTCCAGTATTTGAAGCCTACACTGATGGCTCAGACGCGTTCCAGTGGACTGGACTGTCCAGAGGAGGTCAGCAGGTAGCACGATGCAAGGAGTTCTTTTCCAAGGGAGTGACCTTGATGGTTGCCCTTGCTTCACTCCAGACAAGTTTCATCACATTGGATGAAGTGATAAAGATGACAAACCGCCGAGTGAACGCTATTGAGCACGTCATCATTCCACGTGTGGAGCGGACTATTGCGTACATCACGACGGAGCTTGACGAGCAAGAGCGAGAGGAGTTCTATCGGCTAAAGAAGATCCAGGAGAAGAAGAAGGACATGCGGGCGAAGAAGGAGGCCGAAGCTTTGTTGAACGCGTGCAATGGAGTAAATAATGCCGAGGCACCTAATCTCGTGTTTGGTCAAATTGATCAGGATATCTTGTTTATGTAGGTAAGCAGTGTATGCAATGTGCTCGTAGCATAGGACCGGTGCTGTGCGAGCCAATAGACAGTGAATAGAGGGTAGTCAGCTCTACCTGTAGGAGATAAGTTCTGTCATTTATATTGAACGATCTATTTAATGCACAATGATTATTACTATTAGGACATCCCTTTTGTGCGAGTCAGGACAACTGCTGGAAATGCCTGCTTAGAATTGCTTGTAAAATTGATTTATTGCGCGACTAAGCTCAATAATATACAGAACCACGCTGTAGTCAGTGGGTTTGAACAAGGAACTTATCCGTACGTCACAATTCATCTTCCCGCAGTTCTAATTTCTAGTTTTCATTGAAGGCCGATAGCTAACGTTAGATAACCTGCTTTTGTTTTGTAGAGGATTGATGGCTGGTCCGGTCAAGTACTTCGAGTACATGTACTGCCATTACATTTCAACGGAACTTCAAACGTTTGGCATTGTCACTCCAGTAGCACAATCCGTTTTTTGAATACAATAAAGCCTTAGTGAAATGTCGGTTCAGCTCGTTCTGTTGATCGCAATTCTAAAATTTATAATTTTGATACTGATTTCGGAGATTTCTTGCAATACGTTTTCGTGGATCGGCATGATGTTTTGGTCATTTTCAAAGCTCTTCCCCAGACCCGCTGTGATGTTTAGACGATTCGAGACGAAGTGACGGCACTACCATGCTAAAGACATCACCCTGGCCTTGGTATTAGTACAGCAACCTGTACAGCGCTCCGAGTGCAGACTATTAAAATCGTGCACCGGTATACGGACGCGTGTTGTAGTGCCGCGCACACACACACACACACACACACACACACACACACACACACACTGTACTGTACTTGTTGCTCACTGCCAAAACTGGTCACGTGAGTCCCCCCAGGAGAGGGGAGAGAGACTCAAAAGGAATCTTGGAAAGATGACTCAATTGGTTATTGAACCGCCCAACGGCCGACACCCCCTGAAATCCCCAAAACTCTGGGTGGACTTGAAAATGATCCCACTTATGGGCTCACCACACCTCAGTAAGTGGGTGAGGACAAGGTGCAGAAAAAGGATTGACGGCATCAGGTATCCGTCCCGGGATCCAACTGCAGTTACCCCTGCCCCCAGTGAAGGTAATATTTGCTACTAGTGTGAGTGGCTAAATCAGAGTGGATCTGATAAAAAGCTTCACTATAAGCACCATTGATTACACAAGAGTTAATCTAGCCAGAAGCAGTCCATGGTCCATACACACACACTATTTCCTCGGCCTCGGAGGAAACCGCAAGTCAACAGATGCAAATTTCCCTGTGGCCATTTCTGAGAAATCCATGACTTCTGCCAGAATTCAGTGAGTTTCAGTTGCATGAAAACATTGAAAGTGAACGTGCATCCATCATGTGCACATGGATCAAGTTAAAATTCTTGCTGCTCAAGAGTCGGTCAGCACATGCATAGTATTCACTCTGAGTTCTTCTGTATGTGAGATACTATTACTAGTAGCGGGCAGTCTTGCGGCAGGCAGACTGCACTTCTGAACACACGGGGTTGTAATGTGAATCGTGGGTGATCACCGGATTTGTTCCATCCGCAACACATTCTTGTATGGGTGAATACTGAATATTGGTCTACTGTACCCTCGTTAGTACGACATCGGTTACAGGACAAACCTCATTAGTAGACAACGATCAAAAATCCCCTGACGCCTGAAACACATACACGCAAGTAATATTCGTTATAAGACAAAACATTGACACCCCCCCCCCCCCCCCCCCGTTTGTGTACTAACGAGGGTAGAAATGTGGTGGACTGAATACTACTTCTGTCTCCGAGGGATACGGCATTAATTTTTACAGTGCACTGTGTATTCTGATTATTCAGTTGAAGTGCAAGCGTTCTCGAAAATGACAGGTCTCCTGTTGCCGACATTCTTACATGAACAAAGTCAAACAAAACTGTATCATAGACTCATAGTTAATAAGACTCGGATGGAGAGCCAAGGATTTATAGGAAGAAAAAAGGACCAATGAACTACAAGTTACGCTATGATGTCCACTATTACATGTATATAAACACCGCCAGATATCGCATGTTATCGCATGAGCTGATTGTCAAGTAACTGGTGGTGTTAGCGGACATTATAGCGTAACGTATAGTTCATTGGTCCTTTTTTCTTCCTAAAAATGTACCACTTGTGAAATCCAACAGTCTGTCAGCAGCTGGCTGAGAGCCTTGATACTCTACTACAATAATGCCATCATGTAACGATAAAAAGGTGACAACACAGCAGAGTACATGATTGTACATGTGTCCAAATGCCTAGTACTGGCAGCAGCAGCAGCAGCAGCAAGTTTAAGTCAGGTCCGGTAGCTACATGTGCATAGTGACGTGGTCGGGTCAAAGAGAAATTACAGGCAGCACTGCCATACACTCATACAGATAGCAGGCCACTAAGACTAGGTTGTGGCCATTCAAAAACACAGGCCCTAGAAACAGGAATAGCATGAACGTTAATAATTTGTACACTATGAGTCATCACTGACGTATGCCAGTCGGTCTGTTTATGTGAAATTAGAGAGTATATTGTAATTGTATAAATGACGAAATCAACTATTCACAGGTAGCAACGTTTTTTTGTAAAATGATTCTTCTGGCAACTAAAACCAGTAAAGAGCTGTATGATTTGATGAGTTTCATGAGTCAGATCACCGCGGAGACTGAGAGCCAACAGCTACCGACATATCAGTATTTCATGATTCACTATTCCGAAGCAGAGCGGCAGCACACACGACAGTAGTAGTTACCGTCATTTGCCACTGGTGCTCAGGGCCGGAGCACCACTAGGCTTCCATGCTTTCAGCTTGGGGTCGGTGCTGTGGCTTTGACGGCGTAGAGCCAGGGGTGAAGATACCAGACGTAGACGACCGTGGCGTGTCAAAGTCCACGTTGCGGATGGATTGCATTTCGCTATACTCCCTACACGTGGAAAGCAAAGAAGAGTATAGCGGGGAGAAGGGTTTAGCACGAAGGGAACACTTTCGAAGCAAGTGAGTTGTATGCAGTTATACTGGTGTGCGTGTGCGCGAGCGTACACAGTCACAGAATGCATTACCCTCCAGAGCTCTTGCTGTTCCCACTATCACCACAACCAGCAGCAGCAGCACCACCGACCGACCTGGAGGCGTTTGCCTTGCTCAGCTAGACCCTGATGGAGCTCAACACATTCGCCCCAGAAGCGACGCATTAACTTAGATTGTTCAAAGGCCCATTGTGAAGCGTGCAGCCGATGCTGCAAATCCACATGGGGTTCCAACTCCACAGTGTGCGAGATGTGGCAGACACGACGGAAGTGAGTGACTTCTACCTACCTCGATGCTGAGCCCCCTACGTTATTTGACCCCTGCACAGGGGACGCGTGACAATTATGGCAGTGAGACCAAGGACAAAGGTGTATGTGTGTGTGTGTGTGTGTGTGTGTGCGCGTAGCTCTCAGATTCCACAGCAATCTCGCCGCAACGCGCCTTACCGAAGGATGACTTCAGCCATCTCCTGCGCAGTGCGGAACTGGTTGTAGTTAACACGGATGACGGGGATGATGCGGGCAATCTCCTGCAGAAAGTCCTCGTAGGCAGCGTGCAGATTGGTGAGGTAGTCCAGTGTGATTGTCTTCTCGCAGTCTCTATTGCGCATCGCTATACGCCGTTTGCTCTCCTCCGGAGAAACGTCAAGGTGAACGATTAAATTCGGCTTCTTCCTAAAAGGGGAATATCACAGGAGAGAGAGAAAGAGAGAGAGAGAGAGAGTGTGTGTGTGTGCCAGGTAGTTCGGTTGGTGGGTACACTTGTGCCACATAGTGTTGGGTCTGTTGCTAACGGGCTCGGTTGGTTGAAGGTGCAATGTTGTACCTGCCACCTTTGTTGGTACATACTTTCTATTTGAAGCATATAGACCTGTTAACCATGGACTACTCTGGCTAGATTAACTCTCGCATGTGCAATCAATGGTGCTAGTGGAGCTTATATCAGATCCACTCTGATTTAGCCACCCACACCAATAGCAAGTATTACCTTCACTGGGGGCAGGGGTAACTGCAGTTGGATCCCGGGACGGATACCCTGATGCTGCACCTTCAGGCTTGTCATCAACCACTTATTGAGGTGTGGCGAGCCCATAAGTGGGATCATTTCCAAGTCCACCCAGAGTTTGGGGATTTCAGGGTGTGTCGGCCATGGGGCGGTGCAATAGCCAATTGAGCCATCTGTCCAAGATTCCTTTTGAATGTATCTCCCCTCTCACGGTGAGACCCACGTGACCAGTTTATGCAGTGAGCAAGCACAAGCACGTACAAGTGTGTGTGTGTGTGTGTGTGTGTGTGTGTGTGTGTGTGTGTGTGTGTGTGTGTGTGTGTGTGTTTAGAGTGTCCCATATGGTGCAGTGGTATGTGCAGTCGATTTCCAATCGAGAGGTTGCGGGTTCAATTCCCGACGATTATGGTCGCACACGTCTTTCTTCTCTTTCTCGGACTCTTCCTGACTTTTCTTTCATTCTCCTGGGTGGTTACCTACAGCCGGCGCTAGCCAGTGTATGCCGGAGTATGTGGTGTGGTGTGTGTGCGTAAAAAAAAATGGAAAAAATGAAAAATAGGGATTCACTGGCCAGAAAAAGTCACTTCAAACAGCTGTGTGGTGGATACCAGGCTAAAAATAGTGGCGGTCAATTCATCAGCCTTGCAAGCTGTTGAATGGTGTAATCCCAGCACAAGTTGCTATGTCTAACATAGCTGTTCGCTATCATCGCTTCCGCGATGGGCATGTCTGAGGTCTGAGGTGTTTAGACAGAGATACTGCATGCACAAGGTATGTCCTCCATTGATATCCGCTATTGTTCCACACCCGGAAAGGCACACTAAACAAATTGGTGAATGCGTTGTGTATTGTGAATACTAACAGTGCCACTTACATGAAATTGGACATGTTGCTAAATAAAGACGTGTACGTTTCAAACTCTCTGGGCTCCATCATGCCAGAATCTTTTAGCACCTGGGTCAAACACACACACACACACACACACACACACACACACCACACACACACACACACACATACAGAGGAAGGCTCGGCAGTGCGGACGTGAAAAGGATGGGCAGAACAGCCCAGATACTGTATCAAGTTCTATCAACAGAAACGAATGCCGGCTCTACCTCAGATAATATTGCAAGTCAGAAAGCCATTGACATATCGTTGGCAGGACCAGGACCAGGTTAATGCGGGTACATGTACTCCGTAAAGAGATCTGATATGTAAGCCATAATTACAGTGCGCCCCTCCCCTACCTCCAGCCTATCTCATCTCCAGTTGTCCAGCCCAGCTCTTGATTTTAACACGAAGACATCACACACGCGCGTGCACACACATACACACACACACACAAGGCTGCAACTCACCCTGGCGAACACAGAATCCTCATAAATGGTCCTGTCCTGAACACCGCCCTTCCCGGACCAGATGATCTGCTGATGCTGCTGAAACCTGCGATTCAGCAAGTAGACCTGCAGTCCATTGGAACAAGAACAAAACGCATTGCAAAGTCCAAATCAGTGTCCATTTCTTGGCACAGAGGTACTTTTAGCACAGTGAAAGCTGTGTCTTGTGACCAATGCATGGTGTACAGAAGATACGTGTGGTCTTTACAAACAAAAAAACAGGTACGCATGTATGATGCGCGTAGCATGAAATAGAAGTGTCCGCAATGCCGCAGCTGAATGGCAGTGCACATTTTGATGAACGCTTTGACACTGGAACATTGGTAATGACAACAGACAGTCCCAGACCTGAAGAGGAAAGCTGTATCTGGCCGGATCCTTGTAGAAGTCGGCCAAGTATTCATTATCGAGAACAGGCTCATAATGGCAAGGCAGGTCCATCAGCTTGGCAAGTTCGGTAGCTAGCGTCGACTTGCCAGCACCTTGAAATAGACAATGACACAATGATACATTCATTCTTTTAGTGAGAGCAAAGCAACCTCATATACATCGTACATTGTAAGCGCGGCTGGCAATCCTGCAACATGGTAAAGAACATTCAGTCAGCGTAGAACACGCTCGGACGTGAAATCTACAGGTATGACTTGCTCACATGCCTGAGTAGGATATCACTAAAAATGTGCCTAGTCTTAAAGAGAGCACAGTTCAGCATTAGATCATGCAGTACCAGCTAGCCTCCAAGGCCGTCAGTAACGTCATGTCCTGGACGCGGATCTACCATCAGTTCGCAGTTTCCCGGGATGTCGACCTTCGTCCTCGGGGGTCACGTCGTTGTCTCGGCGGGCTGACAATTTGCGAGGGCTGGCCTTGGCCGCTAACTTCCATGCGTACTGTCATACTACTGTGACTTTATTGATCGTACCTGCTCCTGTGCGTGGTTCACAGCACAGTACTTCTCGGATCGGTTTTCTTCCGCACTTCCTTTGCTTAGTTTGCATATGCATATTGTAACATTGCGCTGCAAATCGACCTGTATAGTGTTTATTTTGACCGCAAACGAGGCTGCCTTCATCTCTGTAATACTTCCAAGTACATGTACTATAGCACTAGTACAGGTAGTGATCTATGATGCCGCATACTGTAAATCAACTCATTTTCGCTGGCGATTTAATTTCGCTGATTTCGTCGCTTGGTGCCAACCGGCCAAAATAAATCGCACGCAAAAGTTTGTCATAAGGCCATCCAGAATTAATTCGTTGTTTCGGGTCACCCGACCGACCGTCTTTTTTCACCCGACCGCAAAATGTTTTTTTTATAGTGCATGCAAATGTACAGACTACACTATGTTAGTATGTACACACGCGACCCTAATAATAGCAGTCCAGACATCCACCTCAGAAGCAGCCATGGCTAGCCAAATGACAGGATGCAGCGCTTGGTGACGACGTTGTCTTCTATCTCCGATCCGCAATCGGTCCTGAAACAGGATCAGCTCCGCCACCTTTTCGCTATTTACAGAAGTTTTCAAGATGAGAGCTGCTCGTCAGACTCGTTTGCCAGCGAGGCCAAGATCTGGTCCTGGAGGGGACCTGGATCTGATGGGACAATGACTGCGCTGGATTGTCTATACTACAGTCAGTATTGATCGACTGGCTAGATGGACAAAAGCTATTCGATGTACATGTATGCACATGGACGTAAACCAAAATAAAAAATAAAATAAAAAATAAACCCGACCGACCTTGGTACGGATGAGTGAAGTGACCCGAAACAACGAATTAATTCTAGGTGGCCTAAGAGGCAAATGATGCATAATTCAGCCATGGATGTATGTGAGAGCAACAACTACCGATCGATTTCTTTTTTGAAAACTCCAATCGGCCAAAGTTTAAAATGACGGCCAAAAGTTTTATTTCGAAATCGGAAATCTCACCGGCCAATTTTTTTGATTTACAGTACCGTAAAAGTCCGTAAATAAGTACGTATTTACTTTTGAATTTAGTGACCACACCCGTACTAACTTTCGGGCGGGTACTGACTTTCGGGCACGAACTAACTTTCGGACCTGACTTGTGTGTAGTGGAGAAGTCATTTTCATGTCGATGTACATGCTACGTGCTGCATGTGCGCATCGTAACGGTACTTATTTCGGGCAGTATGTTTATCGGGCTTGACTTGACTTCACCAGACAGAGCCAAAAGAATGAAGGGGGTATTTCTTTCGGGCAGGTACTTATTTACGGACTTTTACGGTATGTTAGGTAGTACAGTACCAAGACTTGGTAGTACAAGCCATGTATCCATGTACTAGTAATAGTAGTATAGTTGTCTAGTATAAAGTCTCTTGTACGGGCAAAATAATTGAGCAAATCATCGATGCAGCATCATACGGTACGCGGTACAAACTCATGTACCAAGAGTAGTAGTCTACCGGTACTGTTTACTGTAAGAACTCCTGCAGTAAAATTAGGGCATGTTCGATTGGTAGGATCGGGATCCCGATCCACCGGATCCACTGGATTCGCACCCTTTCGATTGGTCGAATCCGGATCCTTCGGATTTGGATCCGGTCAACCCACCTCGGGGAGCAGGGTTCACCGGATCCAACGGATCCAAATGTGACCTTTGTGCGTATATGGCGGGTAAAAATCATTTTTGTACACATTGTGGTACGCACACGTACATGTACACGTGGATGGAGCACGGGTGTTTTTTTTCGCAAAATATCGACATTCAAAATGGCGACACGCATCCATAAAAAAACGGTGAACTGCCGCGATCTCAAGCACTGTGCTCACAAATTCCTGCCCAATTTTCATCGACATCAGCTTGATTCTGGCCCTTCCTAACCCCACTTTAGACAGGTTTCCCCAGTATATTGGGTTTATGCATCGTGTTATGTCCTTGCCGAGCTCCACTGGTCTTTTGGTCCAAAAAGAAGTCATTTCGAGAAGTCAACCGCTTGTTTTTCCAACTATGCTCTTGTTGGCGCCTTCGTCGTTCTTTTGAGATATTGCCCAGGTAAAGGTCCACCTTCAGACATCTTCGTAGAGTTTTCCTGGCTTAGCTTAGAGTTTTTAGCTGAGCTCTGGAGTGTTTTCAAGCGATCTACGTTGGTCTGGATCAATTACGTGCTGGAATTTCGATTTACGTGCTGGGCTTATTCTGGTGCCTTTTTGCTGTAATGGATGATCATCTAGCCTACTTGGACACTGTGTGTCGCATCGGAGGAGTGAGCTTGGCGGCACACAGTAGTCCGATGACCTACTGTGTCGACCAGTACATTCCGGAAATACTGAAAGTCCACAACATCAATGTGTCACAAGATGACCCACACATCCATCCCAAGTGCATATGCATATTGTGTGCGCGCGCATTAGATAATGTCAAGAGTGGTGGTGTCTGGCGCGGTGGTGGATGTGGTGAGATCATGAAGTGGGCTCCGCATGCACGCACAAATTGTTCAGTGTGTGTCAAGAAAGATCAGGCGTCAAAGGGTGGTCGGCCTGCAAAACGAAAGCCAGCGTTACGGGGGAATGCTCTCAAGATAGCCGAGGGCAAGAGGAAACGGTTAACTTCGTCTGCATCATCATCCTCCTCCACATGCCTTGTTGATAGTGACCATGAGGAAGTCAGCTGTGGAATGGATGTTAATGCAAACGCTGTAGCGAAGCGTGCGTCGCCTAGCTACAAAGCGGACCTTGAGCTAACGCCGGATCGTTTTCTGGATGTTTCCGCAATGAGCGAATTTGTGTGCTGTATCTGTTACTCAATTGCTGGCTGTGCAGTACAATCACACTGCTGCAGCAACATGTTCTGCAGTGCGTGCATTTGCCAGTGGCTGAGTGGCAGTAACAAATGTCCTAATTGTACTGCACCCATGCTGGCATCTACACTGGAGACACCAAATGCACTCCTACAACGTGTCACAGCGAAATGGAGCATTCACTGTGATTTTTACCAAACATCAGTCGTCGGCTGCCCAGCAGTCATTCCGCTCGCTAGCCTCAAGCAGCATGTGGCACAATGCCAATACAACCCCGAGAACAACCCCACGTCCACACCGCCACCACCACACATCAAACCAAACAGCACGGCGAATGATATAGTTCACGCATCACCATCCAAGCTGCGTGGAGCTTTGTCTGATCGTCTTACAGCACATTTGGTTGGAGCAAAAGAGACAGACGGAAAGCTGGAGGTCAAAGCCAGTCCACAAGGGAAGCCAAAGACATACACAAGAATAACAGTGGCAGAGATATCGTCAGCAGATGCAAGCAGAAAAACAACAGACAGACGGTCTGGGGAAATGAAAAATATTGCACGGTCTGTGTGTGGTGGTGATGAAGGTGCTAGAGCGCAAGAGGTAGCTGGCCTGCAGCGCATGTCCAAAAAAGAGCAAGATAAGCTGCTGATAGAAGCTGGCATTGGCGCAAAGACCCCAGAAGCAGGGACAGCACTGGCCATCAAAGCCGACCTTAACCTGCCATGGCTCAAGCTGCGAAAGCTCCGGAGATGGCTGAAAGGGTTCAATGTACATTTACAGTCTGAGCAGGGGATACGCCAGTTCATTGCCACCAAGCTACCAGCATACACAGCAGAGAAGATACCAATGGTGAATGGGCAAGGTGAGGTGCAGCTCACAAACTGTGTATACTTCCCTGACTTGGTCGCCATTGTAATGCATTACTTGGACTGGTATGACGCCAAGGGACTGCTGACGTGGCATGAAGGGGCAATACCCGATGACCAGATCTGGGTAAAGATAGGAGGAGATCACGGCGGCGGCATGTTCAAGTTCTGCCTCCAGATTGCCAATGTGGCCCATCCGAATTCCATCACTAGAACCATACCGATCATTGTGTTCAGTGAAAAGGACAGTCCAGCAAACTTGGAGACAGCCATGGGACGGTACAGGCAGCAAGTGACTAACCTGCTCACAGAGCAAACGTGGCATGGCAAGTCATTCGACGTGTTCTTGTTTGGAGATTACGAGTACCAGACCAACATGTTCGGATTGTCTGGAGCGCGGGGCCAACGACCTTGCCTGCATTGCCTTTCGACGCGGAAGGATATCGGCCAGCCGAAAGACCAGCGTCCTGCAGCCAACACTGTCCCAAGGAATCTTGGCCAGCTGGCTCATGATCTTGAACAGTTTCAGGCAGCAGGCAGCGTTCATCAGAATGCAAAGCTGTACAACAATGTGTTGCGTGCCGCAGTTCTGCCCGTTCCGCTGCATAATGTCGTAATACCGGTGCTGCATCTGGATTTAGGCATCTATCCCTGGATCCTTAGCGCTATGCTGACAGAGGTTAAGCGGATCGATGTCCAGCTTGCCATGCAGGGCTCTACAGCTGCCAGCGAAAGCTCCGCATTCACCACGTTACTCTCTGGCTATAAGACCGTCCAAGCCCTTGAGAGTTCAATTGCAACAAAAGCACAGGAGCTGGCAGCGGCGCAGCAGCTACTGCAGTTTGTTGCCATTCATCAGACGCAGCAACTGAATGTACAGGCAATTGCTGGTGCCTTGCAGTTGTCATGCCAGAACCTCACGAAGCAGCATCAGGAGCTATGTGCAGAGCGTGAAAAACTTACAGCCGAATTGCAAAAGAAAGGATTGAAGAAAGACTTTGAAGGCCCTTGCTCACAGAGCATCGAGGCAGCACTTCAGTCACTGAACATTGAGAGGCAAGTGTACTTCGGAGGCGCATTTATCGGCAATCACATCCACATAGCCTTGCAAGATGACGCCATCCTGAAGATCACCGGTGCACCGAAGGCCATCGTCGAAGCCCGCTGCCCAGCCTTGCTTGCTGACATTACTGCCATTACTGTGCGCTATGCAGAGCTGTTCTCGAGCTATGGCAAATGTCGGGCTCACTTCAGCCATGCAAAAGCTGTCACAGTCGACGACATCCAGGCCATGACGGGGCACGTTGAAGACTTCATGTCTCTCTGCAGAAAGCAAGTTGTGGAGAGAGGGTTGGGAAACATTACTCCCAAACTGCACCTACTCGAAGAGCACACCGTGCCCATGATGAGCAGAGTAGGTGTAGGCCTTGGTCTGTTAGCTGAGCAGGGTGCTGAGAGTATCCACAACGTCTTCAACCGTCTGGCAAGAGACTACAGTTCGATGCCAAACAAGCTCGAACGTCTCCATTCCATGGCAAAGATGCACCTCCTCAAGACTGCTCCAGACGCCACAGAAACGAGACCTGCTGTGAGGAGCCGAAGCAAGTAGCAGCCAGACGGTCAGAGGTGAATCCGCACTCGCCTTCTATCAAGTCAAGTAAGTACCAGTCCACAGCTAGCTTTATTTCGTTGAAGAGCAGAATTTATTTTCTTTGCGGCGTGCGAGTTTGTTGGCCTGCTACGATCTGATTTACTGACATTCTACATGTAAACAACAAAACCAAAGTAATTAATCCTTGCCTAGCGCCTCACGTCACATCGCCTTCACTTCGTCTCACTTCTCCTCCTCAACAAGAAGACTCTCAATCTCCTTCGCGATCGCCTTCAAAATAATAGTTTCCTCAGCTGCAGCACTGCATTGTTTGTTGTGTCCGTGGCAAGCACTCGGGTACAAATCCTTCACGGCTGCATTGTGATTCGTACATTTCTGTCGAACCCGCTTGGTTGACACAATTTTTACAAAATTATTATTATATCGTACGTTTTTGAAACATCTACTGCGAACCAGGGAAAGTGACGCCATACTGTTGAGTGTCCACGCGCGGACACCCGTGGGAGATAGACCTTGCTGACTTTTTGTACGACGCACGCGATGAGTACGACGTTCACCCTTTTGGGTGCCTTGTGAGCGCCATTTTCAATATGGCAACAGTCAAGGTCCAAGATAAAGTGTTCAGTTGAATCTGGAGGATCCGAGGGATCTGAGATCTGGATCCCGATCCTTACCAATCGAACATGCCCTAAGTTCTGTATTATAAAGCATCTGGCAACCCCATTACAAATAACGAAACTCGAAAGGAAGTCAGTACATGTAATGTAGTCTACAGTCCGAGGTGGTATTTTCTAGAAACTCGTAACGATCGTAATGATCGTAGTGCTTGCTTCACTATCTGAGAAACGCTGAGACTTGGAACAGCTTACCAATGAGACCACTGATGGAAATGAAGATGTCCTTGCAGCTGTTTTTTTGGTCCATTGTCAACAACTGCGCGCTCTTGCCTTTCACTGAGGCGTCGACAGGATCACCGGCAAGCATTCTCTACGACCTTGATCACCGACGCTGCACTACGAGTCCTCGATCCGCAAGCGCAGTATTACTAGTAGCCGAGGTTCACACAAGCATGAAACGAAAAGAGTGCTCCCACATGGAAAAAGCAAGCCACGCACCACCTCAAATCCTACTTGCTTTCCCGCCAAATATTTAGCCAATGATTGGTGTGTCATCATCATCGATCAGACATGCATCATCATGCATGTCGCGACGCGACGCGACGTCGACATCCAGTCACTAGTGCAGTGCACTGAGTCATGCACTCCACCATGCATTCCAGCCAGGCTGTAAAATATGTAGATCTATTATTGACTATACTACACCATTTAGTACAGACCGTCAGTGTGTATCTACAATACTGAGTACAAGTCATGAGATTATGTCAGAAGTGACAGAAGATCATCATGACATGAGACGAGGCTCTCCAGCAGGCAGTGCGGTTTGTCCAGTCATTTCCCTGCTGATTCTCTCCCTCTCTATCCTTAAATAAAAATCAATCAATCAATCAATCTCTGTCTCTCTGTCTCCCCCTCTCACGCACACACGCGCACGCACATCTCCACTGCTGGGCAATGCTGCCCTTACCAAAATCACCACAATCATGTATATTGACAGCAGTGCAAGAAAGCCGCAGAGAACTGAAAGAGAGCAGAGTTACCGATACCAAGAGTACATGAAAACCAGAGTGTGCAGCTCGGATGGGTGGCTGTCACGGCGGAATTCCGTGATTACATCATTTTAGTGATGTAGTGCGTACAAGCAGGATTCAAGCAGGTCTCTTTCTGCACAACTGCAGCTCAGTTGTACGCACTACGCCATTTCCCGCCTCAGATCTGGGCCAAATATGATGTAATCACGGAATTTCGCCGTGACAGACACCCATAGCAGAAAAGGCCCCAAGCTGCACACTCTGGTTTTCATGTACTCTTGCCGATACTAGTACTCGTGGAGTAGATTGCCATGTCCTAGTAGCCTTTAGAATCGTTGAAACTTCCACGCATGGGAACGCACACATACACACACACACACACACCATCGACCATTTGACGCCCATCGCCGGAGGCGATGATAGCGATGCTACAGCAGAAGCCGTAGTAGCTTGTGCTGGGATTGCACACACACACACGCGCACACACACGCGCGCGCGCGGTGCTATCATCGCCAAAGCAGTCAGTTTAGGTTCACTGAAACATCAAGTCTGGGTGACACGCATGAATACATGCGTCGAGGAAGACAAAACATGGAGAGAAAGAGAGAGTGTGTGTGTGTGCGTGCGTGCGTGGTGTGGGTGTGTGTGTGTGGGTGCGTGTGTGTATGTGCATGTGTGCATGAGGGAGAGAAACACACACACACACACACATGCACGCAGAAAGAGACACAGAAAGATACAAAAAGAGAGAGAAAAAAGAAAAAAGTAAAAGTACGGATGACGACTAATGAAAGCGCAGTGCGTGCACACACACACACACACACACACACACACACACACACACACACACACACACACACACACACACACATGCGCGCAGAAAGACAGACAGAAAGATACAAAGAGAGAAAAAAACAAAAACAAAAAAAACAAAAGTATGGATGGCGACCGGTGAAAGCGCAGTGAGTGCCCACGTGCGCGTGCACACACACACACACACACAAACAAACACACACACAAACACACACACAGACAAACGAGCGAACACATCCTGCGTGAGAGTTTGCAGGAGTCAGCAGCAGTAAAACATACAAAATCATCATAATGTGCAGATGATGAATGAGCCAGCACTCAAAGTAAGCCTATTTATTTAATATACAACAGCATAGAGTCTACAGCCGACATGCACAGCATTGCAAATAGACATAAGCAATTCAAAAGAACATCCATCAGGGCTTTAAAAAGAAGGAATAAGAGAAGGTCTAAGAAAACGTGTTGAATGAGTAGAAGAACCGAGGGGGCAGGGGGCTTGCTGGAACAGTAGGGGACGATCAGACACAATTAACATTTTGCTGACATGGTTACAGCACTAGCTCGCAACAAACGCGACTGGCAAAAGAAGCACAGAGTGAATGTAACTGCACATCGTTCAGTGCGAGACTTTGATGCTACGGTCCGTCAAGATTCAAGAATACAACATGAAGCAGACGTGGTGACTGGTCCGTTTGCCCATTTCGAGAGCACACAAGTCCTCCGTCATATCAAAATCAACGGCGGCGCTTAGCCGCACTAACTGGCGGCGCACCGCTGCTTTTGCGTTTGCGCGGCCGTTCCTCGACGTCATCGTCAAAGTTGGTCTCATTATCGTCTGCACAAGAAGAAAGAGCAGCCTAAATCAATGCCAGCTTCAACAAAACACCTCAATCTGCTCTAGCACGTCAAAGACTACAATATCACCCACTTCACAACATTTTTTTAAAATATTCATCTCGGGAAGTAGAATTTGACAGTACTTTGCTGACGAACATTGGGCAAGCAGTGAGTCTGCTGACTGTGCAAATGATAGCAGCTGTAGAATGAAATATAATATTATTATAACATGCCAGACAACCTTCTCAATGTCTCCCAGTTAAGTGTTCGCAGAAAAAAGAGGCAGCAAAGGTTCCCTATATAATGCTGTGCGCTTTCAGAGTAACTGAAATACCGGTATGATTGATAGAATAGAAGATTGTGCCGCTATTTGAACCAAGACCATCAAAGATTGAACCCGTTGTTGTAAATACAGTGATGGTTCACCAGCCGAGTCATGTGTGTGTCAAGACAGATTTGAGTTTGTGGCTGCAATAGGCTGGAACCCCCCCCAAAAAACCATGATTCCCAAGTCGTCAGCAAAACGTACTTGAAAAAACAAACATTGGTAACCACACTAAGCGTCTCTATGGGGAAGAGAATATGGGTGCAAATGGCACACAACTTGTTGCTGCTAAAAAAGCAGATTATAAGCATCATGCGCAAGTCATACATACCTGCAATAGCCTCTTCCTCCAGGTCTGACCAATCCTTGCCAGAACTTTCATCAGAGTCCAACTCTTCTTCTGCACGGCACAGCACAAAACGTCAAAAAGCAACACAGTGAATCTGACTTAGTAGTTAGTACGCAAGCTACACTTTCCTACTGCACATGCACATGGGGGGGGGGGTGGGCACTGCTTAGTGCGTACTCGGTCTCTGACACACTTTCCTACTGCACATGGGGGGGGTGGGCACTGCTTAGTGCGTACTCGGTCTCTGACACACTTTCCTACGGCCCATTGGGGGGGGGGTGCTGCTTATTGCGCACTCGGTCTCTGACACACTTTCCTACTACACATGGGCATGGGGGTACTACTTCTTAGCAGAGTTCCACTGCACTTCAGACGTATGGTACAGCGTTACTAGTGGATGGGCGAGCAGTGCAGTGCTACGATGAAAGCATCACCACCAAACCACCCACCATGCTGCACAAGACATCCACCATGCTGCACAAGACATCCACCATGCTGCACAAGACATCCACCATGATGCACAAGACATCCACCATGCTGCACAAGACATCCACCATGCTGCACAAGACATCCACCATGCTGCACAAGCCACCAAAAGAACACGAGGTGACGTGTCCATAAGAACAGGCGTATGCAGTTGAGCCTCACAGGGCTCAACTGCATACGCAACAAGGAATGTAGGATGCAATACGCCAGCCATTCGCACATGCAGTGCCTGTCTCACCCTCATCACTTTCCGACGCCTCATCGGAATAATCTTCATCAGACGACTCGTCGGATGGTTCATCGGAGCCAGATGGCTGATAGTCGGTTTCTTCCTCTGAGTCGTCACCGCCCTGATCCTACAACACAGCAAAACATGTCCAACGAGACGGACGAGGAAAAAGTAACACAACTTCAAGTAAACCAAACACAAAAAGTTGATCAAAAGGTCACAGTGAAGTTAACCAGAAACATGATTTACCCCTCACAGCTGAACTCTGCACTCAAACCAGAAGATAGGAACTCCATACCCAAACCAAGAGATACGAGCTCCACATTCAAACAGGAGATACGAACACACCATTCAAACAAAGACAAGGGGTGCACACTCAGACAGAGAGGTGAAGACTCCACACTCAACCCAAGAGATACGAACTCTGCACGCAACCAAAGAGATACAAACTCCACACTCAAACTAAGAGACACAAACTCCGCACTCAAACCGAGAGATAATAGAGAGGTTCCGCACTACGTAAAGTCGAGTAACTTTACGTTAGTGGGCGGGAAAACCCGTGGTTGTGAGACTTACCCACTCACCCCCACCGTTAGGCGCTGCATCTGCCGCTAGGGTTTATCGGGTGTTAGCGGCCGTCGTGAGTTCCCTTCGGGAACGGACACGATAATTTACTTTTTTTTAAACCCGTGAATTCGCGAGTTTGCACTCCACATACGGAAAGTTGTCTACGTAGAGTACGTAGATATGGCTCTGATAACGTAGCTGGTCTGTAAGTGGATTGGGGAACAAATTTATGACTCTCTCCCCAGGTCCATCTGGTCGTACACTGCCGCGTTCGGAGTTGTCAAGGGCAGCTACGTGATTTGAAAACTCTGTATGGCGGAACACAGATGCGCATGCAGTTCACGTACAACTTTTCCGTAGATCGACTACGTTTTTTACTAACGTAATTACGTTATGCGGAACCTCTCTAATATACACCAGTCTTACACTCTCATCCGGGTCCAGGAAACTCCAGCCACCGCCCTCGAAGAAGCCGGCTGGATCATCACTGATGGTTTTCATGATCTTGGCCCAGTTCAGTGACTGTATACCTTCCGTGTATTTGATGTCGGAAGTCCTGCAGGCAGAGCAGCGACATACCACCGGTATATAACATAGCATGATGACGTACAGTCAAAACAGAGCTACTACTCGTACCCAACACATGGACCTCCAGTAGTGGCAAAAAGGGTACTAGTTGCATGGCAGTGGTTGAGGGCCTGCACCATGAATACTTCATAGCACAGGCCAAAATGCAGCAGCAGCAGCAGTCGACAGTCACACAACACTCAAAGAGATGACACGGTACGCCAGCAGTGAAAGGACCTCAGGTGAACGTTCTGAACAGTGCGTTAAACTCGGCCCACCTGGCCATACTCACGTCAACCACTCCTTGATCGAGTCCAGTGATGTCATGGGGATGGCGTTGATCAGGAAAACCTTGCGCTTATAGTCTTTGAAAATGAAGACGGCATCAAAGTTCTTCATCTGGAACTGCATTGGCAAAAGTACATTTACGATAACAACGAAACATGGTAAAGTGACAAGCACTGAAACTAGATGTCACTGGCTGGGCTAGAGAGCACCGGCTCAGATCAAGGCAAGCAGTTAGAGAGAAAGCAATATTCGCCCATCCAATGCCCACCCAATTATGGCTCCCGTGACTTGTCTCTCCAAACCTGTTCAATAGCCAATTGAGTCATATTCCCAAGATTCCTGTTGAATCTCTCTCCCCTCTCCAGTGGAGATCCACGTGATCAGCTTTGGCAGTGAGCAAGTACAAGTACAAGTACAAGTGTGTGTGTGTGTGTGTGTGTGTGTGTGTGTGTGTGTGTGTGTGTGTGCAACCGTCTGTTCCGCCGTAGTTCTGACATGGCCCGGCACAAGTGTTCAGCAATCCGTCAGCTCCCGGTATCGGAGCAGCCTGGATCAGTACAGTGTCCAACATGCAACCGATGGCTACGTAGCAGAGGAGGCTTTGCGGTGCATAAGTGTCGGCTAGGCGATGTCGACCAGCCGCCGGCCCCTGCCCCTGCTCCTCTTGTTGTTCCGGGTGTAACTTGCACCAACTGTCAGCGTTCATTTAAATCGGCTGCGGGTCTCAAGCGTCACCGTTGTGGAACCTGTCCAAAGCGCCCTACTGTGGCTGAACGCCAACAATTCAAGTTTCACTGCCAAGTTTGCCACAACCGACGGTTCCGGAGGCGGCAAGATCTGGAACGCCACTTGGAGCATTGCCTTCCTCCCCCCTAACCTCTCTGACAGTACCTCCCATCTGGGAGCGGCGTGGCTAATCCTGGCAGCTGTCAATAGTAGTAGTAGTAGTAGTAGTAGTAGTAGTAGTAGTAGTAGTAGTAGTAGTAGTAGTAGTAGTAGTAGTAGTAGTAGTAGTAGTAGTAGTAGTGTGTGTGTGTGTGTGTGTATGTGTGTGTGTGTGTGTGTGTGTGTGTGTGTGTGTGTGTGTGTGTGTGTGTGTGTGTGTGTGTGTTGTGTCTTGCCTTGTTATGATTCTGACATGAACTATTCGTACTGTACTAGTATAGTTTGGCTAACTGACATGACAGCAAGCACATGCGTGTGAGCTGAATGTGAGAGAATGTCCGTTTGTTCGTTAACATCAAGAACGTTTGAATACTGTACAAGCAGAAATATTCGTCTGGAATTTAATTTCGTCTTTTTCATCCAAGGAGCTTTGGGACTAAATTAAATGCCGGACGAATGTCGATTTGTCCAGCGTTTCAATACACTGGTACAGTCCATGGACTAAATTTTCAACCGGACGAACTCCCTTTCTTTGGAGTTGGACGAAATTATTGACCGACGAAATTTTCTGCCCGTACAGTATAAGATTTCATGTTTGTTTCAGCTCTAATACTAGTGTGCATTGGTCGATTTTGAATGATGTGCTAATTTTGCACATAAACCCATACAAATCCTGAGCACCCACTGCAGTCCACCACAAAACCGATGAAGGTCGGCCCATACATAAACAAATATACCGCAATGTCGCGTATTAAAGCCGGCCTTATTCCTGTAGAAAGCGATGTCAGGGCTAGGCTTCTCTTCACATCAGGCTTGCATTCAAACCAGGTATTTCTACGAGTGTCCACACTAAAACCAGGCTTATGTGCCGGCGGTATGTCTTGAAAATCAGGCTCGTATTCAAAACAGGCTTCTATACGAGACAGGCTTTAATACAAGACACGACTACGGTATTAAAAAAAAGAGAGGGACCAGAAGACTAGTGTGACTTACGCTGACACGTTCAAAGTGCACTAGCTCGACTTCACTGAGAGTAATCATGGTTACGGGTGATTCAACAAGATGAACTAGACAGTACGTTGTCGGCTGTAGCAGGACGCTGCTCTTATGCGGTACACCGTGGAAGCCCAAGTCTCTGAACGTCGTGTCCACTTCCAGATTGGAGAACTGCTGAACTTTGTCCATGAAGCCCTTGAAAGCCATCTCGACCCGATGGCGCAAGTCCCGTTCGGCCTGCAAGCAAAAACCCGCCATGCCAACAAGCAGAGTCAGATGAGTGCAGACAGTAGAGAGGAGACGCCATACACCAAGCACAGCCTGTGCTTGGGCACGCAAGGAATCTCGCACGAGACTGTAAAATACCACCCTTCTAACCAGGGGTGAAACGATAACAATTTTTGACTACCGTATAACCTTAAAAACCTTTATCGATCAGTTTAATCGGTTAGTTTAGATTATTTCTTCCACAGAAAAAAGCAGTACTATTTTAAAACGCTGAAAACATGCAACAATTTACTTCGAAGTGGAATTGCAAAAAAACGAAACTGAGGAGGTCATTACCAAGGTGCTATGCCATCATCTTTCAAATGGAATGTGACTACTGTACACATTTTGGAGCTTCGCAAACACACCCACGAGATTTGGAGTACATGTACATTGTATTTGGTATAGTTATTTAAACGTGCCAGTGCAGGCATGCACAATCCAGCATGGTAAGTCTGACCTTTGGTGCAGTTGCACACAGTACTGCACTTGAGAGCCTTGATCTAACCCCCCCCCCCCCCCCCCGCTAAAAACCAGCTGGGGAGCGACACAGCGTGAGGGGAATCAACGGTACCAAGAGTCCATAAGGCCATCATTTTTTATATCTATGTTTCGCGTCAGTTCAACTTCCAGAATCATATGCGAGAGGTGGAAAAAAATAAAAAGTTGCAAAATAATAAAAAAAAGGCTCATCAGAGGTGTATGCACTGTACATAGCACAATAGCTCGTGCATGATGTACATTCGAGAGAAAAATCGTACATCGAAGCACAACATCTGGGTTATCAGCATGAGTAAATATTCACTTTGGACAGAGGAGGCAACCGTTGGTGCCCATGCTTCGCTGGATTATTGTACTGAGACTTCACCAGCGGTGCAAAGAGCTCCGGAATGACGCATCCTCTCAGCTTGAGGCGATCAATGCGGTCTGGTGTAAGCTCATAGAATATTGCTCCCAGATGCCGAACAAACGATTTACGAACGCTGGCCTAGAGGCCATTTCTGAATCCCAGGTTCGCCGTATCGCAACCAGTCCTCACTGATGACTCGCACGATCGTACACTCACTGTGCATGTTCGATTTTTTATTTTTTTCCGAAAAAAGTCAAAACGTATGCGTGCGGACGACGCGAAACATAGCTAGAAAAAATGATGGCCTAACCCAAGAGTATGCAACTGTGATTATGGGTGCATGCGTGGCGCGCTGCCTTCATTACGTAACTTGCCTTCATCACGCTCTGAAAGCATGCATTCAAACTCTCAATTTCTCGCACGAGCCCATCCGTTCTTGCTCGATTCGTTCCAGTACCTACACAATCTCTGAATTCTGGCGCGTGAACTCCAGTTCCGTACGAAAGTTCATTTCAAACTAGTGGGAAAGTGTGGTGTTTGATTTTCCGCAGTGCGCGGACTGCAGCTGAATGATGCAATGAAGGCAGCGCGCCGCGCGGTTGTCCCATAGAAAAGAGATCACAGTTGCATACTCTTGGGTTATGGACTCTTGACGGTACGTTATGGTCAATGCGAAAGCAGCCCACATTGCAACAGCCCCAAGGCAAATATACCCCTGACCAATACTTGTACATGTACCCTACATGTATGCAACACCTGCCAGCATAGAGGTGCACAATGTCATGTACTTCAAAATGAGTTCAAAGTACAAAAGCTGTAGTAATCCCAGTGGAGCCTTGTCAACAAGAACACTGATTAGACAAACTTTCACTTTAGAATAAGGCTATGAACAGTAACAACAGCACACTCATGACTACAAACACACATGTATGCGAGGTCGGTTTAGTATTTCCAAGAACGTTCTCGCTTTAGAAGAACTAGCATTCGTGACTCTACTACTTCAAATCACTATGTATTTACTTTCACTGGGTACAAAGGACAAGAAGATCTCGCAAAGAGATGTTAGGCGTTGTAATTACTAATATTATTAGTACACACTGGCACATACCTGCTCGGCTTCCAGGTCATCTCTGTCATGCATATTCTGCCGACGTCCCAGATCCGTTACAACTTCACCAACTTCAGTGAAAAACTGAATATCAAGGTATTTCTTCTTCTGAATGAGAATCGCGTGCTGCAAAGGGGATACGAAGAAGGATCATAAGTAATTTAACGTGGAGTGAGCAACGAGAGTCAAATCAACACGATTTCACCATGACATTGATCGATCTGGAGAACTCTAGGCCGACTACAGCAAGGCAGCAGCAGCAGCACCACCACTACTCCGGCATCGGGTTCATCAACAAACAGTGGGGCACACATGTAAAAGCTTCTGTTGCTACTAACCTTCAGGTGGAAATGCAGCAGAACGATCATTTCGCCCTTGGATGGCTGAATAACACAAAGAACACACCAACAAATTATACCAAATTCTTGACACACACAGACGCACAGACAAGCAAGCAAGCACGCACGGACACACACACATACACACACACACACACACACACACACACACACACACACACACACACACACACACACACACCGTTGACCAAGCACTGCATAAAAAGCACGGCAAGTGCGAATGATGCAGAAATCAGCACTAGTGCTAGAAGGTTGAGGCAAGTGTGGAGCGAAACACGTTCTGCAGCTGCTGGATACGCTGGATGCACCAACCAAAAAACTAGTCACCGCAAGACAGACTCACCTGGAAGATAGCATGCTTGATGTTGTTGTACAGGATGTCAATGTTACCGCCTTTGTATGGCTGGTACCGGAAACCATTCACATGGGCATGAAGGACACCCTACAGCACCAGCGGAATGCAAGCAAACAGAGCTTACAAGCAAGAAGAGCACAACAGTTGCCAGCAAGCAGCAGGACAACATCAAGCCAAGAACAGCGGACCCCGGCTTTGCAAGATCTGGCAAACGAGCTCCACTGGGGCAGGAGAAAACATTCTTCCTTGATTCCACACTTGGAAAGATGACCACTAATGTACAATTCTGAATTTGAATCAAACACGTAGAGAGAGCGGGGCACACTGGATCATTTAGCAATGGCTTACATACCTGCGTGCGATGTTGTCCACCAGTGAGACTGGGTCTGACGAACAGATCCTTCAGTCGTGGTACGTTACGGTTCTGACTGATCACCAGGTCAGCCTGTGCAATGACACCCTCCATTTCTTTGCGCTCAGCCTCGCGCGTCTTGAAGCGCTTCTGTGCCTCCTTGATGAGTCGGAAGGCAGTCGCAAGGTTGGTGGACGGGATCGCTTGACTGGCATTGCGGGTATTGCTGGCTTTGAACACCCTGTGTACATCACATGTACACACAAACACGCACACAAACACGCACACACACACAGGAAAACACACAAACGCGAGCGACCAGTCCAGCACACCAGTCCACACAGCATTCGTTAGACAGACAGCACCGCCTGGTGGGCAGCATGCACACTGCCCACACCTTCAACTTAGACCATACCGGCACTGGCAGCCATTCTACAAGACATGACCCCCTATGCTACACGTAGCACTAATCATCCCTGGCATGCACTACATACGGAGTAACGATGAGTGTGGCTACCAAAGTCCCAAACTCAGACGGACACGGCAAACCTAACCTTCTGTTGCGGCGGTCAACTTACAATTCCTTGACGAACGTTGCCGATGGGTCTGGGAAGGCGGCACCTTCTGCACGCCCTACAGTGCTGAGCAGATGTAAAGGACAACAAAACACTCGCGGTCAGACCTTTCATGCTGAAAACTGTGAAAAGGCAGGTGTTGCTCACCCAGCCACTCACCCACACGCGAGCATACATGCAAGCACACAACAGCGCACCACTAAGAGCCGCAACTAAATCCAACCATGAGTACATGTACAGTCGGACCTCGCATAACCGCACACATCCGTTTTCCACAAAAATATCCGGATAGGCGAGGGAACCGGATAATCGAACACACATACTGTGTGTATGCATGGCAAATGCTGTAAATCGGTAACCAATAATTTTCTTCCGGATGGCGAGGGATCCGGATAAAAGAGGACCGGATAAGCGAGGTCTGACTGTACATGTACATCAATTTATCAAATCAGATGAGCTACAGAAAACTACTCACTTTCCAGGACAGAAGAAGTTGAGGCGAAGGTACGAGAAGTCTCCGTGTTCAGTTTTGCTGCAGTTCTGTCAGTACGGGCAGGAGAATAAATTGAAAAAGCAGAGGTCTCACTGGCTGCATCTCAACTTGCACATTGTCATCAGGACGGTTGGCATAATGTGCATATTGCAGGATGGAAAAAAATGCACGGGTTTGCGTACAGGGTTCCGTGGGACGCCACCACTCTATGATGAGGCGTCAGATGCGGCTCCTAAACGGTGAGGGAGGATAGATCAGATCCACCAGCCAGAGGCCTTGCAGGAATGAAATACAAGCAAAGGTTACTGCACAACCATCGTACACAAGTCCGGCTACACAGAAAGAAGTGCTACCCAGATCGGGGCAGATGTTTGTTGCCTGTGCGTTTGTTTGTGTGCGTGCACGTGTGTACACTGCCCCCCCCCCCCCCCACACACACCGGTGACATTGGGTGACAGCAGTGAAGACAACCCGTGCAATATTATATAGTTACATACAGGGAACCCAAGCTACTGCTGTGCACAGCACACAACTGGCACGACAGCAAACGTAGCACTGACCTTCAGCATGGAGATATGGAACACAGCACTTTGACCACCAACAGGAACAATGATGGCTTCATGCTTCGTGTCTACAACAAAAAACAACAAAAAACAAAAAAACGCCACACAGGACATCGAATGAAGGATTTAACTCATGATTCGAAACACTCCACAGCTCCACACAGCGCTCCTGGCCCACATTCACAACACCATAGCGAGGAAATCCGCACTTTACCATATAAGTACATTCGTTCGTTGCAGCTAATAAGTGCTAAACTCATGCATACAGTACTCCCCCCCCAAACACACACACATACACACACTTCTCCAAGTGAGCCAAGAAATCATCTTTTTGCGAGAATTGTGGCAATACGCCCAGTGAGAAGGCAGATATTGCCTGTGCCTATGGTGAAGTAAAATACAGCTAAACAACAAGAAGAAATCCAATCTGGATAACGGTGGTTACTCACCGACAAAGATGCGCAACTCCTGCACGTCAGCATCTTTGGGAAGCAGTGATGCATGCCGGTATGCAACTGCTGCAGACTTAGACCTATCACAACACACACACACACACACACACACACACACGTGGGGCACAGTGATGAGTTTACACCAAGTGCGCTAACTAGAGCATCAGCAGATGAACGGAGAACACAGCTTAGCCAGCAGCCAACTGTTACAGAGAGCTGACAGGTGAAGGTCACCAAGCCACTACAAGTTTCCAAAGCAAACAATGTACAGTAAAACTCGCGAGGTCCGGGCAGGTCCGGGCAGAGCAGTGAGATCCGGGCAGGTCCGGGCAGAGCAGTGAGATCCGGGCAGGTCCGGGCAGAGCAGTGAGATCCGGGCAGGTCCGGGCAGAGCAGTGAGATCCGGGCAGGTCCGGGCAGAGCAGTGAGATCCGGGCAGGTCCGGGCAGAGCAGTGAGATCCGGGCAGGTCCGGGCAGAGCAGTGAGATCCGGGCAGGTCCGGGCAGAGCAGTGAGATCCGGGCAGGTCCGGGCAGAGCAGTGAGATCCGGGCAGGTCCGGGCAGAGCAGTGAGATCCGGGCAGGTCCGGGCAGAGCAGTGAGATCCGGGCAGGTCCGGGCAGAGCAGTGAGATCCGGGCAGGTCCGGGCAGAGCAGTGAGATCCGGGCAGGTCCGGGCAGAGCAGTGAGATCCGGGCAGGTCCGGGCAGAGCAGTGAGATCCGGGCAGGTCCGGGCAGAGCAGTGAGGTCCGGGCAGGTTGGAACAGAGCAGTGCCCGTAACTCAGAACATACATACTTACTGAATACAAGTAAACATTTTTTATGTCAATCAATAGTTTTTGGGGCCTTTTTTTTGTTGAAATACCAATTTTTGTGACTCTAGATGGGTCAGAAAGGTACCCGGTAGATGGACGTGCCCAGATTAGGGACGTCCGGATCTGGGGAGCTTTACTGTACATCAGCACCCTTGAACACACAGATGGTCTAGTGTAAAACTGTTACCTGTCCACCCGCAAAAAAAATGGAGACCACACTGACAAAACAGAAAGGATCCAGGCTGTCCAAAAGAGTGTTCGATGCCCAAGGGCATACCTATTTACAACAAGAACTCCCTTATCTTCTTCTTGTGAGATAACACTGGCAGCCAAATAGCAGGTTTAATACACCTCGCACAGGATGGCTGGATATCGTATCACATCTACGCTGCACTACAAAACCACAGCGGCCATAACACACGGCTACTTCAGTCCACTGGTCATTACAGTACAAAGCAGCTCATTTGGTGAACAAATACTAGTACTTGGCACTGGGCACTCACGATTTATTCCCAGACGACGGGTCATCCTTATCCAGCAATCGCCGCTAGAATCAGACAAAATGAAAGCCAAGAGCACAAGTAGAAATCATAGTAAATCTCTAAACATAAGCATACAAACACATGGGAACGAAAGCAAAGTAAACGCTCACCGAGCAGCCAATAAAGGGGAAGTGTCACAAGATTTTTTTGCTTGCTTTCCTTCTTGATTCGTTCTACCCACCTTGATTGTTTTCACGCTCTCCTCTCTCGTCCAATCAGAGCCAGCCAATGAAATGAAAGCTACGACATGTACATTGTGCACAGTTTTTTTCTTCTGATGAGACCAGGTGAGAGCACACTGTACTTCCGTATAATTTCGCTGGGAGTTTTCACTGACTTCCCAAGTGACACACACACACACACACACACACACACACACACACACACACACACACACACACACACTACGAGAAACCCTAGTAGCATACGAGTACTACGGAGAGTACTAAGCAAAACCAAAAATTAAAGAGAACGCCCAAATGGCTATGCTGACAAGCAAATTCCCGTCAGAAAAGCATCAGAAGACAAAGGAAACAGCCAGCCTGGCAGGTGAGACTAAAAAAACAGCTGCAGTGCATACCCGTGCGGTTTCGTTCAGCTGGTCTCCCAGCTCTCGCTGCTTGCTCTTGCGCTTCTCCTCCGCTGTCATATCCTGCCGCGTACGGTTCTCCAGCACAGTATTGCCATCCACCACTAACTGGAGATCTTCTTTCTACGAAGCGAGAAATAAAACACCAAAAAATACAGACACTTTTCAAACTTCGAGCACGAGTTGATAGTGAGCGTAGAGTGGTGGGTGAGTGGGTGGGTACACGATGGAGTGCAGACACTTTTTCTTATAGAACAAGAAGAGAGAAAAAGCAAGCTACGGTTAACAGGGTATTCCCCTCCGCCATACTCCAGCCATGTACACAATGCAAGCTTGAATGAGCGATGACCTATATCTTGCTAAACGCACTGCTCACCACCAGTAGATACTAGTTTCATTGCTGATCAGCACCAACACATACTGCATAGTGCTACATGCAGACACACACATGCAGACACACACACCATTGGACCATTGGACGCCCATCGCCGGAGGAGATGATAGCGATGCTACAGCAGAAGCCATAGCAGCTTGTGCTGGGATTGCACACACACACACACACACACACACACACACACACACACACACACACACACACACACACACACACACTCGCACACGTGGCTACACATCCAGTCCTTACCGCGGCGCCGTTGGTCTCTGCTTTTTCCGTCTACAGTGCAAACACAAAGCGCAAAAGTAAGGATTAGGGAATGCTGGTAACAAAACGAAACAAAAAAACTACATACATGTATACCGGGAAGTACCGCGAGAGCGCCCCGTTTCACGAGAGCGCCCCGTTTCACGAGAGCGCCCCGTTTCACGAGAGCGCCCCGTTTCACGGCAGCGCCCCGTTTCACGGGAGCGCCCCACCTTGACTTTACAGCCAGGGAGAAGGAAAATTGCATGGCAGAGAGCAACAAAGTTTGTACGGTGTGTGAGAACCTAAGGGTTTTGTGTGCAGCTCAAGGTAAACTGAGTACGGATTGACTGCACAGCGTGCGATGTGTGTACAAGGTACACTAGGTACGTGTCGTTTGACCTCCAGACAGGACACCACCTCCACAGCACGACCACGGATGGACGAGTTGGTGGGGCGCTCTCGCGGCACTTTACGGTACACTCAGAAAGTGTTTACTCCCCACACTGGAGCTCGTGCTTTTCCACCAACTTGATAAGACATGGAACAGACTGCTTTATCAAACAGCTGCCAGCAGTGTCCCTCACCAGGTATCTGCAACTACATACATACCTGAATGGGTCCATCCCTGACCCAAGTACACGTAACGACCGTTTTAACCAGCTTGGAGAGGTTTCATTCTCGGCAACTAGGTGGCACTTGCACATAGCCATACTATCCATAGCGGGCGTGTATTCCACAGCGAGTTTCAGCGTCACTTGCTGCCCCTCCCGACCGCATGACATCACACGGTGTCAATCTGTCCCGAACAGAATTCCAGACGTGCAAGATGCTATTATAGTGTTAGATGAATAGTAGGTTTGATCTTGGAAAGCATACCTCCATAAATATAGCCACGTTCTTGACCTGCTTCTTCGACGCTGTGAGCAGTTCTGCGGGCTCCTTTTCCTGTAGGAAACAAGGCACAAGAACGAAGTACAGCAGCAGAACTTGTGCAATAAAGGACAGTGACCAGCACCAAAGATCCAGCATCAAACGCAAGTCATAGAATTTCTAAGCCAAATCCCATGTCTTATCCAGGCAAACACCATCGGCTACTAAGAAACGTCTACCAAAACACATCAGGGTTCAGTGCCACGGTGCATAGATTAGAATGTCAAGCTGACCACTGGAAAAAAAGAGGGGCTGCGAACGAATCAAAGACTCATTGATGTGTTTGTTCGAATTGATTGCAAGAAGACGTCACAGAAGCGCAACTCAAAACGTCGTCCAGTACCCCCCCCCCCCCCCTGCACAACTACACAGAGAAATACAGTAGAATACTGGTTACCCAAACAATCGATTATTCAAAGTGCCCGCCGGTGTCTAAACTGAGCTGAAGGGAGAAAATGAGTTTCGCTGATTTTCTGCATCCACAGCACCATTGAAGAAAAAGAAGGTGTGCTGTATGCATGGCAGCAGGTTGTCAACATGTATCTCGCTGGATAATTTCGAGGCCGTATCCGAACATAGGTCTCATCCGCACCCCCTGGGGACGGCTGTGCGCCCCGAGGGGTGTGGATATTCAGCACTGTACTGTATACTGTAGTGTCCTGTAGAAATGCCTGTTTCGTGTAGAAGCCTGATTTGAATAGAAGTCTAATTTAGATGATACAATGTCAGCGCATAAGCCTGGTTTTAGTATGACATACATAGAGACACGTGGTTCGAATAGAAGCATGGCACTGATATCGGATTCTACAGGAATAAGCACAGCTTTTATGCGCGACATTAGAGTATGCAGTCCAATAGTGCTGCTTACCTTTGTGAGAACGGTGTCACCAATGAAGAGAGCATAGTTCTCGTCGTCATCCGATGACGAAAGATCGGTCATACCGATGGCGAGATTGAAGACCATACCTGCACGGAATAGAGGGAAGACACGGCGGGAATAGAGAGAACAGCAGAACTGAGAAACGATTCAAGACTGGGCAACGCCGCACGCCTGAAGTAAGGGTAAGATTAACCAGTGTTGGACTTCTACAAAGGCAGTCATGAACGTGCTCAAGTCTGGTCAAACGGGAGTCTTGCTATTGCTGTTGCAATTGAAGCTTCATGAGAGACATGAATACAGCACGGGGTCAGCAGCCAATGAATTTGTGAAGCTTGTGCACATGAATGAGCAATACATCATCCAATGACATGCGCAAGAGAAAGATGAGGCCCTCCCTCTGTCCTGCTTAAATCAACGTTTCCTGTACTCATCCAATCTGTGCAAAGTGGTGAGCACGAGTACATGTTAAGAGTACGATGTATGTGAAGAGTGAACAGTGAAATCGATTATGATGCACGCACCGGCTTTCACTACTGCTTGACACTTTGGACCAATGGTGAGTGACGCTTCCTTGAACTCAATGCCAGTTGCAAACCTGTGCACACGCATGAGACGCATCACGCAGAGAAACAAAGAAAAGCTCACCAAATGCAGAAAGCACCACCCATTCTTAAACCATGCCACATGCGGGCAATGAATTCGGATTAGCACTCACTGATTAAAAATGGGCATACTGGAAGCTAGTCGCAAGAGGAAAACACTGGGTCTGTAATTGCTACTGCGAGGGTCAAAACACAAGCGCTACAACCCAGCCTCTCAGTTGCAATGCCAGTATTTTGACAAAAGTCGTGTGGTCTCAGCCGTTTCATTCTCCTTACTCGTAACAACTTCAACTCTTTTTAAACTCACCAATCCGCAAGCCATTTCAAAAGAGCTTCCACGTTACTGCATGTCCAGGAAGGTGGGGAAACCCCTCATTCGATTCTGTGAATGCAGCCATTGCGCGACATGAGCCGTGACTCGACTCTCGAGCGTCGTAACCCTGGAACTAAAGATCGGAGCACTTCGGCAATTGTTTCGATGGACAGGTGGGGATTTCTCTTCGACCTACATACTTTATTTCTTTGAAAATAACCCAGAAATAACTGAGTTACGATCAATTGGAATATAGAACAGTTTCGATCCCAGGGGAGCGGAAGTTGTAGAGTCCGCACACGAAGGGTAAATACACACAATGCAAGGAGTAAAAACACACACACACACAACAAATCAACAATCTCAACCGAACACATAGTCAACGCACCCAAAGGTTTTCGTCGCGTGCTCTGCTAGAGACTTCTTCTTCGAGCTGAGAAAGTCATATGTCTTGCTGTAGACATCGCAGAGTTTTACGCCTGGAAAAGGAAAACGTAGACGTAAGTTCAAACAATAACATAAATATCGAATTGCTTCACATGCGTAGCATGATGTGGTATTTCCCTCAAAACGAGAACGGATGAGGAAGAGAAGGAAGAGACCTACCTGCCTTTAGCTCCTTTTGTAGTACTTCTTCCGTTTCCAGAAGAATCTTGTAATCCTCTTGCTGTGTCTGGAAGTCACAAGAAAAATAGGCGCAATATCACACATCATGCCTGAGTCTCCACAGAATATCGGTCAGTCATATCCATATGGAGCAGCGAGTCGTGGCATCTAGGGGGACGACACGGGTGATTGTAACACTAAACGATGTGGGTTTTGAACCCTGGGCTGCCTGTTCCAGTTGTCCTTGGGGCAGTGTCGATTGGGCAGGGACGATTTATGCACACTTGCATATGGCATCGCTGGACCGGGTCGCATTTCGGGTTAGCAGGTCAAGGTCGTGATCGCTAGTTGCAGAGACTCCAGACAACGTAGAACGTCCAAATCCGAACACAAATCATTTCGCGCACGGTGATCTTGTGTCGCCTCCCTAGATGCTACAACTCCCTGGTTGAGAGCTTTGGACAATGTCCATCCTAGTCTGCTGTACACTACGTGAAGATACACTGTGCGGGATGAGAATTTCAGGGAACGCAATTGACCTATGGCGGTCAGCTGTAGGGGCAATGAAAGCACAATTTTAAGAACATACCTCGGATGGCTGCACCATCATCGTTCTCACAATGTTGCTGCAGTAAGATCGATAACGTGCGCCCATTTGACAGATAATCGTGTCATACTTCAAGTTCTTGTCATTGCTGTGGAGTGACAAAAAGAGAAGAAAAAGTCAGGCATGCATCACCAACTGACCATGAACAAGGACTGCATGCTGTTTATGCCATTCCGAGCAAACGCCAAGGCCACAGCATCACTGCAGCATGCTGATAATGGGCTCAGCCGCTGTCCCAACGTGTACTCATGCAGACCAAGCAGAAAACCATGAATTGAGAATTGAGAAGACTCAATACACTGTAACAGGCAATTGTAAGTGAGAAAGTCACTTTGAGTGGAAAGCTACTACTTCTCGAAACACTACGCACACAAAACGAGTACTGTATTACGCTGATAGCAGGTCAGCAGTCAGGGACAGGGGAGCCCCAATCAATTTGATAGCCCCAAAGATGAGCAGCTACAACAACCATGCTCTCCGCCAAACCATCTCACCTAACAAGACTGAACTTGAGAGAGTAATCTCCACCGCTCTGGACAATTGGCGAGTAGCATACTTCAACCTACAGGAAAGGCGCAAAGACAAGGAAACACGGTATACAAGTAACCAACACAAACACATAGTGAGATGAGGGAGGGTGGAAGGAAAAGAGGTTGAAAGCAAAGAGATGGAGAAGCAGACACAACAACAGAGCAGAGGAAATAGAGCACACATACATCAACACAGCTTGAACTGAAATTGTGCGATGTACTCACCTCGCTAGGGTCAGCATTGCCAAGCAGCTGCTTGTTTTGGTGAAGGGTCTTCTCAATGCTATTGGCCAGGACGCTGTGCTTCACACGCTGCAGTACAATCGAAAATGATGTGGCAAGTTAGCAACACAACTCCACTGCATGCCATGCACTCAACCAGCCCACAACCGTGACAGCCAAGCCCAATCGCACTCAACGACATTCGGTAGCACCATCAACTTCATTCAAGATCTTGGCGGTTAGCAGCCTACAAGCAATGTCACTGCCTTCTCATCAGGTGGACATGGGAAAAGGGAGACACAATAATCAAGACCGTCTTGCCCAGTGCACAAGTTAAGAGATGTAATTGGCTCTTACCTTTTCCCGGTCCACAATCTTCAAAACCTCGGCCTTGAAGAACTTGCTGAAGACATCCGAAGACAGCTGGCTGCTTTTCTAGAACACATGCACAAGACGGAGGCTATAGTAAGTGAGAGAGTAATAGTGTGTGTGTGTGTGTGTGTGTGTGTGTGTGTGTGTGTGTGTGTGTGTATGTGTGTGCGTGCCAGCTAGTTCGGTTGGTGGGTACATTTATGCCTGATTGTGTTGGTCTGTTGCCAACGAGCTCGGCTATTTGAAGGTGTAATGTTGTACCTGCCACCTGTGTTGGTTCCAGGGTTTATAATCAACTTTATATACTTTCTATTTGAAGTATACATACATGTACCTGATAACCATGGACTGATTCTGGCTAGATTAACTCTTGTGTAATCAATGGTGCTAGTGAAGCTAATATCAGATCCACTCTGATTTAGCCACCCACACTAGTAGCACGTATTACCTTCACTGGGGGCAGGGGTGACTGCAGTTGGATCCCAGGACGGATACCCTGATGCCGTCAATCCTTTTTCTGCACCTTGTCCTCACCCACTTACTGAGGTGTGGTGAGCCCATAAGTGGGATCATTTTCAAGTCCACCCAGAGTTTTGGGGATTTCAGGGGGTGTCGGCCGTTGGGCGGTTCAATAGCCAATCGAGTCATCTTTCCAAGATTCCTTTTGAGTCTCTCTCCCCTCTCCCGGGGAGATCCACGTGACCAGTTTTGGCAGTGTGCAACAAGTACAAGTGTGTGTGTGTGTGTGTGTGTGTGTGTGTGTGTGTGTGTGTGTGTGTGTCATTGGTGTATCCAGAATCGCTCAGTGGAACGAGCACATCACCTCACAGCAGCTGCGGGATCGCTGGGGAGATCCCATCGCGCTATCAGAGAAGATCCGGCATCGGCGCCTCGAATGGCTTGGTCATGTTGTACGCCTTGAACCTGAGCGTGCGCCGCGACAGCTCTTGTTTGGGTCCCTGGAAACGACCCGGCCTGCCTATGGTCCTCGTCGGTGCTGGAAGGACGTGTTGCGTGTTGACCTCCAACATCTTCCAAACTGGTTTGACGTGGCCTCGGAGAGGTCTGAATGGCGCCAGTTTGTGCATGCACCGCCTCCACCGAAGTTAGCACCTGCTCGCGTGGAATGCGCCGTATGCCGCAGAACATTTGCAAAGCCGCACTACATGGCTCGTCACAAGTGTACCGCTGAGAAGAGGATGCCTATCCATCTCCAGCGTGGTGCACTCCAATGCGATCTGCAGCAGATGGTTTGCCAGCGCTGGATCCCGTGCTGTCCACAAGTGCACCCGCAGTACGATCAGCACCCAAGCTTGCCCGCCCTCGTCTAGTCGAGAGTCGATTCTCCTGGACAGTGGCAAACTCCAATGCCCAATGTGCCAACGCCAGTTTTCGCCATCCGGTTTCAAGTGGCACAAATGCAGCCGTGGCAGTCGCCCTACTTGTAAACAGAGGGAAACCTTCGAATATGAGTGCCGTCTCTGCAACAAATGTTTTCGGCTTCCACGAGATCTCAACCGGCATGTGGCTCGCCAGCATGGACTCTCTTACCCTGACTCTGGCTCCCTGTCACAAGGGAGTGACGTGGCCCAATGGGGCAGTCATGCTATAGTAGTACCGTACTGGCAATATATGTTGCCGCAGTGAGGCCATGAAGCGTTACATTGGCACATGTTTGCCGCACGCAGGGCGTTACATGCAAAGTCGCACAGGAGCCGTTACACAGGTTTCTATATTGCCGCAGTCCTTTTTTTGCTATTGCCGCATCACTTTTTTGCTATTGCCGCATCATTTTTTTGCCATTGCCGCATCATTTTTTGCAAACTGCGATGAAAAGATCGCCGCACCCCGCCGGACGCGCGTTACGAACTCAACGAAAATTTGTCGCACTAGCCTGGTCGCGCGTTACGCCGCACCCCCCTGCGTTACGCGTTACGCGGCAACATATATTGCCAGTACGGTAGTAGTAGAAGTAGTTTTTTTTTTGTTACACTGGTGTGCGGATGGAGATTTTGCTCCTCCGCAGTTTTTCTAATTGCTTTATCCACTATCCCAGCCAACCGTTTATTAACCTACTTCATTACTTTCTTCTAGGCTTCAGGAGTCGGCACCAGTAGTTTTCACCGCTGTGGAGTTGCCCAGTCCGCTATTCCTCCCTCCAGCTGGTTTTCTTGATACCTGGCGAGCCGGCCATTGTGCTGTAGTTTCGGGTCGCTTTCGACGCCTTCGCCTTTGGCCTAGGATGAGCTGGCTTGCTGTGCTGTGCTTCGCGGCTGGGTGCTTTCCCGCGTGGTCTGTGACGACTGACGCATGACGTGCGGGGTGCTTTTCACACCTCACGTCTCTTCGCGCCTTCTTCTGGCCGTGCAAGTGTATGCACTGTAACTGAAGTCTGCAGCTGTCTATCTATGAGCCCAGCCCAGCACGGCGTCCTTCAGGGTCGCACGTCTGGCCCACGTGTTAGCTGCTTGTCTGCAGCCGCCATTCCCCTGTTATGTCGTCTCAGTCGCGCAGGGGAGGTAACAGCAAGCGCTTGTGCTGTTCCTGCAGTAGGTCATCGGGCACGTGCCGCTCTTGCTCCTGCAACGCAGCAGGACGATGCTGTGTAGACTGCTACCCTGGCAGGGACCAGAGATGCACAAATTTCGGATACTAATCTGAGCGTTACTGTTGTCACTGGCGGTGCTGCTGGGGAGCGTTCGCTGCCTGATGCACCACCCGAATCAGTACCGGGGTGGGTGCCTCGCAGAGGGCGGAATACTTCGGTTTCCAGACCCCAGTCGTCGGCCATGGAACGTTCCCGTGCAGCATTGCACCCTGGAGCCGCGAGTTCTATGCAATCTTCTCAATCTGTTGCTGCTGCTTCATCCATGCAGCCCCTGCGGGTGGATCTGCCTGCTCTCGCGTGCTCGGAGACGGCTTCAATTGACGCTACTGGCCCACTGTCCGCAGGTGCTTCTGCTGATTGTGCTGAGGAGTCACGGGAGTTACGTGTTGACCTCCCTCCGGTCCGTAGTTCTGGAAATAATAGTACCACGGTCCAGCAACCAACCAATATTGACGCCGAGCCCGTTGAAAATGAATGTGGTTTCTGGTCATTGCCGGATGGCGACATCACCCAGCTTATGGATAGTGCCTATGTCGAGGTGATTAAATGGAAAAGGAATACATTTATTGTACCTTTTGGCGATGAATTGGCTCGGTTAATCGGTCTGTTTAGCGACGGATCTGAAGCCAGAGCATTTGCGTGGTCGGCTGTGGTTGTTGCGGGCCATTTGCTTTTGCAGCGCCCATTTGGCACCTCATCTGCCACTGACAACAAGGAGTTTCTTCGCAAGCGCCTAACCTTGTGGAAATCAGGCAATTTGATGGCTTTGCTCCGCAAGGCACGCTGTATCCAAGCCCATTTGCCTTTAGTCACACACGAGCGTACTCAGTCTCGGTCGGAGCTGGACGGCGTTGAGTTTGCCAAGATGGTGTATGGCGAGAGAATTGGTACAGCCACCCATTATCTAGAAGACAATGGTGGTGGGTGCGTTCTTCCTTTGGACCAGGAGATCAACGGGAGATCGGTTCTCGATGTCCTGAGGGAAAAACACCCGGATCTTGTGGACAGTGATGAGAGTGTTCTGTTGGATGACGAGCTGATAGTTCCGGAGAGTGTGCTGTATGAAGGCATAACAGCGGCCCGTATCCGGAAGTCATGCATGGCGATGAAAGGCGCAGCAGGTCCCTCTGGCCTTGATTCAGCTGCCTGGCGACGCAAGGTCTCCATGTTCAAGGCACCGTCCAATGCTTTATGCTCGGCTCTGGCTCGTGCTGCCAAGTGTTTATGTACTGAGGTTCTTGAGTCAAAACATCTCCGGGCGTTTTTGGCCGCTCGTCTTATCCCTCTGGATAAGCAGCCAGGCGTGAGGCCAATCGCCATTGGCGAGGTGTTTCGGCGCATAATCGGGAAAGCGATCATGTCCGTCATTGAGAGTGATGTGACAGCTATCACTGCTCCTCTCCAACTCTGTGTGGGAGTTCCTTCTGCGTGCGAGGTGGGAATTCAGGCTTTGTCCAGTCTGTACGGCCGGGAGAGCACTGACGCCGTTCTACTTGTTGATGCCTCAAATGCATTCAACGCAGTGAACAGGGCTGTGGCATTGCACAATATTCCCCGGATATGTCCTGCTGCCGGACGTGTGTTCATCAACACGTACCAAAGCGACATCCCACTTCTCCTGGACGGTGGTGAAGTGATCCAGTCGAGAGAGGGTACTTGTCAAGGCGACCCATTAGCGATGGCCTTCTACGCTTTGGCCCTGATTCCCCTCGTTCGGCATTTGCAGGAGGTCTGCCCCTCTGCGGGACAAGTGTGGTACGCCGATGATGACGCTGCTGCAGACAAGGTGCCGGCGTTGCTGTCGTACTGGCAGGTGATATTCGATGTCGGTCCAAAGTATGGGTATTATCCTAACCCGAAGAAGACCATTCTCCTGGCAAAGCCCAATCTAGCTCTTCGTGCCGAGGAGGCATTTGCCGGGACCGGTGTTTCGGTTCACACAGACGGTGTTCGATATCTCGGAGGAGCTGTCGGCACTCAAGAATTTTGTGACAATTTTGTTCGTGAGCGTGTGGTGAATTGGGCTGGCCTCATTCAGCGCTTGTCCACGGTTGCCATGACGCAGCCCCAGGCTGCTTATCACCTGTTCATCTCATCCCTTCAGTCAAGGTGGACCTTCCTCCAGAGAGTTATTGCTGCCGACCCCCAATTGTTTGGGCCCCTGGAGACAGTCATTGTCCAGAGTCTTCTCCCTGCTTTAACGGGTCACACTCTGCCTGTTGAGGGTGATCTCAGGAAATTGTTGTCCCTGCCCGTGAAGTTGGGTGGTTTGGCAGTCGGCATATCCGGTCAGCGAGCGGAGGCAGAGCATCAGCTGTGCCGTGTGTCAACTGAGCCGATGGTCCAGTCTGTGATATCTCATGCCCCTGGTCCTGCTGCAGTCATCGCATCCTGCAGGACTCTTGCTTCTGCGGCGCGCACAGAGCGTCGTACTCAGCAGCAATCCGTTCTGACCAGCATCAAGCCCTCTCTGCCGGACCAGCAGCGGCTTCTGGTCGAGGTTGCCGGCGATGGTGGCGTATCAACTTGGCTAGGTACCACGCCCACGGTCTTAACTCCAAGCAGCATTTTCAACAAAAATGACTTTCGGGACGCTTTGTGTCTGCGCTATGGTTTGGCTCTGGGTAGTGTGCCTTCATTGTGCGTCTGTGGTCGTGACATGACGACTCATCACGCATTCACGTGCCCCAGCGGAGGGTATCCTACACAGCGCCATAACCAGTTGCGGGACCTCTTTGCCGACACGCTGGCAGAAGTGGTGTGTGACGTGGAGACTGAGCCCCCACTGGCTCCATTGCAGGGTGAGGCTGTGTCAGACAACACTGCCGATGGCACTCGTGTGGATGTTCGGGCTTGTGGCTTCTGGGCGCGGCAGCAAAATGCCTTTTTCGATGTTCGGGTTACTCACCCAAGGCCATCTTTGCTGTCGCGATCACAAGTAATGAGCCAATTGGCTGATCACGAGCGCCAGAAGAAGCGTCAATATGCCGACCGTATCAATAGGGTTGATCGTGGATCGTTCACGCCCCTTGTGTTCGTCACGAATGGCATGTGCAGCACGGAGACCACTGTTTTCCTGCACACTTTGGCTGCGCGAATTCACGACCGTCATCGCGACCTACCGTATTCCCTGCTTGTGCGGCAATTGCGCTCGAGGATAAGTTTGTGCCTTGTGCGATGGCAGATTACCTGCCTTCGTGGTGCCCGTGCGTCGTACGTCAAGAGACATGCTGGTGGCGGCGCTCATAGCTTCGTCATGGAGTGCCGGGCCCATGCTCATCTTTTGACCTGACTGTGACCATCAATGTTCTTTTCACATGGATTGATTTTATTTATTACTTCACACCAGATCCATTTTTTGTTATTATTTTGTTTGTTTTTGTTTTGTTGTTTGTTTGAATGTTTTGCTTTGATCTACTGTGGCAACGTGCTGACTGTGTTTTATCCATGTTAGGGTGGGGGCTATTTGATCGCGGCTTTTTAGTGGTTTTCATTTCATGTTTTTCAATGTGTGAGACTTCATTCACTATTTTTCTCTTTCTCTTCTTTTTTGAATTTGGGTGTCTCTCGCATACTTTCATTTGCTGTTGCTTTGTACCTTCTCTTTGATGGTTTCTGTTGCTCATTTGGATTGAAATAAAAACGATTCCCCTAGTAGTAGTAGTAGTAGTAGTAGTAGTAGCAGTAGTAGTAGTAGTAGTAGTAGTAGTAGTAGTAGTAGTAGTAGTAGTAGTAGTAGTAGTAGTAGTGTGTGTGTGTGTGCGAGTGTGTGTGTGTGTGTGTGTGTGTGTGTGTGTGTGTGTGTGTGTGTGTGTGTGTGTGTGTGTGTGTGTGTGTGTGTGTGTGTGTGTGTGTGTGTGTGTGTGTGTGTGTGTGTGTGTGTGTGTGTGTGTGTGTGTGTGTGTGTGTGTGTGTGGTATCTCTGTGTGTGTGGTGTGTGTGATGTGAGTGTGTGTGATGTGTGTGTGTGTGTGTGTGGTGTGTGTATGGTGTGGGTGCACGCGTGTGTGGTTTCAACTGGTTTGTATTGAAGAAAGGACACCTATGCTTCTCTTCAATGCTCATAGAGTTCCACTCTCCTCAGACCACTATCAGGGACACAGCTGGTCCCCCTTTTAGGGGGGGGGGGGGGGCAAGGTCGAATATGTGTAGGTTGGCTGGTGCATGTATTTATGGTCGTTACGTGGATGCTGAACCTAGGTCGAAATTTGGGGGGGGAGGGAGTGTGCACGTGCCTACTCCCCCCCCCCCCCCCCCCCATGCGGCCTACGCGCCTGACTATTTCTGCTCACATTGGCAGGCTGGGCAATACAAGACTAGCACTTTGTACACCAGAGTGTTCTGGACAGGAGACTAACCTTCATAGTTTGCAGCTCCGCTGAATCTTTAGGTGCAATGATATACGCCAAGTGAGCGCTCTCATCCACCTGAACAAGACAGGACACCAGAAATCAAGACGAGAACAGGTGAAACAGAGCGCATGAAAACTGGCCTTGATGCAGATACCATTGCACCTTTGAGTGAGATACGGGTTATGGCTACTAAATCTGCTACCAAGAGACGGGGACGACAGTGCTTACTGACTGCCTCCTACATATCCTGGTGGTCCGGGACCTGGCTCTGCCCATAACTTTTGAAATGTCCGTAACTCCGAATCACATACATATTGATGCGGAAAGGCCATAGGTATGACATGTGACACACTATTTCCACAAAAAGTGACAAAAGGAGTTGTAATATTTCCACCGGAACTCGCCCAAAGGGTGCCCGGTAGACCGAAGTGCCGGTAAATCCGGGGTGGGGATAACCGAGGTATTCTGATCTATCTGTGAGGGTTGCAGTCACAGGTAAACTGACCCAGCACACTGTACAGGCAATGGCGACCAGTTTCTAAACAAGTCCCAAACGATGGCGGCCATGAGAACCGGAGGAGTGGGATATTTGCAGAAACTTCTCCAAACCTCCACTGTCTACCTTACCGTCTCTAGGCCTGACCCACTTATAGCCTTCTGCCACTCGGGCACAAAGTCTCCTCCAAACTTGTCCTTTGCGAGGATTCCAAGACGCTTCCCCTGAAGAAAACACACCGCAGCGGCAGCAAACGATCACAGGAAGAGTCAAGCATACGCATAGCCGTACCATGCCAATCATCATCACTTTCATCCAACAAGGGAGTTGTATAGACAAAAGGAGAGGACACAACACTAATTTCCATGGAATTTTTTAGTAGCATCAGCATCAGCAAGCACAGAGCCTAAATTCTGACCTGCAGTGTGCAATGCAAAGAAGCAAGTAGGCACGTGACCTGCACACATACATGTAATGGTGAAAGGATAAAGAACAAAATCACCATGATACCACAAACTTTAACTCACATTCTTGCTGTCCTTGACTTGTGAAAAGATATCAGCAAAACTGCCAGAGTTGTCTTCCTGTATCATTGAGAGGGTAGTAAATACGCAGAGACACAGAGAACACCGCAGTCCACTGTTTCATTTGCAGTTGACAACACAGTAGTACCACACACAAGGGGAAAATAGGATTATGTACTGGTAGTCAACCTGGGTGTATTTCAGAACGTTAAAACAAGGAATACAGACACGTCACGCAGATTCGCCCTTGCTCTGGACGTGTCTTCAACGCATTGCCCATAGAGTGCGCTATCATCCAGTGCCCTGACCAGCAATTTCCTCTGAGACTTCATAAAATTGCACAGAAAGATGAGAGCCAACGAACAAAATGCATCATGTCCGGACAACTTGCCTTGCTGCGTAAAACAAGCGACACCTTGACGGAATCCAACTTCTCTAGCGGCTGCATAAAGGACAACTTCTTCTTGCTAGCTATGACGGTGAAGAACTTGGGGCCGATGACAATCAATGTATCTGTTAGCTCATAGCCAAGCAGCCATGTCTAGCCACCATGGTATGGGAATAGAAGCACACAGCACAAGGAGGAAAGTCAAGAAACGTTCGACATGCAGGCCAAGTGTTGAGGATAGAAAGGAAAATACTGCACAACACATAAAGCAACACAAGAAAACACAACGCAGCAGCAGCCACTTGCATATCTGGGCACAAGTATCAGACTTTGACAACAAGGCTGTCAGCGTTGAATGGTGCTCAGCAAGCTAAACAAATAGGGTGAATAAGTACGGAAAGAGAGAGAGAGAAAGAGAGAGAGAGAGAGAGAGAGAGAGAGAGAGAGAGAGAGAGAGAGAGAGAGAGAGAGAGAGAGAGAGAGAGAGGCGGCTACCTGCAGTGCAGTTGACTTGGAGTACATGATATCTTCACTGGAGCCCACCAGAGCACATAGTGCATCACAAGCAAATGTGTCATTCTAACAGCAGAACAAAAACACACATCACCAAATAAAAGATTTTTAGATTTCACAAAGCTATAGGTTCAGGAGAACACCCAACCTTCTTTTTCCAACTACATTGCTACGGACAATACATGTATCTATATGATAGGATCAGAGGTCACTTTTGCTGCGGCAACACACAGATATCAAGAGTACATAACCCCCAAGAGTGCGCAACTCCAGCTAGCTATGGGGTCTGCGATGGCAGAACTTCACATCACGTGGTGAGCCCGTACACCTTATTCGCAGCATGTGCATGATAGATCCAGGGTTTTATAGCATGTCACGCGAGGGTTGTCTGTACGACAGCCAATCAGCGGACGCCATGAGCGTGCAGGTATTTTTCATGTATTGCCCGTTCAGGCGGGCAGTAACTTTCTGTGTATTGCCCGTTGAATCAGAACACTCTGCAAATGCCCATTCGTCAGTTGAGTCCTTCGCTTCTCCGAAACAGGTTGTCGTTCTGGTGTGATCGACGGTAGATGGACAAAATCGCCATCAGACACACAAATCATCCAAAGAAGCAACAGGCTCGAAAAAAATGGAGGCCTCTACTGGCAAAGAGCATGTACAGAAGAATCTGATTCAACGGTCAATACACAAAAAAATTACTGCCTACCTGTCGTTCTTTGCGAGGTTGGCTGTAAGTCCAAGTCACCAAGAAGTAAAGGTGCCAGTTTTAAATGGACTGTTTGTAGTGTAAAGTACCACGAGAGTGCCCACCATGTACCATCTCGTCCTTTCGTGGTCGTATTGTGGAGGTAGTGTTCTGTCTGTAGGTCATGCGACACGAACCTTGTACACACATCGCACGTAGTACAGCCAATCCGTACTCAATTTACTAGTACCTTCGAGCGGACACGAGCTCCACACAAAACCTGCTGAGTGCGGCCTTACTACACTAAGGTTCTCACACCGTATAAATTCCGTTGCACTCTGCCATACGATTTTCCTTTCCCTGGCTGTAAAATCAAGGCGGGCCGGGCGCTCTCGCAAGACGGCGCTCTCGCGGTACTTTACGGTACTTTCACTCGCCAAAATCGTACAAAGTCGTGTGTACGGGTAGGTTATATAAGCCACACTTTAAACACCAGTAATTCACCCAACAAATGTCGGTGCTGTAGTATGAACTCTTTTACGCACTTTACTTGTATGCATGCACGTGCCGTTGCGATACGTGTTCACGCCCGCCACGTGGTCTTTACACTCCGAGCATGCAGGCCCCTCAGGTACGCATGCGAGGAACTGATCATGCTTGTTCTGGTTTTCGGGAGTTAGGAGTTTGTTGGCAAGAAATGAAGTAGAAGCCTTTTCGGTGTGTGTAGTTCTGTTGTTGTCGGACCTGGATGGTTGCTGTGCGATACACCCAAAACATGGTGGCAGCGGTGTTCTCGCGGTGCTAGCTTTCGGTTTTCTGTCTCCGTTTTCCGCGGATGGGTCCAAAAAAATCCAAGCCTCACGTCACGAAAGTAAATCCACCTCGTCCAGGTACCATGAGTTCTGACAACTCGGAGTCTCAAGCTTCTACCTCCGCCGCAACTGCCTCTGCCGCAACTGCCTCCGCCAGTCCGGCCGTAGATATCTCCGCGTTCTCGCAGCTGCCTCAGCTCCTGCAGGCTCTGATACAGCAACAGCAACAGCAGCAGCAACACCTCCAGCAGCAGACCACCGTTTCGACTGCTCTACTTCAGCATCTGTCTCAGCCGAGTCAGCCTCCCGCTCCGGCTTCTCCCGGGAATTTTCCCAAATTACAGCCTTTGGAGGACACCAACGATGCGGAGGCTTGGTTCCTTACCGCCGAACGCCTGCTCATTGGTTACGGCGTGCCTCCCGATCGGCGAGCCTTGGCGATCGTACCCCACCTCAAGGGCAAAGCTCGCAGTGCTTACAATAATCTTCCCGTGGGTGACTCGAAGGATTTCGTTCTCATCAGAACTGCAGTACTCGCGCGTTTCCGATTGGACGCGGAGGAGTATCGCCTGAAGTTCAGGTCCATAAATTTGTCCTCGCCTGGCGAGACGTACATGGAACTCCTGGTGTGCTGCAATCGTGGCCGCACCTAAGTACAACGGCACGGTACGCATCTGTGCTGATCTGAAACCTCTGAACGAAGCCGTCCGACGGTCACACCATCAGCTGCCAACAGTAGACGAAACTCTTGGCCAAATCGGCGACTCAACGGTGTTCACGAAGCTCGATGCCAACAGCGGGTTTTGGCAGATCCCGCTGGACAGTCCCTCCCAGCTTCTAACCACCTTCATCACCCCCGCTGGTCGGTTTTGTTACACGAAGTTGCCGTTCGGCATTTCCTCTACGCCTGAGATATTCCAGCAGCGCATGTCGAAGATCCTGGCTGGCCTGGAGGGTGTGGTCTGCCAAATGGACGACATCCTCGTCCATGGCCGCACTCGTGCCGAGCATGATAGTCGGCTCTACGCGGTGCTCCGCACATGGTGGATGCAGGGCTCACCCTCAATCCGTCGAAGGGTGAGTTCACCGCCTCTGACCTGTCCTTCTTGGGAGTGCGGCTCACTGCTGCCGGCATTCAACCAGGTGACAGCAAGTCCTCTGCTATCCAGCGCTTCCGTCAGCCTGCAACCGTCTCAGACGTCCGCAGGTTCATGGGTCTGGCGAACCAACTGGGAAAGTTCTCTCCCAATCTCGCCGCCCTCAGCCAGCCACTGCGAGAGCTGTTGTCCAAAGGTCGCGCATGGACTTGGGATCAACCACAGCAGGCAGCCTTCGACAACATCAAGGCAGAGCTCTGCAAGCCAGCCTGTCTGCAGCGCTACGACCCCAACTACGACACCAAACTATCTGCCGACGCCTCATCCTATGGCCTCGGTGCCGTGCTCTACCAGCGCCGGTCCTCAGATGTTGAGTGGCGTCCCGTCGCTTGCGCATCCCGGTCTCTCACATCGGCCGAGCGCAACTACGCCCAAATCGAAAAGGAAGCTCTCGCGATCACTTGGGCTGTTTCCCGCTTTGACATTTACCTGCTTGGCATGGCGTGCTTCCTCATCGAGACGGATCATAAGCCTCTCGTACCTCTTCTCAGCACGAAGCGCCCACACGATCTCCCAGCGAGAGTCCTGCGCTTCCGACTCCGCCTGGCACGATATCACTACCAGATCATTCACGTTCCAGGGAGCTACCTCACCAGCGCCGACGCTCTCTCACGCGCCCCTCAAGACGACTCCCCGAGTCGGGATGACATCACCATTCAGGCTGAGTGTGACGTGTTCGCTGCTATCGCAGTCGAGAATCTAGCCGATCAGACCGTCCCGACGCAGCAGGTTAGAGACGCCCAGCAACAGGACGCTACATGTCAGCAACTGCGAACCCTCATCCTCGACGGCTGGCCCGCCGCTATCCGCGATGTACCGCAGCCCCTCCGTGAGTTCTGGCCTGTCCGCTCTGACCTCGTCCTGCTCGATGGCCTGATTATGAAAGGCTCCCGGATCTATATTCCCCAGTGCTTGGTGGACGATACTCTTCAGCGTCTTCACGCCGGTCACCAGGGCGTCACCCGTACAACCCAACGCGCCACAGTGTCAGTCTGGTTTCCTGGCATCACCGCACGCATTAAGGCTCTCGTGCAAGATTGTAGCACTTGCAAGGCCTTCCGCCCGCCGCCGGTCGAGCCACTGCTCGCTCACCCCACACAACCTCGCGCGTGGCACACCATTGGCGTGGACCTCTGCCAGCTCGACCGCGCTCAGTACCTGGTGGTGGTGGACTATTATTCCCGCTATCCAGAAATTGCGTCCCTCACTTCCACGACATCAGCACGGATCATCGACCATCTCCACTCAATCTTCGCCCGACATGGCATTCCAGCAGTCCTTCGATCGGACAACGGTCCCTAGTTCTCGTCCGCTGAGTTTGCCCGGTTTGCAACCAGGGCCGGCTTCCATCACATCACGAGTAGCCCTCACTACGCACAGTCAAACGGCGAGGTTGAGCGTGCCGTCCGCACCGTGAAGGTGTTCCTGAAGAAGTCCGCCTCAGCAGCTGACTTGTATGATGCCTTGCTGGCATATCGGTCGACACCCCTCAGTTTCGCGCCGTACAGCCCGGCTGAGCTACTCATGGGTCGCCGCCTCGCAACGCCGGTTCCATCACAGTCAGCCCAGCTCCAGCCCAGCTCAGTGGACACGGATGCCTTCCGTGCAACCGACACAGCGCAACGCCAGAAGTCCGGAGCTCAGTACAACCTGCGGCACAGAGCGACTATCCTGCCCGCTCTCCCCCCAGGCGCGGCCGTGATCGATGTTTCGACTCCAGGTCGCCGGGAGAGGGGTACAGTGGTAGCAAGATCAGCTGAACCCCGATCCTACATAATCCAGTTGTCATCCGGACAAGTACGACGAACCCGGCATCACCTGATCGCTATCTGACTCTCTCTCTCTTCCTGTCACTTTCTCACTGTGTGTTCGAGCACGTATGCACGTGCGTTTGTGTGTGCGTGCCGATATGTGTCTGTCTTTCTCTCGCTTTCTCTCTATTCCTATTGCTACTTCGAAGTAGTACCTTTACGCAGCTGAATAGTAGGCTTTGACTCCTCACGCTCTGGTTGGGCGATCCTGGATTAGGACGCTACTCTCAACCTCCTATTTCCGGGTCGCTCAATCATAACGCATTGCAAGAGTCCTTGTTCTCTCATGTGTATTGGCCCGTCGTCTTACTCAGTATTGTTTCTACCGTTCCGCATGTTTTTCGCTTTCCCATCTTTAGTTCCTCTAGTTCCCCGGAGGGGGGAGATGAAGTATGAACTCTTTTACGCACTTTACTTGTATGCATGCACGTGCCGTTGCGACACGTGTTCACGCCCGCCATGTGGTCTTTACACTCCGAGCATGCAGGCCCCTCAGGTACGCATGCGAGGAACTGATCATGCTTGTTCTGGTTTTCGGGAGTTAGGAGTTTGTTGGCACGATATGAAGTAGAAGCCTTTTCGGTGTGTGTAGTTCTGTTGTTGTCGGACCTGGATGGTTGCTGTGCGATACACCCAAAACAGGTGCGGCGTATACTACGATGATCAAATTAATGGTGATAAATAGGGTAGATTTCTGTATCTTGTGAGAAAAGATCTGGGTGCGGCTGATACAGCAGAAAGTACGGTACATGAACAGCTCACAATGAACAAACAGGAACAGTGTTACTTCAAAGTACTGTAATTTCATAAATTTTCGGTGTGCTTTTATTTTCGGTACTTTCGGCGCGTCTGTTTCATACCTAAAATTTCAATACACCGAAAAAACACTAACACCTAAAGTCCAATAGGGAACTGCTACTCTGTACCTAAATTTTCTGTTCATCTAACCTGGCCTTTTGACCTCATACCGAAAATATTGAGCACCTGAAATTTGTGAAATTAGAGTATACGATGCACCGTTCGCTCGGGTGGCTTTTCCCGGTGAACGTACAGTACTGAGTCTGCAGTCAAACAATTACACTTTCCTTTCTCTGCTCCCTACACGTAATGAGTGTTGATGTTCTCAGTTTCGTTCAATTCTGCGATGTCCACATATAGATAGGAGTAACAACAATCAATGGGCGAAAATCCTCAACCTCCGCAGTAGTACATGTACTGAGAATTTGTTAGTTTGAAAGAGGTTGTTGTGGTTGTTGTTGACTTTTATTTTACTTGAAGAGAGAAGTTGAGATTAGAGATCACCAAACTTCGTACTCATGTCAAATAAAACGCAACATTTCGCACGCCTGAGAAAAGAAAGTTCATGAGTATTGCCTGGCCGTCTGCATGCCCATCATGTATTTGATGTTAGCCATTGGATAGATGTAAAAAATGGATTCTCACGTAAATTTTAGAAGTGGAAAGTGTATACTATTTTTCAAACATGTTTGATTTAAATATCTCGTGTGACGGTGAAGGGACAAGAAACCACCAGACAATTCGACACGCCTGAGAAAAGAAAGTTCATGAGTATTGCCTGGCCGTCTGCATGTCCATCATGTATTAATTTTGATGTTAGCCATGGATAGATGTAAAAAAATGGATTCTCACGTAAATTATAGAAGTGGAAAGTGTACACTATTTTTCAAACATGTTTGATTTAAATATCTCGTGTGACGGTGAAGGGACAAGAAACCACCAGACGACAATTCGACTACACAATGTGAGCACAGTTGCTGAAGCACGCATGCACACCGACAAAATACTTTAAAAAAGCAAAATTCAATGAAATTCATGAAATTGCTCTTACTTTCCAGGCGTCCAGCAGCACCTTCAGGCGCCGCTGAAACTGCTCCACGTTAATCGATGGACTCCCCATTGAAGCAGCTACAAAAACATTCGTGAGACAGTAATTCAACTACAGTCCAGGAGCAGAGGCAAAAGACTGAAGTCAATGCCAAAACTCAGTTGATGAAGCTTCAACTCAAAGAACTCGTTTTTCTTGATCGAAGCGAGCGCAAGGCGAACCATGTGGCGGGAAATAAAATGAGACTTTTCGGATGCCCTTTTCGTATCTTCCTTTCTGACGTCATATAGAGCGTACTAGCTAGTACATCATCGTCGACGTCATCAAACGTAAACAGTGATTTTTTTACTCCTGCAGTCCTGCTAGCCTGGCTGTGGCGTCGGAGAAAGGAGCTTCTTCCCGCCGGGCCTGGCTCACCTGTCGGCGCGGCCCTTGAAGCGGCATGGCTTGTCCCTCACCAAGGGTAGGTTCGCCACATTTTCAGTCGCTCACGCTTTGTCTTGCCCCACCAGTGGGTTTCCGTCCGTCGGTGCGGCACAATGAGGTGCGTGACCTCACTACCCATATCCTGAAGCGAGTGGCTCGTGGGGCGGCCCCTACAAAATGTACCTGCAGCCGCCAGCCGGTCACTGGGGAGCTGTTCCGGTATCGCACCGCTATCCAGACTGAGCAGGCCCGTCTCGACGTTGCGGCAACGGTGGTATCCGTGGGGTGGCCGGTTTGAGCGTACCTTCATCGACGTGAGGGTTTTCAATCCTCATGCCTCCTCAAACCGCGCCACCTCTAGCTCCATTGCTTCCTGCTACACCAAGCATGAGAAGGAGAAGCGACGCTGCTACGAGCAACGTGTCCGCGACATAGAGCATTCGTCGTTTGTTCCGGCCATATTTTCTACCACCGGTGGTTTGGGCAAACACGCGGAGTCGCTCTACATTGTAGACTAGTACAAGCACAAGCGGATAGCTTCTCTTCAAGCAGCCAAGACTGGAGAAGCATACAGCGGTGTCATGTCTTGGGTTCGCTGCAAATTGAGTTTTGCCCTACTCCGGTCCAGCGTGATGTGTTTGCGCGGATCCCGGAATATTCGGCCGGTGCAGTTGGACTCACCTCCCACCTTGGCGGTTGCTGAGGCAGGCATTCATATTTGATCCCATTTGCCTCTGGTTTTGTCTGTATTGGTTTCATTTGTGCTCTTTTCATCCTGCTACTACATGTAGTAGTTTTCAGTCCGCTATTGGGCGGCAGCCGTGACTCCAGCTCTGTTTTGCACTTTCTTTTTCCTTAGATTTTTTTACTCCTGACTCCTGAGTCCCACTGGACTCCTGGCTTCCTAGATCTACCATGATCTATACATATCGCCGACTCAGTTTGTGAATGATTATGTGAGAGATTTGAGGTGACCTGTGAGTGTGACTCACCGCCAGTTGAAACGAATACGAGTCACATGATTGACTATCCGAATATTCTCCCCGGAACGAACGAATAGGAACTCACTGAACTCAGATGGTGAGCCAAGGAAAATATTGTAACATGGAAAAATGTGGGCACAAGTGCGATCGAGTCCACCAACTAAACCAGATTTTGAACGGACGACATAGCATTGTATTCCTCGCAGAGTTCTGTTGGGGCTGTCTCTGCTACGCTTACAACGGCAGTCACCAACCTAGCTGTTTGGCTACAGGCGAGGGGCCTTGTCCTCAACCCTACCCGCAAAAGCCGTGCTGTGATCTTTCTTCCTCACCGACAGGTGAACAACCCTCTCTCAACTGTCCAGTGTCGTGGAGTAGCCGTTCCAACAGCATCGACTACCACATACCTCGGTGTTGTACTTGATAGTAAGCTTTCATGGGACGCTCAAGTCGACCGAATTGTCAACAAGACTACCCGTAAGATTGGTGCGCTGTGGCGAGCCCGTCGCTCCCTATCCCGATCTGCACGGCGTCTCTTCGTCCAGGCTGTTGTCATCCCTGACATACTCTATGGCAGTAATGCCTTCTTCCCCGCGCTCCTTGGTCGCCAGCTTGATCGCCTGGGTCTGCTACAGGGCTATCCGAGCTATCGACGGCCACCCACCCTACACAACCGTGCACCCCCTACTGCTGTACTGGTGCAGCACGGCTTGTACTGGATAGGCGAACTCAGCAAGCGCAAGCTACTAGTGTTTGTCTGGCGGTGCCTTCACGGGAAAGCTAGTAGTGCCACGTTGTCTGTACTGTTCGTCAGATCTGCTGCGAGAGAACCCGTCATCAGAGGTCCAGTGGTCTGCTCAGTCAGCCATCCCCCACTCGCTCTGAGCTGGCGCTTCTCGGCCGTCCGTCGCAGGATCTGCACTCTGGAAACTGCTGCCGGTTGACGTTCGGACCATAGAAACAGAAAAAAGTTTAGCATAAGTTGCCTACCATATTGTTGCTCAGACTAGCCCTCCCCCTAGCTCTCCTCGACCACCCTGTCACCCCTGATACTCGCTTGACTCCTCTGTCAGATACTTCTTCTTTCGTAATTTTCTAAGTCCTGTCCTCTCTTTTCTAAATGCGGCTTATCCATTCGCCTTTATATCATTGGGCCTAGTTCCCGCTTATTGTGCGAATTAAAATAAACCAACCAACCAACACACACACACACACACACACACACACACACACACACACACACACACACACACACACACACACACACACACACACACACACACACACACACCATTGGCATTGGACCATTGGACGCCCATCGCCGGAGGCGATGATAGCGATGCTACAGCAGAAGCCATAGCAACTTGTCCTGGGATTGCACCATTCATCAGCTTGCAAGGCTGAAGAATTGGCCGCCACTATTCAGCCTGGTCTACACCACACAGCTATGAAGTGGCTTTTTCTGGCCAGTGAATCCCTACACACACACACACACACACACACACACACACACACACACACACACACACACACACACACACACACACACACACACACACACACACACACACGCACACACACACACACACACACACACACACACACACACACACACACACACACACACACACACACTTCCACAGTTCCAATCTCCGCCGGTTTTTAGTACTCCCTGGTTACCTGGTTACTGGCCGTGCGATCTCCATTTTTCTTCGTCTGCCCAAGCATGTTCTCTTACCGTTCCGGAATGATCAGATGGCAATCGGCTCAATGTCTAAACGTTCATCCCTCTCGCGTTTCACTTTCTTGTTTGTTTATTTAGAGTCGAAGAACACTTTTTAACCTCTTCCGTGAAGTAGCTAGCGACTAGGAAAATCCTGAACTAGTCCATTCTCTGTCATGCCATACGCTCTCCGAGTCTCGGATTGACACCGTTGCCTTGGTGTACTTAGTCTGGTGGACTTGGAGCCGCTGCAATGGGGTGCTTCTTATCGTCTTCAGATCTGAGAGCCGGGGACATATTGAGTTGTTGACCATCTGCATGTCTCTCCATCAGTTAGTCGATGGGGCTGCATGTTGTCGGACTCGAACTTTTGAGAGTGATATTCAGTAGTTGTCCTCGTAAACACGGAAAAAGGTGAAAGAACTCATCGGAGAGTGCTCATTTAACACATTATATGTACAAAACACATGTACATGTAATGTATAGTCCATGGTTGTCCGCTTGGGTATGCTCGGAGAGTGAGCATCCGTTACTAAAGTGTAGTATGGTATTAGATAAACCTTGTTTTAGCCTGTTCTCACATGTTGCTGGTTTGACAGCATGAAACATGGCAAGTTGAGACCGTGTTAGAAAGGTCACTGTTTGATGATTGATTGATTGATTTTTATTTAAGGATTGTCCAAAGGCCGCAGAGGCCTATCGAGGGGCTCTCCTGTGTGCTGTTTCCGAACACGGTGTCCTCCACCTTGTTTCATGCTGTCAAACCAACAACATAAAGTGTAGTATCTACCGGTATTGGAGGCAAATTACTTTCAACGGAAGAAGGAAAGTAGGATGAACTATTATCAATTTTTGTGATCTTCTCTTTTATTATCTTTTGTTCACGTATCCTGAGTGCGCATGCTCGTGATAACAGTGGAGAACCAGGTGACGACCTTGGAGAACACGGTGCGCACCATGTACCAGGGAGTACAGATTGTACACAAAAAACCATTTTTAGTAATAGTAGTAGTACATACTGGTACATGGAAGTCACTCCCATATGGCCCAGGTACTAGGCTAGGTCCTCACCGGGCCGGGGAGTACATGACATTGTACATACATGTACTCGGAGGGAGTTGACATTGTACATACTAGTACATCGTGAGAGTAAACCACTCCCTAGCCCTGGTACATGTACATACATGGTCCTCACCTGCACCATGTACTAGTACTCGTAGTCGTACGTGTACCATCATTATTCTGTCGGCGCAAGGCGATATGCATACTGACTTGACTTGGCCATGGATTTGCTTCTTCGGAGGCAACTCATTACTGAGTAAAGACAAGTGTGAACGATGGCGTGGAGAATGGAGATGTCAGTAGCACTGCGCGGTGAACCCTGACAATGACATACATGTACAATGTCATGTAAATCATTATCATGAGACAGGTTGCATCTCGTGTCAATCGCGCGAGGAAACCGCGACAAGAGGTGACAGTCCGTAACAAGAACACGACCACCTAGCGATGTGCTATGCCACGAGATCTAATACATGCACCAAAGACAGGTGACTGTTTTCTTGCGCTTTGGTGATTTCGATGTGCTCCTGTTTCTGTCTAGTGTAATACTTGCAATGGGGAATTGTCTCATTTTCACTATCTCAGTAGTAGAAACTAAGAAAGACTTACAGTTACTATAATAATACTAGTAGAAGTACAATGTAGTCCAGGGCAGGGATAAAGACCTACAATGCTACATACATGTACATGTAAGTCATTATGTAGCTCTAAACTAGCGGCATGAAACTCAGAGTTACAACCAACCTGACCGTCCTCCGCTGAGTCTGCTATGTAGCTCTAAACTAAGTTAACTCTACTACAGTACTAGATCTACTAGTGTAGTAAGTAGTAGTCGATCGGATATACATGATGTATGGCTAAACTGCCTGCAGTGCACCATATGCATACCGACTAGATCTAGATGATCTACATGTAGTAGTGCATGTAGTACCGGTACGTAGTGTTGTGAATATACCCGTTCTCATGCTGCAAGTAGAGTGGAGATATGGATACAGTGTACTACATTGTAGTAGGTAAGAAGACAGGACGTGTAGTATCATACATTGTAATGTTAGTAGCTAATAGCTATCAGTCACACATAATCATGCGGCATGATTATTACATTTACACATACAGTCATGTACATAGTCATTGTACTATCGCGGTCAATATCATGTAGATCTACATGACTTGTACATGATTGTATATCTTTGTGGTAACGCTCTGTAGACTCTGTAGTACACTAACTAAAGTCTTGTATTGCATTGTAAGTCCAAGACTCCAGAGAACATTTACTCGGGCGTCGAATGAACCAGTCAGTCACATCATGACTACTTACACAGTACTTGCACGACTAATGATATTAGTAATACTATAGTCTATAGTCTATACTGTGTTTTATCATTCAGAGTTTTATGTCTGACATTATGATGAGTATCGCCTGGACGGACGTCGGCTCGATCGTGTAGATACCGTGCTACATTGTAGATATCACTCCCTCGTGCCAGACTCTACAAAAGACTAGATCTACATTGTAGCCTATGTAGGCTCTGCAGTGCAAGCGCGCGCAAGGATGACCTGATGACGGCCAGGTCTACCCAGGGTTGTACTGTTGGACTTTGAGAAGGGAAGGAAAGGAGCTGCTGGCATTAGCGCGGATTTGCCCACTTTCTATTCGTCTCGCCAAGTATTTATGGTGCGGTGCCTGGAGTGCGCCTGTGAGGGATGGAGAGGAAGGCATACATGTACCTGTCGCTGCACCACTGGAATGCCATTAATGAGCGATTCTTTCGGGGTTGGCTTGTCACACGGGAGTGTTTCTCGCTGGCTGGCAGATGTATAAGATGATGAGAATAGGCGTTCACTCACGACGCTGCTGTCTCGAGATTACGTGCGATTTGTTGTGATGTGCGCCTCCCGGAGTCACTTCTTCCCAGGCCAGGATCGTGCAGCAGGGCTGAGCATGTGGCGGCAGAGTGAGACGAGTGATACTGATGGGAAGGACAACCCTGAGCAACACTCCCAGCCACAACCATTTCATCGATTGCACTTCTTTGTCTTTATACCGTGAGCGGCCATACTAGTAATACCTAGTAGTACTAGTAGTACATGTACCACCAAGAACTGTGACGCTACCCGGGCGCGGAATGGTAGTCGTAGTATAGTGGCGGGCCGTGGTGGAAATCCCGTCCGTGTCTAGCTTGCTGCCATGAATGTACCGCGCGACCCTGCGGACTAGCACCGTCCGAAAGCGTCGCGAGTACACGCTCTCTTTGCAGTGTTCTTGTCAGGCCGAGGCTGGCTCTTCGCCACCGCCGGTCATTGACTGTTTGAGCAGAGCAGGGTTCAACGGAAGTCGGCAGCTTTCTTCGTTCGCAGTGGTGACGGTGCGACGACGCTCTGTGCTGCGAACAGTGTTGCTGGTGGTCGTTTGTGAAAGCTGGAGTAACAGTTGTTATCACGTAACTTGCTGACGCCCCAACACCAAGAACTGCTACATCAGCCGTGACTGGACGAGGTCCTTGTCAGTTGTAATAGGACTCGCTTGGATCAGGGTGAGCGAATTACAGTACCGGTTGGGTTGTTTTTAGCCCCGGATGCCAGCCAGTGTCTGGCCAAGCCACACTCACAGTGCAGGCTGGTGCAATGTCCACAATGCTTAGGCCGCAGCAGCCCAGCTCCATAGTGTGTCCGGCTGGTGCTGGTGCTAGTGGTGGTGAAAGACAAGACACCGGTGGCGCAGCTGCTCAGCTGCTAGCAAGTGCCACACCAGGAACAGCGGCAGCAGTAACAATCAACAGCAATGGCTGCTCCGATCAACAAGACCTTCAACAGCAACAACACCAACAGCCCGTGGCAGTGGCAGTGGAACGCAACCAGTATGAGATGTTCGACACCAGCGTGGCTGGATCAGGCGGTAAGCGACCGACCCATGGCTTCAATATCGACTCTATCCTGTCTCGCTCTCAGTCTCAGTATCCTGGTGGTGCAGGTGCTGCTGCAGCAGCAATGACACCTGTGGCGGCAGTGACTTGCTACAGCAGCCACACACCGTCGTCCTCCGACATGCAGCAGCAGGTCTACCACCAGAGCACAGGTGCAGAGGTGAGAGAAACACACCATGACGCGTGAACATACACACACACACACACCGGCGCACACACGCACACACACCCACACACACACACCCACTCACACACGCACACAGACACACACACAGAAAGACACACAGAAAGACCGTGACACGCACAGAAAGACACACAGAAAGACAGACACACATACACACACAACACCTCATTCTGTGGCCAGCTCATGGAGCAGGAAGCAAGTTGTCTTGGGACATAGGTACTCCGAGGCATGGCATGTGCAGGCAATCGGGTCATGTCGGGGCACATGCACTCGTAGACTCAGTACTTTGTAAGTTTGCATCCACCTACTGCTTCAGTTAGGTAACACAAGCCTTGATCAGCTTTGGGTGGTTGCCCGGGCGGAGAATCGTTATTGTATCCTGTTCCAATGTGCCGAGAGGTTGACGCTGCTCAAACAGTAGGGCTTTGGGCAACGTGTGGCCTGAGATTGAAGTGGACTGGCTGAAGCCCTTGTGAAAGGCCGCTGATGAGTCACGAGGGAGTGTAAAGTAGAGGTGAAAATGTGATCATTTGCTCACCGTCTGTGACCAAGCGGGCTGTGCATGTTTCTTTTACATGGGCTCCTCCACTCAGGGTTTAGAGTATTGCACGGACTTCATAGCAACACTGCATTTGAACCTCCATCTCCTGGTGATCAAGCTTGACTTGTTCCAGCCAGTGTGCCAGTATACATAGCTGTAATGCCGTGTGGACTTTGAAACAATATCAGTGCGGGCAGACAAGGGTTTGAAGCAATATCAGTGTGGGTACACACGATGAGTTGAAGCTATGTCAGTGTGAAGTATGGACACGCGAGTTTGAAGCTATAGTGTTAATGCAGGTGAACAAGTAGGTGTAAGTCGGATAGCATGTTTGTGTGACTGCTCAGGCTGCTCTGGTGAATCCAGCAACAGCTATGTGTTTACCACGGTGTTAAGCTTGTGAGAGCCCTGGGCACGGATGAATGCGAACTGTGATGGCTGTGGCAGACAATAAAGAAGTTATTGTTCTGTTTGCGTAATTGCCACAGCAGTAATCTGCTGAAGAGTGGCATGAGCAGTCAGAGCAGAGATCAAGTGCTTGGGTCCCATACTTCAGTTACTGATCGCAAATATCATCCTTCGTAGCCCAAGGGCTGTCACGGTGTCCAGAGGTGATGACTCCAATTGCTAACCCTGTGAAGAATAACTTCAATTCCTACAGTATTCTTGCAACACCTAACGGTTATCATGCTGTGTATATGACTCATCACTGTGTGTATGACTTATCACAGTGTATATGACTTATCACAGTGCATTGCTCAGTGGAACCAGGCGACAGACTGCATATTGCAGTGGCTTGAACTTGGATTGTATTCTTTACCATGTACACATACTCAGACTTTGAGCAATCCTGTCATGTATCGTTTGGTAGTCCGATGATTTCACTGTCACTCTGGGTTACTTGATGATAAGGGAGAAGACACAAGACACTGTGTGATTTTCTTTTACTCAGCCAATAATAGCTATGGGTGCGTGTTAGTAGCATCAGCTAGGCCACTGTTGTAACTTGCAGCACAACTCTAGCAGTGGTTGTCTCAGTGTGATTATGCCCTGATTGTCTGGGGCAAACGGCTACCATTTCTTCTTTCAGGCTTCTGTTTACCTACTGTGGTTTGGTCTGCGGCTGGACGTGCATGTAACTGAAATGACCTTCTGTTGCCTGTGCTGTTTGCGCTGCATGCGTTCCTATCCTGGTGATGCAGATAAAGCCAGCAGCCGCATCCGCTTTACCAACATGGCCAGCACAGAGTATGGCAACCGGTCAAGTCAACGGCAGCAGACCAGCCTATGACATGTTCAGTGCGGGCGCAGCAGCAGCAGCAGCAGCAGCAACACCGGCAATGGCGCCGGTGGATCCAGCGGCGGCAGCGGCAGCAGCACAGCAGAGCCCCAGGACAGGTGGCCCTGAAGCGCACGGTGCGACGGTACCTCTGTCGCACGTCACACCGCAGGTCTTTCCCGTCGCCTATAGCAGCGTGAAGTCCTACCCTAACACACCCTGGCTGCAATCAACATGGCCCACACAGGCAGCAGCGGCGGCGGCAACAAATGCCAGCCACAGCCCAGCACGGCCCATGTCGTCACCAGCGATGCGTTACCCTGACAACGTGAATGTGCTCATGTGGCATCCCATGACTATGTCATCACACATGGAATCTTACAACAACTCTACAAACGCACCTCAGGCAACCCTGATGAATACGTCATCCGCATCACCGTTACAGCCAGCAGGAAACCCCTACTACAAACCGTCGCCACCATTCTGGATCGGACCGGGAGGTTCTGAGTACGCCATGCAGCAACCAGCACCACCCAGCCTGGACCTACGCTATGCATTTCCGGCAGCTGCCTTGACGTTTCACGGACGCACAGCTCGACTCGTTAGCCCCATGTACCGGCCGCAGATCAGCGAAACACACCGACCTGTCACCTGCAAGCTACAGAATGCCGACCTGTGGCAGGTGTTCAATCGACACACAACCGAAATGGTCATAACGAAAGCAGGAAGGTAAGTTCAGATCGATGGCATGAGTGGTCCATGTTCTATGCACATCATTTGTATCTACACTGTGTTGAGCCAGCACAACTACACATGCAAGAGTCACATAAGACCTACATATATAGGTTGTTTACACACGGGCCGGCACTGTTGCTGCAGTAATGCTCTCACTAAGTACACAGTATGCAAAGCTGGTCACACCCAGTGGACAACACTGAGCAAGTTACATGTATTACCGTTAGTTGTTACTCCGAGTTTCACGTCAAAGCGGTGATCATCAGACAACGTAGTTTGTTTCCATTGAGCAAGAGCACAGTCTGACGTACATAAGTGGTACAAGCAGTTGAGCTTTTTTAAATTTATTTTTTATGAAAGTGCACTTGCCTACACAGAATGGAAGAGAACAACGACAACAACAGCAAGAACATAGGGAAGAGCTAGGTCAAATCCGATCCGAGGTACAAAGCTAGCACCCTGGATCAGTTCCGATTACACCACTATACATGTATATGTACATCAGTGTACGCCCATCAGTGACTGCCAGTGTGCCAAGGCCATAGTGTGCAAGTCCAGGGCTCCTATTGTGCACTTTGAGTCGGGTAGCAGCTTGCAAAACTGCACATGTTGTGTCATGTACTACTACTGTAGTAGAGACAGGGCAGTGAAGCCGACAAGGCTGGTGAAACAACAGTCACCATGTTATACATGTTATACATGTACAACTGCATTGCCTTACTGCTGTGAGGTGGATGGCTAGTGGGTGTACGGCACTGGTGGTCCTCATTCAGTAGCGTAAGTGGGATATCCACGTCCAACTTCTTGACCATTGCTAGAGACACAATGCTAATGAGAAATGCAAACAAGACGTGGAAGGAGGTCCTCGTACCGCTAACAAGGGGATCATGTGTGCCAAGTTGGACTGTGTGGTTCTGGAAGGAGACGATCCCTATGATTTGATTTGCGTCCATGTACAACTTCTAGCCTTTACATTAAAAATGCCACTGGAGCTGTTTCCACAAGGCACAAATGGACTGGCAATTGCGCATGACCCCGTCAATTCAAAAAGACGATTTTGATCAGCATTGTTAATTAGACAGTCATTAATAAAGATGGACCCATGTGAGCAGGTTAAGTCTACGGGCAGGGCTTCCCATCATAATGAGTGTCACACAGCCTTAGGCAAGTAGTTGTGCATGTTGCTGTTTGCTCGGAGTGGTATGCATTCTTGGACCGAAAGCCACTGGCGTGGACAATTGGGCAAGTTACTAAGTAGTAGGTAACTTTTATGTTACGAGTTCCCGCGCTAGTCTGTGTCACAGTGGTCACTGAGTGCGGGGGTGGCAGTACTGGTAGTTCCAGGGTGGTAGTGCCAGGGTGGTAGTGTCGGGGTGGTAGTTCCAGGGTGATGGTGCCAGGGTGGTAGTGCCAGGGTGGGAGGTAGTGCCAGGGTGGTAGTGCCAGGGTGGTAGTGCCGGGGTGGTAGTTCCAGAGTGATAGTGCCAGGGTGGTAGTTCCAGGGTGGTAGTGCCGGGGTGGTAGTTCCAGGGTGATAGTGCCAGGGTTGTAGTGCCAGGGTTGTAGTGCCAGGGTTGTAGTGCCAGGGTGGTAGTCAGTGCAGTCGTGCGATGCATGGATAATCAGGGGAAACATCAATCACTTCCCTATATTGGGTATAATTATTGTTACGCAACGAAAACCACTATTTGATACATCTTGCACTATTTGATACATCTTGCAGGTGGAGGTTGTACCTGCATCTAAGGGACTCCCACTTTGGCGCAAGAGCCTGAAGGTGCGTGGTATCAAACAAAAATAACACCTCCTGGTTTCTGTGTGTGTGTATGTGTGTGTGTGTGTGTGTGTGTGTGTGTGTGTGTGTGTGTGTGTGTGTGTGTGTGTGTGTGTGTCCCGCACATGTGTGTGCTCCGTGCATCCTTGTGTGTTCATATGCTCATCCACTAGGCGTATGTTCCCAATCATTGAGGCTAAACTAGAGGGTCTGTATCCGGAACGGTCGTATGCTGTCGTTGTGGATATTGTCCCCGCTGACCAATACCATTGGAAGTTCACCGGAACGGAATGGCGTATTGGGGGACCTCGGTGCGAGCCACCAATGCCGTCCCGACTGTACGTACACCAGGAGTCGCCCAGCTCAGGTCTGCACTGGATGCAGGATGTTATCAGCTTTGGCAAGCTCAAGATCACCAACGACAAGGCAACAGCTGGGCACGAGGTTAGTGCAAGTCGGAGTACTAGTACATAGCCCCAAGACTCAGAGTGTGTATCTTTTCTGATTGTTTCACCCTGGTGACGGTCCGTGTAGCAATGCTCCTGTGTGTGTGTGTGTGTGTGTGTGTGTGTGTGTGTGTGTGTGTGTGTGTGTGTGTGTGTGTGTGTGTGTGTGTGTGTGTGTGTGTGTGTGTGTGTGTGTGTGTGTGTGTGTGTGTGTGTGTGTGTGTAGCCTACTGCAAACCCATCTTCCACTCTTTGGGTGCGCATTGCAAGCCATTTCAAGTTCGAGCCTTTGACGGCACATGTATGCCTCAGTACATGTAGCGCGTGCTCGGAGTGACTGACTCTGGCAGACTGCTGCTGCCTCGGTGGATCACAACGCAGCACATGTAGTCAGTTCACCATGGAAGAGATGCTCTTTGCTGATGTCACGGATCTAACACGAAACACTGGGCAAACTGTCAGGAGATTACGTAGGCAGCATGTGCAGTACTCTCCTTGGGTAAAGATACTACACTACACACCACGTCTACTTGCAACAGATACTGGTATTCATACACATGTGCGTGCTTAGCTTGGATTAGGAAATCCTGGTGAGTTGAGTGTGTGGACCTGCACCGGCAGCAAAATGAAAATTGCACAATCGCTGCACGTCACAGGGCAGAGCATTCAACATCTGGGGCACTGAGAACATTCAACATCCGGTGACAGGTTTGGTCGCAGGTTGAGCCACAGTTCATGGTAGTCCCATCATTTCTGCATAATGGGTGGACATGGGACCGCCACTGCTGAGAACACTTGCTCCAGACTGTGAGCTTGCCCATAGACCACCATTCATCACATTTGAATTGTGCAAACATTTTTAACAGACGCATTGGGCATGCAGCTTAGCACACACATACACACTCACTGTACAATTTGGAGTTGTGGCCCAAACTGGCTAGAAGTGCTAAATTGACTAGCAGATCTGGGGGCCTGATCAGGCCCAGTTTTCTCATGTTTCTGGCGGACATTCTGCCACCGAAGTGCGAATGTTGACACCTTGTGAGGTCGTCGTTGAGCAGCTTTCCTACAGCAGGCGTCAACAGGTGTTAGCCTGGCTTAACTAGGGCGTGTGCTGGGTGCGAATATAGCAGCAATTCTGGAGCATTTGCCAACACAAGGTTCATGTCAGACGCCACCACTTTCCTCACCTCTTGCTTGAAAGTTTAGCATTGATGAACACCTTGTGGGAGAGAGCCAAGCCCATGCTGGTCATTAGACATTCTTCGCTGTTACCTGGTATTGCAGCAGACACTGGCATGCATGCGTGACGGCAATGTGCAGCTCAGTGCACTGACATGTGTGACGGGGATGTGCAGGATGTACAGCTGGCATTCTGCTGCACCTCTGCCGGTGTTCTCTGCAGCAATCCTGCATTCTCGGCATCATGGTTATGCAGTATCACTTAAAAAAATACATTGCTACGACCATACACATGCCTGTGCTTGCATGTGGTGGTGACACGTTGGCTATACATAAACCGTGCGGCCATGTGTGACAGACGAGATGTTTTCTTCGCCTGCTCATTTTGAAACATGGTGCCAGGTGTCTCTTGGTCTGGGATACTACAAGTAGTAGGATTTTGTCAAACCGCTGCACGCCAATGTCATGCACTTGTACTTTGAAGTTGTAATATATTTACCGCCACGCCACGTATCCCTGTCTGTTTTGCAGATTGTTCTTGACTCGCTGCACAAGTACGTCGTGCGTCTGCATGTGGCCTGCTTCCATCACGCCAGTGACTACGCCGAGGTCGTGCACACGTGCGTCTTCAACGAGACGTCGTTCATCGCCGTCACCGCCTACCAGAACAACCAGGTGAGAGAGTCAGCCGCAGTGAGAGCCGGTGGCAGTGTGCTACCCCCCCCCCCCCCCCCCCCCCCCGGCCACATCACAAGTGTGTTTGACACCGAACCTGTGCAGCGACATGAGCCTTGCTTACCCACACAGTTCATCTCCGGCACATCAACCTGTGCAGCTACATCTCCTGTGACAGTGTGTGCATGCCTGTATTCCACCAACACGTCGACTAGGGTTCCTCGTAAAAAGTCAATGACATCTGTTGGGAGTTCCCTAGTAAAGTAAAAATATACATAAACATCCGTACATGTTCATATACTTCTAAAGTACATGTACCTGACCCCACACAAGTGGAGTACACCACCAAACAAAGAGTGCTCAGCACTGCTAATCAGAGCTCGTTCACACAGCAAGAAGAGAGGGGTCGGTTCCACTCTCCCTACTGCATGCACCAGTCTCAGACTTCATGAATAGGGTACTAGTAGATGATGTCTGCATCACTGTACAGCCCAGTGTTTGCAGGTCTGGTGGCTGCGCAGGCGGGTGTACATTACCTGGGGGGCTAATTGCACTATGCAACTGGATTTCATTGAGCAGTGTTGGCTACAGGAATGCATCATTCACACGCCTGGACAATTCTGTAAAGGCAAAGCCTGCTAACATTATTTTGAAGACGGGAGCATTCTTGTTGTTGTTGTTTCCAATCGTTATGCTCACGATAACCAGTGGCCAATAAGAGATGTTGTTGTTGCTGCTGCTGCTGCTGCTGCTGCTGCTGCTGCTGCTGCTGCTGCTGCTGTTGTTGTTGTTGTTGTTGTTGTTGTTGTTGTTGTTGTTGTTGTTGTTGTTGTTGTTGTTGTTGTCGTCATCGCCTTTGCTTCCATTGTTTCGAATCTTTATTCTCACGATGGCCTGTGGCCAATAAGAGATCGTGTTTTGTTGTTGCCATCACTGTCTTTGTCAATGTTGTTGTTTGTTGTTGTTTGTTGTTTGAACCGTCTCACTGCTATGTTTGGCTGCTGCAGATGACACAGCTGAAGATTGAACACAACCCGTTTGCCAAAGGCTTCCGTGAAGGATCTGCAGGGTGAGTTACGGCGGTTTCGCTTTCAAGCATTTCTTGAGTGTACACAGTGAGCAGTAGTGGGAGAAGCCCTGGCCTGGTCCTTGTTAGCACAGTGAAACTCCCCTAAGAATGCACTGCGTCATGTGAAATAGGCTGACCACTGTCTCGCTGAAGTCAACTGTTATCTCTTTTTTTTTCTTTTTTTCTTTCTTCTTCTTTTTTCTTCTTCTTCTTTTTCTCCCGGATCCCCGTGGTTAGTTGGTCACCCTCACTTCCTTGTACTGGCCATGTTATGCGCCATGAAGTGATGAAATGTAATAATCTTACGCCAATCAATATTTTTGCAGCCGTTCTTTTGTTTGTTGAAAAGCCAATGTGTGTGGCTCTGGATGGGTCAGAAAGATGTTTTAGATCGCTGTGACACCACGAGGGCAGGTGTCGTGTGGTTCGCTCTGAAAGACGTGCGGCAATTTTGAATCGATTATGGTCAACCTCATGAATAACAACAACTTGCGGATAACAACAGTTACACCATCTTCAGACTTAGCGACCATTTTGCCAGCATACGTTTAGCCTCGCCACCTCCAGCAGCCGAGTCTCGTCTCAAGCGAACCGTGAAATTTTTCTTTTTGTCAATTATTATTTATCAAGAGGCCATCCGTAAATACCGATATTTATTTAGAAACGAAAACTAGTCGTTTCTCTTCAACCCCCCTCCCCCCCCCCCCCCCCCTCAGCAACGAACACATACAAACGATGCATAGTACGGAGGATTAGCAAGACGAAATTCGCGTTCGCGTTTGCTCTCCAAGGAAAGTCGAACTCAGTGACGGAATTCGCGTTATGAGAAGGATTAGCAAACAGAATTCGCACATGCATGACGTTGACACGACGAACATTGTGTACAGACAGTACAGCGTGGTAAATTTATGACTGCCCTGACACGAATCCGCGATTCGTGTTCCGACTACTTTTCCGAACGAAAAATGCGAAAGTTCGCAATCCAGTTCGCGAACTGAAAAATGTTTGCGAACGCGAATTTCGTCTTGCTAATCTTCCGTAGTATCGATATTTTTTCTTTTCTTTTCTGGACATGCACACACATGCACACTGTGCATCGATATTTTTCGAGAAACGAACAGGTGCTCAACCCCTCCCCCCTAAACGACTAGTTTTCGTTTCTAAATAAATATCTATATTTACGGATGGCCCCTAACCTCACGAATACCAACAAATCGCGAATAAAGGCACTTTTCTCATGCACGATCGAGGGTCACTATTCGCAAGGGTGACTGTACATATGTAGTGACCTCGTACATGCATTTGTGTATATATAAATCATTTTTTTCGTAAAAATGGCCTCTGTATATATTTTCATGTGAAAGAAATAAACTTTCTCTTTGGCTCCAACTTCGTTGTGGTCTGGTTCGCCATTGTAGCCGTCATGGTTGACGTAAAACACCATAATTGGTGACCCCTGACACTGCGCTGAGCCGGAGTTATGGCCTTTCTGGATGGCATGGAGCAGGCCTTCGACCTCCGCGGCCCAGATTGAGGCCCAGATTGAGCAGGCGCCCAAGCCCATTGTAGCCGTCATGGTTGACGTAAAACACCATACATATACCGTATTTTCCGGAGTGTGAGCCACACTATACACAGCAGTCATTCACCCAAAGGAAGTCGGTACAGCTTATACATTGTACTTCGATGGTCAAAATAACGGTGGTAAACCGGCCCCCAGGTAGATGTCGGTTTTTCATGACAAAAAATCTGGGTGCGCCTTATACTCTGGAAAATACGGTAGTCACTGTATCACAACTACTTCCTCCGCGTCATCGAAATTGTCGCAGTTTGACCAGTGATATAAAAATGGGGTATTGTCTCAACAGAAGCGGTGCTACAGGTAAGGAATGAGACAGGATGATAGTCTCATGTCTAGAGTGACGGGACAATTTTATTTTATGTCGATCGGAGGTGATCGCTTCGAGCTAGAGGCCGTGTCCTCCCTGACATACCTGAAATTGTAGGCGGGCGAGGTGTGACAAGTCGAGCGGAACCGCCTGAACACAGCTATCGTATAATAGTCGTTTGCTCAATCGTCTTCATCTTTGTTTTTGCTGGATCAGGAGTGAGAATGAGTTCGCCAAAGAAGCCTAAGCGCTTGGAGCGCGTTGCAAGAAATTTGAGAGGTGAACAAACTCCATCCAAGAGCGACAAACCGAAAACGCCTCGCTTGAAAGGCGCAGATGTGAAAACGCCAGATCGCTGGCGAATCATTTCGACCTATCTGGAGATTTCGAAGGGCGCTGATAAACTGCCATATGGAGGGATGGGGAAGTTGAAGAAGCGGTTCCCTCACCTTCAACTTACCAGCCGAACGGTCCAACGGATAGTCCAAAAGTACAAAGACCAAGTCGCTGACGAATCACTGGCAGGGAACGTGAGGATGACACGACGCAGAGCCAGTCTTTGCGGTGGGCAAAATATGAAGTTGACTGTTGAGCTGGCAGCAAAGCTCGTTGCTATCAATGACTCCAACTGGGGAAAGTATTCCTGCAAGAAGCTCGCAGGAGAGCTTGCCTCCGCGGGATATCCATGTTCACCTGCATCTGTGAGACGATGGTGTAAAGTTCTTGGTGCAGTTCGACGCAGGCGGTACATCAAACCGAAGCTCTCCACTCGCCATCGTCTGAATCGTCTCTCGTGGGTTCTGGACAGGTATACCAAGCGGTCGAGGAAATTCGTGGACTGTTTAGACATCGTCCATGGGGACGAAAAATGGTTTTATCTAATGAAGGACGGAGCTGTGTGCAGAGTATTTCCTCAGTTCACTGTGAACGAATCGACTGGCGAAGTGGAGCGTACCGTACAAATGCCCGCAGACGGCTCTGTGTACCATAAATCACGTATGCCTAAAGTCATGTAACTTTGTTTCTAGCTGCGACAGCTCGCCCGCGACCAGAGTATGGATTCGATGGCAAGATCGGGATCTGGCCCTTCACCCTGGAGCGCAAGGCGAAGCGCAGCGATGCACGTACAGGCACTGTGGCTGGTGAAACTGACATTCTCGAGAGTGTCACCGTGAATGCGGAGGAGTATCGCAAAGTGATGCTAAAAAAAGACGGCGTGCTGGACGCGATGCGAAGTAAGATGTGGTGGTACAAGCGCGGATCGGGCAAGCCTGAGGCTGGTGATACACTGTACTACCAGCATGATGGAGCGCGCCCGCACACGGCGAAAGTCAACGAAGGTCATTGGGCTCGTCACGGGAAGAAAGGTGGATTCAAAATCGAAGTTGTTACGCAGCCTGCGCAATCACCCGACCTCAATTGTAACGATCTCGCCTTCTTCGCCAGCCTCCAGACGGACACCGAGTTGGTGGTGAAGAAGAACGTGAAGGACCTCGTCGAAGCTGTGAAGAGCGCATGGGAAGATTATCCAGCGGAGCGCATGGATTCAGTTTGGCGTCTTTTGTGGGCTTCCTTCAAGGGTATCCTTTCTGACGATGGTGGGAATAATTATTCCCATCACACAGGCAGCCGTACGGCTCATGCTAAGTCATCCAGAGCCGGTGACAAGCATGACAGGTCCTTTCCTTTGGAGAAATTCAAAGCATGCGAGACCACGCGCGACCAACTTGCAGCCACCTTGGACTCTGTACAGAACGAAATTGTTTCGTCGACTGATATCAGCGAGGACGACGCCTCCAGCTCGGCGTGATGCGCACCATCCGACGGAACATTGTCTTAGAACGTAACTGTAGACTTCAGACTATCACCCTGTGTAATAAATTACTGATTCTGTAGCTTCTGTCGTGAGTAATATCAAGTTTCAATTCGCTGGCCAAACTGCGACAATTTCGATGACGCGGAGGAAGTAATACTTAAGCCTGGTTCACACTAGGCCGATTTTCCGGCCGACATGGACTCGTACGAAAAATCCTCAAGATCGGGGCGAAAATTGCGTAGTGTGAACGGTGTTGTCGTACAGGGTTCCGAAAATCTGCGACGATTTTCTTGTCGCACTAGTTTTCGGCCAAGTATCGACTGGTCGATATTTAGCCGAAAAGCCGGCCGAATTTTAGCGCTTGCGCGTGATGGAGCATGCACCGGACCAATCACTGTAGGCTTTTCACCATGACAGCGGAGAGCGTTGGTGCAGAACGTGAACCATGTGAACTGGCTGCACGGGATCGCTACTACAGTACTAGTAGCACTGTACTAGACGCTAGCCCTTTCACACCTTTGCCGCTTTGGCTTTGTGGCTCGTGTAAAAACTATCTCATTTCCGCTGTCTAGCTAGCTAGCTAGCGTCTACTAGTACTACGGTCTAGTGGCAGTGCGGCTGTGTACCGCGTGTCCGTGTGTTACAGACAAGCCTACATGTACAACTAAAGTACAAACGAAATTGCCCACCTTTGTGTGTGAACAGCTAGTCCGACTCATCCGACACAGTCGGCAGACTCCGTGTCGGAGTCGGTGTCGGAGTATCGGCCGGAAAATCGGCCTAGTGTGAACCAGGCTTTAGAGAGTCGTAGTTATTGTTAAAATGAAGCCACAAAGCGGTGAGGAAACAGTGACGCGCGGCTTTGGAAATGGCTCAGTGTCCAATGCATTCAGCACAAGCGGCTCAGCACTTTCAAAAATGGCCCAAAAAGACGAGAACCAAAAATTCAGTTATTTCCGTGGTAACCTAAGCGCTTTTTTCGGTGCGCGGTGTGACCGCAGCCATATTTACTAATGGTCAGCGGTTTTATATCATAATTCGTTACACTCTGGCCCAATGACATTTCGACTTGATTTCTTGTGGTTTTTAGGCGGCCATCCTCTCGTCGACCACGCAACAGATCTGATGATAAGACCAGCGAGGAGAACGGAGGAGACAAGTCACCTCTCTCAGCCGAGGAGGTCGGTGCACACGGGAGCATTAACGGCAGCTGGGACCTACGACCTCGACCCCGACCAGCACGCGTCGATGCTGACATGATTGGTGAAGCACCATCCTCCTTAGACTCCGTCTAAGTTGGAACATGTTAGAAGAGTCCGAAGGTACAGGCTACAGAGTCACTATATAGAACATGTTTTTATCTGATTAGTCTTTGCAAGGAAGTGGTAACATGCATCTTCTGTTAGTGTCGACCGGAGGCTAGGAACGTTGTTACAACTGAAATAGTCAACTCTAAAATGTTACTGAATACACTACACATAAGATAGTGATAAGCTCTAAGTGCTAACATACTTGCTACGGTACTTTTTGAATTGTTTGTACACTGCAACACAGTCAGTTGCACATGTTTAATTAAAAATACTCATAGCTCTATATGTGTGTGTGCTAAGATACTCACGCAACACACGGTGGTACAAGTAATTCTAAATCGCCGCCGTTGGCCGCGGCAGTCCACTGCATTCGCTGTTGAGCGCTGTTGCATCAGAATTACGCCATTCTCTCATCTAACAGTTAACAGTAACACAAGAGTTCACTGGTATATACTGCTGCATCTATCCATTCTTCAACACACACGGTTCCAAGCACAGCATATAACTATCGTACCATTCATAGCAGACCCGTAAGTAAATCAATGCTCATACCATACCCACTGAACAAGAATCATCATCTATAACAGGTGTAGCTCACAAAGAATTACTCTGCTTTATTTCTTCGTCGACTACTGAATCATGCCTTATTGAACTCTAAGACCTATGTGTAACATACAATAATATTTTAATAGTCTGCTGTGTACTTCAAGTACATGTGCATGTATTGACATTGTGTGAAAGTGATGGCACATGTCATGTGTAATGTATCTTGCCTGGCACCTGCTGTGTCAGCAAAGCTTGATTGGGGATGGCTCAGGTCTGAACACTGCTGCGCCTGGAAGCGTAACAGGGCAACAACGGGCACCGAAGAACGTGCCAGGCTGGATGCAGAGATTTAGGAACACCAGTGTGTGTGTGTGTTTTTCATGTAACGCTACATGTATGGATGTATGTATGCACCCAGTGTACCTGTACGATGTGATGCACAAGCACAGAATAAGAACAAAGTCCCTGGAATCTTGAAAAAAGAAGAACATGACACTAGCCTGAAGCGACAGCTCTCTGATCTTCAGCGCCCTATCCGATGTTGCTGTGGTAACTATGGCAACAGTACAACATGTGATCAGGAGCAGGGAATCCGAAGTCCTCCAGTAGTAGAGTACACGCTCCTGCATGTAAACCATGGCCTCAACCACCCAGCACACACACACACACACACACACACACACACACACATACCGTAAAGTACCGTTGATCCCCCCCCCCCCCCCCCACGCCATATCGCTTCCCGGCAGGGGGCGGGAATTAGATCAAGGCTGTCAAGTGCAGTACGATGTACAACAAAGTGGAGGATCAAACTCGATGTGCTGGATTGTGCACATTTTCATCCTGGATTGGCATGTATTGTGTACAGCGTCGGTTCAACATCGTATTTCGTTGCATACGCCGAAGTCGCTTAACAGGTAGAAAATCGACAGGGGCGGGAATTAGAGATTTGACACCCTTAGCAAAAAACGTTATGTTGTAACGGTATTATCGTAAGGGGGAAAATACCGTGATTTGGGTTCGACCTTTAGCAAGATGCACGCTATTTTTAGTACGCTGTTGCCACGAGAATAGCTTTGATTTCGGGCGGTACAACCATTTTTGTCACCATATACGCGACACAAGGTGAAATGCGTACGGACTATGCAATATTTGGCTAAAACACGTACCGTTGGTCACAACGATAAATCAGCCCCCGTAACGTTTATACGCTGCAGCTTCAACGCTATTTGGGTGATCAAGGTACGAGTACCGTAAAAAAATAGCGTTACCGTTGTTTGCTAAGGGTGTCTATTAGGCGGATCAACGGTACTTTACGGTACATGCACTAGTAATCATTGCACTAGTGTGTAAACCATGGCCTCGACCACCCAGCACACATGCATGCACATACATGTGTCATGTACTAGTAAACTCGGAGGGAGTTGTGGTTGCTCGTGAGAGTGCTCAATACACCAAGGTGCAGAGCCTAGTACACACACTACACAGTACACAGAAGAAACGCTTTTCGTCCCTCTCAAGTGTGTGTCATGTACTAGTATGTAAACCATGGCCCCAACCACCCAGCAGCCCCCCCCCCCCCCCCCCCAGCTCCTACATAGTCAGCGCCAGTCCCTGCGCACTCAGCCTTCAAAACAAGCACACGACATCCCCCAGCTGCCTCTTTAGCAGTAGGCATCCACAACTCAAAATAGCTCTGAATACAGTACTGGCCACCCAGATTTAAAGTTCCCTTTTATCCTCACCCCGCACCAGCACCAGCAGGATCTCAACAAAAATGAAAATGAATGTTCAAGTGAAAGAAACCTCACACAGAGTGCGGCCTGCGGAACTGCTCTGTGAGCGACGCACCTCACATAATGTACAAAGTTTACCCAATGCTGTGGACAGCAAGCTGTTTCAGCCATTTAGCCTCATCAGCACAGCTATGGCTTCAACAAAATTGCTTGTACAACATCTATGAACATCCACATGGTACATGGAAGTCACATCACCACTTGCTATGCAGCACAACAAGACTACATGTAGTGTTCAGCACCGTCCTTGGTCTGAAGCTAGATCATTGTAAATCGTTACTTGCTCGTATTGGTCTGGTGCACACCGGACGCCCATCAGCCTGTAGTCCAGATACCCGTGTGTAGTCCAGGTACTAGGTGCCCCAAGGTAGTCCAGATCCATACTGGCCAACCCTCCCGGTTTTCCCGGGAAAATCCCGGGAAATCAACACTACTCCCGGGGTCCCGGGGGTTTCAAGCAAACTCCCGGAAAAGTCACAGTTTCGTCTGATGCAGGATTTTCCAGAAAACTCCATGGATTCGCCTCGAATGTCCCGGTTTTTCAAAAATATGTACGGTGCGCACTCGCACTTCGAACTGTGCACGGCACTTTCAAGACCTGACCACAAGATCTGCACTGACAGGCGCTAGCTTATAGCCGGGCGCAGACTGATCGAACTGCAATGCAGGGTCCAAAAAAATGCAGGGTCGAACAGTGCCGTACGCAGATCTAGCAGAGTTGAACTTTTTTTGGTGGGAAAGGCCCTTTTTCACTTGTTTTTGTGCCATCCAGGGATTTTGAGTAAAATCCAGGGATTCTGTATGTCTTGTCAAGGGATTCAGATTTTGGTGGTTGGTCAGTATGCAGATCCTCCAGCCTAGTCCAGGTCCTCAAGCCTAGTCCAGGTCCTCCAAGCTAAGTCCAGATCACCCAACCTAGTCCAGGTGCTCCAACCTAGTCCAGGTCCCCGTGTGTAGCGCACTTCGAAGGCTGAGCCATGGAAGCGGCGCTGTTTTTCAACATTTTGGTTGAAATGTGTGAGCACACAACTTGAAGCTCAGGCACCTGGTACCCTACATGTATATCAGGATTTCTTGTACTGCTCCCAGGCATCCTGGGAGCCGCCGCCCTATGTACACCCCTGCAGCCACACAGCCATACAAAGACGCACAGTCACACAGACACACACCGTACACACGCATATGCGCACCCACACACGGATCCGTCGCGATTCTTGTTAGGCTTAAAAACAGGGATCAAGCAACAACAATGTGTTGGCAGAGAGAGAGAGCGAGAGGAATGCCAACCAGCAGACGGAGCCAAAGAAACTGCAAGTGAGCAGTTTGTGGAGTCAGGAGCGCAGCGCGGGAATTAACGGAATCAATACTAATGAATCGGCCAAGATAAGGAGCTGAAAAAAGGCTAGATTTTTTATGAGGTTTCTGCAAGATATAAAATCAAAGCAGAGTTTTCACCGCATGAATCAGTATGTGGAAATCAAGGGGGCAGCACCATAGCATTCCCCAAATAACTTATTATTAGTATGTGAGGTTTTCTCTCAATGTAATGAAGCACAGTCAGGGTGTGAGTGGATGAGTTAGGTAAGAAGAGTTTCACTATTTAGCACAAGGTCAAGGCTGCTGACCTTGAAGACGGGGCTAGCGCTTCCGCCGTTGTCTGGCCATCACCACCTTGGCAGTCTCGTCCTCTCCCTCGGCATCTGCATCATGATCCCCCTCGTCACTAGCCGCCACAGTGATGTGGTGGTGGTGGCCAGTGTCATCGCACACATCCTGCCCGTCGCGGAAGTCCACGTGACGTTCTTTGTGATTTTGCCTTGCCGACAATGCAGAGCCGCTGAAACTTAAGCGACCCTTTGATTTCTGTGCACCACCATCAAACAATAAGACAAACAAACACCAGCTCAAAAAAGAGATAGCGTATTTTCCGGAGTACAGTCAACTTTGCGTATAACGACACTCGGCGGGGCATCAGAAAAGTGTCCTCATTCGCGAAGTGTCCTTATACCCAAAGTCTGATCATATGTATTACAGTTAGATGGGACTTTGCTCTGGGCATGGGAATTCTGTCGTTATTAGCGAATTGTCGTTATATCCGCAGTCGTTATAAGTAGGTTCACTGTATAACGTTATGCCGCACTTTAAACACCAGTACTTCACCAGTACTTCACCAGTACTTCACCAGTACTTCACCAGTACCTCACCAGTACTTCACCAGTACTTCACCAGTACCTCACCAGTACTTCACCAGTACTTCACCAGTACCTCACCAGTACTTCACCAGTACTTCACCAGTACCTCACCAGTACTTCACCAGTACTTCACCAGTACCTCACCAGTACTTCACCAGTACCTCACCAGTACTTCACCAGTACTTCACCAGTACTTCACCAGTACTTCACCAGTACTTCACCAGTACTTCACCAGTACTTCACCAGTACTTCACCAGTACTTCACCAGTACTTCACCAGTACCTCACCAGTACCTCACCAGTACTTCACCAGTACTTCACCAGTACTTCACCAGTACTTCACCAGTACTTCACCAGTACTTCACCAGTACTTCACCAGTACTTCACCAGTACTTCACCAGTACTTCACCTCCCAAAAGTCAGCGTGCCTTGTACTACTTCAGGTGTGAGGTGATGAAAACTCAACAGGAACTACTGTACAGTGATGATCAATGAGATCTGATCACGTGAGTTAACCAGCGCCGGGCGCTGCACAGCCCCTGGCCTGCAGCCAATAAGCTTCATCCGACGAGTCATTCACTGATCTATACATGACATAGATACGCTTGTCTAGTTGTATTTCGCTCCACTGTTGTTATAGTTCAAGGAAACACTTCAACTGTACAATGCGGTGCACCCTCAATCCCTCGTGTTCTCGCCCATGTGATTAATTAATGTGCCTCCTTGTTCAAAAACAATTCTTTTCGGTGCAACTGTGACGACTGTGACTGCACTCACCTCAGTTGTGAACCAGACCATACTGACCACCACGGCGATACTCAACAATATCTACAGGAAAAAACAGCAAGATCATATTCAACACATAGCTGGACAGATCAGTAATCATAGACAAGTAATCATAGGCCCGCTAGAAGTAGGCAAAATGACTTCAACTTGCGAATCAAATCATGCCCCAAAGACCAGTGCTTCAGACAGACCTATGTACATGTATGTATGTATGTGCATGTTTCTGAGTATATCCTGCAGTGATCTGTAGGTCCCTGCCTCAGTCGCTAGTCATGTTGCCTGATGATTAACTAGGGTCTTGAACCTCAGAGTAGCAACGGATATGTGTGATTGGTGAGGGCCCAACTGGACTGTGTGTACGGCACTGCATGATTGTTCATGTACACAATAATACTGCAGTGCTCATACTCAGTGAAATCTGATCACGTGAGTCCACTTTGTACCTTGACCAGTTCACAGGCCAGTGCTCACAGGTCTAGGGCTGCACAGCGCTCGGCACGCGCAGTCGCATTTCATTGGATTTCATTGAGTAGTACCGTATTTCTCAAAACCATTCTGGTCAAAGGAACGCACGATGAGTCAGTAGACCAGCAGCAGCAGCAGCAGCAGCAGTAGCAGCGCCAGCAGCGCCAGCAGCACTATCAGCGGCACCACCACCACCACCAGCACCAGCAGCAGCAGCAGCAGGGGCAGAGGCAGGGACAAAACTAAAGCGCCTTCTTCATCATTTCCTTGCTACACCTTGCTTACCACAAAGCCCCCCCTATGAACACCTTCAGAGAAATCAGCACTTGCCAGAAAGGCAACGAAAGGCAGCTCCCACCACTGCAACCCAGACAGGCATACCACATGTAAACACTCTGCCTGTCATGTTCGGAGAAGCACGATCTCAAAGGTGTGTCCCGGATTCCTGCCCCGTTCCGTTCTTACGAATAGCAGTGCGTTGCTTACCTGTATTGTTACCCACATGAGCACTTTGGTCGGGTTCAGCGTATCCAAGAAATCTTTACCATGGCGATAGTTCAGTAACGACTCAGTGGCCATGTTGGCACTGCCAGCACAAGCAAAAACACCCACCCACCCACATCCACATGTACACACACAATGCATACACACACCATACAAATAATATATACATAAAGAGAATAATTTAACCGGTATAGCATCGCAGTTTGCTGCACAGTGTGCACAGTGTGCATGCCAGGTGTGTCTCTTAGCCTGCTACTGACTCATGTCCAAAGCATAGCGCTCACCCAGAATATCGAAGTGCACACCACACTCTGGCTAATGTGGCACCAGCAACAATGAAACTCCCCATCACCAAAGCCACTCATTTGTGCGCAACTTGCGGAGACAAGCAGAAACATGGGACATTCGGCAAAGAATAGTGTGTTGAGACGAAAATGATACAAAACAACGTAGACTGGACTTACACATAGAACCAGAAGTGAGCGCCAATACGCTTGCGATTGCGATCCGTAACGTACATGTAATATTGTCTGACGAGAGGAAACACGAGCACACAGAAAACAAAAAAATCCTCGAAATGCTCTTGTTGTATACTTTATTTCTGTTCAGTCTTATCCCCCCAACCATGCATGTTTTTTCTAGCAACAGCGCTATGTGCCCGATCTACGTGTCTGTGAACAAAAGTTGTCCATGCGCCATCATAGAGTACCGTAAAAGTCCGTAAATAAGTACGTATTTACTTTCGAATTTAGTGACCACACCCGTACTAACTTTCGGGCGGGTACTGACTTTCGGGCGCGAACTAACTTTCGGACCTGACTTGTGTGTAGTGGAGAAGTCATTTTCATGTCGATGCACATGCTACGTGCTGCATGTGCGCACCGTACCGGTACTTATTTCGGGCAGTATGTTTATCGGGCTTGACTTGACTTCAACAGACAGAGTCAAAAGAATGAAGGGGGTATTTCTTTCGGGCAGGTACTTATTTACGGACTTTTACGGTATGGGCATTGGCTGGTCACTGGCACGAGAATAAACCTTGGCTGCAGTCTTACCTGGCTGCTGGTGCCGATGACATGAGTAGGAAGAAGTGGTGCGTGAGAAGCATGGGATGACTGCTCGGGATGTGATAGATGTGCTTGAAGACGAAGAAATTCAACTCATACATCTGTACATGCACAATACGTAAGCACATCCACACGCACACTGGACCTTCGTACGTACACTGGACCTTCGTACGCATACACATTGGCACCTGCCACTTGCATAGCTCGCACAGTCCGTTGAGTTGTTCAGCGTAGCATGCAGCGGCAGTCGTGATTCCTATGATATTGAAACGCACTAAACACACACTGCGCATAAAAGCTGATGTACAAAGACGTGCTACTGGACTCCATGCTCACTTACACGCCCACTTAAACGCATACGTACAGCGGTAAGCACATAGATACACGCATGTACAAGTACAGTGCTGGCCAAAGAAATCCAACCTCATGTATAAAATAGCATTGCCGGGCACTACGCAGCCCTAGCACTAGTACTACACATGCTGGTCTGTGCACTCTAACGCAGCGCTACTTTATTCATGAGGTTGGATTTCTCTGGCCAGCACCGTACATGACAAAGGTACAGACGTGGTAAGTGAGGTCTGTCCTTGTGAATAACAGTTACATCACCCCCATCACCGCCTAGTTCACAATGCTAGCAAGTAGCAACACACGCCAACAAGCACTAGTTTAGTGAAGAAGCCAGTTATGACTGGAACCGCCTATAGAATCTCACAACGCAATCAAGCAACCCTTGATTTAGTTGTAGACCTACTGTACCTGAAAGATGAAAACCAGAATGAGGATTGCCAATACGCGAACTGGAGGAGAGGCTGCAGACCAGCGAGGCTGCTTCCAACTGTACAGCAGCAAAAATAAGCAGAGGATAGGAGATAATGAGAAAGAAAGAAAGAGAAAGAGAAGAGAGAGAGGGGGGGGGGCAGACAGAGAGACAGGCATACAGAGAAACAGAGAGAGAGAGAGAGAGAGAGAGAGAGAGAGAGAGAGAGAGAGAGAGAGAGAGAGAGAGGGAGTGCGTGTGTGTGTGCGCGCGCGTGTGTGTGCATGCGTGCGTGCGCGCAAGATGACAGATTCTCAGTAAGTTTGATCTCAATTCCCCAGCCTACCTATGGCATGAACAGACAGGTTCCAGCACTCAAAGCCATTACTGGTGTGGGCGAGGGATTCATTCTATTTCAAAATTGTCGGCCCCATGTACTGCTCAGCTTTTCTTTTAAGAATGAAATACAGTCAACTTCGCTAATAACGACTGCGGATATAACGACAATTCGCGAATAACGACAGAATTTCCATGCCCAGGGCAAAGTCCCATCCCACTGCAATACATAATGAGACTTCGGGTATAACGAGACTTCGGGTATAACGACACTTCGCGAATAAGGACACCTTTTTGATGCCCCGTCGAGTGTTGTTATAAGCGAAGTTGACTGTAGTGCATTTTCATATACATGTACAGTACTGTCGGGTAGCGCCGAAGAACGGCCAGGCTAGAATTTCATCAAGCACAGCATACCAATGTATACATGGTGATTCAATTGCGCATAGACTGGAATACATGAAAATAAGAACGGTCTAGGCTAGAAGGCTGACCCCCCCCCCCAGTTCTTCAGCGACCGACAGGACTGTATTATAAATTGACAGAGTCGTAAGATGAACAGACAGCAGCATGACCAACCTCTCAGGTGTAAATTGAAGGATTATCCGCCTGATCTTGCCGCTTGCAGTGCGAATGTCCCTGAGAGATTAAAAAAAAGGCAACACACAGGTGACCAGCTCAGCCCAAAGAAATCTTGTGAAGACCTACACCTATGCTCACAACTAGCACTTAACAGCAGCTGTGAGGAGAGACACCGGGTCAGGAATGATTGCCAGTGAGACAAACAGAAGAACACAATAATGTGTGGAATGTGTAATGTGCAATGCGCTTGACTGTGCTCGATGCTCACACCAAATAGCCAAGTTGTATTACTCAATCTGTGGACCGAACTATTTCGTCCTTTGTGGGCTCATCAGCGCAGCACAGAGAAAATGAGGCCGAGCCTGATAGCAATGAAACATAAAATTCCCAAAAGCCAGATCCACATTGTATTATAAGTTATAACTAGTGGTGTGCACGGGTACCGTATTATCTCTAATATAAGCACGGTCCTTTATTTTTTCAATGTACCTCCGCCCCGTGCTATTAATGGAGATGTTCCTTTATTGGAGACTGTTCCATTATTATTTCAACCTCATTTTCAGAGGCATGTTGCCATGCCAAATTCATGTCAGACACACACATTTCAGGGTTTTTTCGCCGGTACAGATAATGAATTTACACAGTGTGCTTATAATGGAGACTGAGCACTTTATTTTTTGAACGCCGCCCCAAGGTGTTCTATTATTGGAGACGTGCTATTATTGGAGACTGTGCTTATATTAGAGATAATACGGTAGTCGGGTACCCGTGCTACCCGTCAGGATCTCGGGTAGACGGGTACAGAATAGTACTAGTACCCGAAAACCCGAAGTCGCAGATGATATCATGTACAGTGCACGTGTGCAAATTCATGTTATACTCCACATGTCTGCCCAGTGTGCAAAGAAAGGGGTGCATTGTGGTGTTACCATGGAAACATTACCCGATCGGGTACCCGTGCTAACCGTGGAAAACTACCCGAACCTGATACCTGAAGAAAATGCTACCCGACTCAGCCCTAATTATAACTTACTTGATGCTCTCCCAGTGGAACGAGCTCATTTCCAAATGCCGTGAGATACGCATGCCCACGTAAATACCAAGGCCATTGCAGAGGAGAATATCCAGGATCAGCATATCCCACCAGCACTCAGCAAAGTTGGGCAGCAGATCCATGAAGGCCAGCTGGTACGCACAGAAAATACAAAATAGCACTCAGTTTTAGGGGTGAAAGTTGGCACTGAGATCCCGAGTTCGAGTACTCTGATTTTCTCCGATCGAATATTCGAGTATTCTTCATCTCCTAAAAATTGCACACCAGGGGCCTTGAAATCACATGATACAACCCTGATTGAACCGAGTGGCAGTCATTTTACTCGGCTATATTGAATTATTGGTTGGTGGGTCATTTGGGCTCTCTCTACTCGTGAACAAATGGTCACCACATAGTCTGCACATCAATATCTGCCGACTGCTGCACCGAAACTACAGATTTCTGTGGAAAATGCATGTACCATGTAAGAACGAGTACTCTGATTTATTACGAGCACGATTATTTTTGAAAAAACCGAGCGAGTACTCGAGTATTCGGTATAATTGTTTCACCCCTACGAGTCAGTTTACAACGTAGCACCAAGAAGCATGGCGAACCCGAAGAGAAGGGGTACAACACAAACGGGATATGACACGAATACAGGAGACGGAAGGCTGTTTTGCCGTAAGTAAAATACGGCATACGTATCTACTTGAAGCATCTGCATAACATAGTACTGACCTCGGTGACTTCCCACATGACGGAGAGGAACCAGAGCAGTCCGGCATTGCGTATCAGCATTGCCTTGGCTATGTAGCCCACAAAGTGAGAGAACGTGAAGAAGTCGATACTCATCCACAGGTTGTGCGCCGTCAAGTCACAGTTCTCCGCGTACGCCTGCAGGTAACGCAATGCAAAACACCAAGACACATCCTTATCTGTCATCTTCCTGACTGGCTACCATAGCGATTTGTCAATGGACAGTGATCAAGTCCTACGTGCATTGTGGCTCCACGTGGTAGAGGATGTCAATGGAAAGGAACCAATACAAGGAGCATTATACGCTTCGCTAAATTAGGCAAACCAACTTCTCTGAATGACCTCTATTGTCTATACGATATGAAACATAATCTAAAAGGCATACTGAAGTCCATATACGGCATAGGGTAGTGGTACAACAGGACAAGGGCTAAAACACGTATAGAATAAACACCGATGTCGTAGTGTTTATGGGAAAATAAATACTGCTATAAAAACCGAGGCGTAGCCGAGGTTTTTATAGACAGTGTTTATATTCCCATAAACACAAGACAGAGGTGTTTATTCTATTTATACCTAGCTTCGTTTTTGGCCTGAAATACTGGTCCGAAATAGCTATTTTAGTATCCCAGTATACAATAGTATACTATTATGTGTAGGTAGTATTGCGTGTTCCAGACCTAAGACCTTTCTTTCAACCAACATCTGCATCAACACCCTGGTGGCTGGGTGGTCAAGATAGGTGCTTGGGAATCTTATGGTTCTAGGTTCGATTCCTGCTGAAACTTCTTTCTTCTCTTCAATTTTTTTCTTTTTCAATTGGAGAGAAAATTTCTAAGTCCCTTGAAAGTTGAAAAGTTACAACCTCTAAGTGGGTAATATAGCAAAGTATATACCCCAAGTTAAAGTGGTGAATATGGAGATATATTCACCAGTTATAGATCACAGGAATTAGTGGGGGTTAATATGAGCTGGGTATAAGTAGAGGATATAACCCGAGTCAGAGGGTTATACCGGCTGAATATAAATCCCGACTGCGATAGCAGGAGGGATTTATATGAGGGTACGGTATAACCCGACTACGAGGGCCTTATCCTACTTAAGCCAGGTACCCTGCGCATATCCAGAACAACGAACCTATTTGGAGATCTCCTACATCATGCAGTGCATGAACATGTGCATGAACATGTTCTGCTGGTTGTCAATTGTAACTTGAAAGAATGGTCGAGCAAGATCAGAAGGAGATTCCTCCGTGGATGTTTGGCATAAGATTTCCTTTCAGTTCCAGTGCATATTGTAGCATCTTCATGATCTTGTCTCGTGAGCGGTGCGGAAGTCAACTGAATTGCTGGATTGCTGGAGTTGTCGTCGAATCAAACTACCAGCACTAGTTAGACTACAGTTTGGACGCTTTGGGAGTAAGTGTTACAATGATTATGGTACAGGGCGGATTTTCACATGCGGCATCTTATAATCAGTTTTGCTTACTTGCAAGTAGATGCATTTGCATACACTGTTTTGTATCACTGTATCACATTTCAATCCATTCTAGCATTTTCCAATCGGTTTAGGTGGATTTGAAGTACATTCTGTATCATACATTTTAGTTACGAAGGAGACAGTCTGTTGATGATCTTCAACTCTTCGAAGTACAATGTACATTGCGGATCCATTCGGGATACTTCGTGGTTGTTCGACGTTCTTTATCCCCAGATTCAGTATAATAGAATACTCGGTAGACGAATTCCAGGTCATTCTTCTTTTCCATTGTGTACTGATACGAACAACACTGGCAGCAGCTCTTCTGCCCTACACAGCCAAGGACGTGCCTATGGTGGTGAAGAAGGAGACTGTGCTTGCACCAATGGTGTACAGTACATGCCCAGCTTGGAGGTAGTCATCAACCACTACCTCCAGTTGTACAAGGATCGTGGCCTACTGACATCGCACAATGGTGCAGTACCGGAGAACGAAATCTGGATAAAGCTGGGCGGGGATCATGGCAGCGACTCGTTCAAGTTCTCCAGACCAAGTGGCCTACGTCCGTGCCTACATTGCCACTGCATGAAGAAATCCATGGAGATGCCAGTATGGCACAGAGAGCCTGCGGATAGTGTACCCCGCTCCCTGGCCACCCTCAGGAACAACCTGCTAGAGTTCATCGCAGCCGGGGAGAGATTACCAAACGCCAAGGTACACAACAACGTCATTCGTCCGGCAATCCGCCCCGTCCCACTGCCCAACGTCATCGTGTCAGTCCTCCACCTGGACTTGGGTATATTTGGTTGGATGTTTGAAGCCATGCTGAAGGACTTGTGCGAGCTGGACAAGCTCTTGGCCAGCAAGGCCCATTCTGCTGCTGGAGATAGCAACGCTTTCCGACGGCTATCTGGCCTCTATTGAGACGCAGAAGAGCATACTATTGTGACGCAGAAGAGCATATAGCAGCAGCGTCTGAACAGGCCTCTGGCTACCAGCAGCAGCTGAACTATGTAGCACTCCATGCCCACAACCAGGGCGCTACTGGCGATAACTTGGAGTGTGTGTGTGAAAAGATCCGAGTGGAGTGGCAGAAGGCCAATGACACAGTGGTGGAGATAACAAAGGCAAAGGAGAGCATCTTGCAGCAGATACTTGCCGCAACTGCTTACAAAGACATCTGTGGGCCTTGCGAATCAGCAGTCGAACCTGTGCTGCAATCCCACAACATCAAGCGCCAGGTATATCACGGAGGTGCATTCATCGGCAACCAAGTGCACCGCGCACTTCAGCCCGCTGTCCTGGAGTCAATTGCTGCTGCTCCCATCTCCGTCATTCAGGAACGCTGTCCTGACCTAATGGATGACGCCAGCGTTGTCCAGCTGCGCTACATGAAGCTGCTGCTGCGCTACATCAAGCTGCTGGACAAGTACAGGAAGTGTACGTCTGCCTTTGGCCAGTGCAGAAAGGTAAACATAACTCAATATAACAATTTATTCCCTGGGAGCTTTTTCGTCTGTTCCAAGCCACCCACTTTTGCTGCAAGTACTCCTGAATTTGATCATGAATACTAGATCCAGAACTGATATTATGTGCTATTTATTCCAGGTCACACAAGAAGAGCTTGAAGAGCTGGAATTCAACATCAGGACTTTCCTCAAATCAGCACGGAAGGAGGTGGTCGATCGAGGGCTTGGCCATATACCGCCGAAGCGTCATCTTCTGGAGAGCCACACCGCTCCGGCAATGGAGAGGCTCGGAGTAGGGCTCGGTCTGTTGGCCGAGTAAGGAGCAGAGAGCATCCATGCAGAGTTCAACACTCTTGAGCGAAGGTACCGCCAGATTCCCGCAGAGGCAGAAAGCTATGGCTGAGCAGCATCTGTCCCGAACTCTGCCTCAAGCCATACAGCGTCCCACGACAAAACGTCGCCAGTCGACATGATCTCTGGCAAATATCGTGAGTAACCAACTTTCCTTGCTCTCTCTCTCTCTCTCTCTCTCTCTCTCTCTCTCTCTCTCTCTCTCTCTCTCTCTCTCTCTCTCTCTCTCTCTCTCTCCTGAACTCGAATGGACTCCTTTTTTCCGCGGCGCAAATCTTCATAGGAATGTACTCGGGTGTGTAGTCTCTCTACCTACACGCCTGGAGAGAACATGTATTTCTTTGCTTTCTCCATCTTTCTGTTCTACAGGCACACAGCTACTTGTCCACTTTCCTCGTCACCGATATCGCGATGCAACGTCAAACTCAACAAAGAATTGAACAAGAAGGCTTTGTTGTTTGAAGTTTGCAGCTAGCGCTTTGATCTACATGTATTTGGTTTTTACCTGCTTTGCCATGCGTTTTTTATTTTTTATTATTCCTTCCGTTTTCTAACAATTCCACTTGTATTGGCAATTTCCTGTGTAAAACCGCATAAACGCGATTATAAACGATTTTCGACAAAAAAAATGCCGCCATATTGTTAGATGGCCGCTGACGAACAGCCGTGCGCACTCGTCAATATTTGGCGGCAACATTTTGCGCCCCTTTTCGCAAAGTTTGCTTGGCATTTCCTTTCACTTCCGATCTTTTGCTTCCATTTTGCCTGCTGATATCAGTTGGACAACCATGTGAATTTGATTTTCATACCGGTATGAATTTTATCGGTTTTATTTCCAATTTTGAATTTCCATTTTTATAAAGTCCTATAAAGTCCTATTCGCCCGAAGTGGTCACGTGCACAGCCAGAAACTCGTCCAGGTTTCGTGATATTTTCGATATTTTGCTCCAAAATTGCCAGAATTTTTTTCCTAAATTTTTTTCCAATATTTTGCTTGGAGAATCGACAGCAAATTTGAGTCAGGCCTAGCTGGAAGACTGTACAGCAGGTAGAGAGCAACATTACTTCACACCAAACTCACCTTCATACTGTCATTGCTAGCAACGGCCAGGTCCGGATAAAGAGTGACCAGGAAACCGCGCACGTCCTCCATGCGCTGGAAGACGGCGAACGACAGGCATAGCTGATATGCAATGCTGTATCCTAACGGCACAACACACACATGCGCGCACACACACACACATATGCACACACACACACACGCACACACACACACACACACACAAACACACACACAAACACACACACAATCACACACAATCGCACACACACAAAGAGAGAACACAGTGCAACCATTACCTCTTCTCTGTGAACTGTGTGTTGTCAAGATGTAAAGAAAACTGAAGGAATATCTCACTGCAATATCTCACTCCTATGGACTATCTAGTAGCAGAATATGTAAGGATCGTTCTTGACCTATAGGGCTCCGAAGTGATGACGTCACACCCACCTGACAACGCATGCCAATGAAAGTTCTGGGTACAAACAAACCTTAGCAACCCTTCGCTCATCACTGTTTTCGCAGTAATCTGCAGGTTACTCGTGGTGAGAATTAATGGTTTGTTAGAAGAAACAGCTATTCTAGGTGCCTCCTGCTGATAGTAACAGGTTTGCAAAGCTGATGGAACAATGGCTGATCTTCCCAGGTTTTCAACGGTGAAACAAAGGGACTGCGACGAACTGGGCAAAAATATTTCAGAGTTTCGATCAGCCTTGATTCTTCCTTGCCTCAGCATCTTTCGTCTCATTTTGAGAGAAAAATCAGATACCGCAAGTCAGGAGAGAGGATACAACGCAAAGAATCAGCTCTCACAGTCAGCGAAAAAAAAGGTTTAAAAAACTTAACCGACGTGCACATGCAAATCGATCTCCTTGCTCCTCGGAAAAGGCAATAAGAATTGCAATTGGTAATTGTAATTCCGTGCAAGTCACTGCTCTCCTCTGCACTGCGGAAAGGAGGGTAAAGCAGCAGACCCATGTCCCAAATGGAGAAAGGATATCTGCATACTTTGCATGAGGTATCTAATCTATACAGGCAGTACTGTACTCCGAATGAACCTCTTGATGGTTGTGAGAAGTGTGTGCGGTCGGCCACAGAGTGCGGCGGTGGCGGCGGTGTAGTCAGTGCACGCACAAGCACTCTGTGATATATGTTTTAATCCCTGCAAAACGACACGTGCCAGGGGACGCAATGGTTGTCTGTTGCTACGAAGTTGTCGACGACCTGACGTCACACTTCAAAGCCCTGTAGCTGCGCTCAGTGAAATCCGACCCAATGTGCAAAAACTGACACCCTGGACGTGTTCCCGTTGCACCACTGTATCTGCACATGTGTATGTCCAGCAGCGCTCATACCACTTCCAGGGAGTGCAAGTCAACGGCGCCAAATATGCACATTGGCTCCGGTTTCACCTACAGTAGCACAACTGTAGATAAGGACCTGGCTCTGCAAGACAGCCCCACCTATTCAACAGCGTGAGACACATTTTAAAAGGTACTACTGCAGCACTAGTACGCGTACCGGCCGTTCAAAACACAGATTGTAATAATCTGTTCAAATCCTAGCACACCTAAAATACCAAAAATAAAATTAGCCACAGACAGCTACTCACCACATACAATCCTCCACACAGCAGGATGTGGACGAATAAAAGGCCCTACAGGACACACAGAAAGACACAACATGGTTTTTAATTAAAATATACTAGTACCATTAATCCATTATTACTATCAAGTGCATTCTCACAAGTGTGGCGGGATTGTCACTCTCGCTTTAAGTATAAAAATAACTGATTGTTGATCGTCAGCGCCCGCCCCGGGATTTATTTTATTTTTTATTTTCGTGATCAACGGTAGAAAACTCGTGTGTTTAGCGAAACGCGAACTTTTTTAGCAGTACGCGCGTACGCGAGCTCTCATGTACAGCTTCAACGTGCTTTTACCGTAGCGACATCACGCAGTGCAGTGTGATTCCAGTGTACTTGTGTGAAATCTGGCAACTACAATACATGGCACTGTAGTCTGTACAGTGTACCACCTGATATCTACGCCTGCATTCATGGAACTTGTGTGTACTCATGCACACGAGTGTATGTGTGTGTGTGTGTGTGTGTGTGTGTGTGTGTATGTGTGTGTGTGTCTGTGTCTGTGTGTGTGTGTATGTGTGCGTGTGTGTGTGTGCGTGCCCACTGCATGGCAGCAGGAAATTGTATCACAGAGTCATCTGCACATGTTCAAAGTGTTTGGAGTGTGCCCAGGCAGACTGGTAGCAGTCACAACCAACAATGGTAGTACACCCATAACCCCATAGATGTAATACATGCTAAGATTTCAAGATGTCCGGTCGATGCAGATATTTAAAAAAATTATAAAATAAAAATAAAACCCTCCCGTCCGCCCCGATTTTTCGGAAAATTCTGACGATCAACAATCTTTTTTTTTACTTGGCCTTAGGCCATCATTTTTTATAGCTATGTTTCGTGTCGTCCGCACGCATACGTTTTGACTTTTTTCGGAAAAAATAAAAAAATCGAACATGCACAGTGAGTGTACGATCGTGCGAGTCATCAGTGTGGACTGGTTGCGATACGGCGAAGCTGGGATTCAGAAATGGCCTCTAGGCCAGCGTTCGTAAATCGTTTGTTCGGCATCTGGGAGCAATATTCTATGAGCTTAAACCAGACCGCATTGATCGCCTCAAGCTGAGAGGATGCGTCGTTCCGGAGCTCTTTGCACCGCTGGTGAAGTTTCAGTACAATAATCCAGCGAAGCTTGGGCACCAACGGTTGCCTCCTCTGTCCAAAGTGAATATTTACTCATGCTGATAACCCAGATGTTGTGCTTCGATGTACGATTTTTCTCTCGAATGTACATCATGCACGAGCTATTGTGCTATGTACAGTGCATACACCTCTGATGAGCCTTTTTTTTATTATTTTGCAACTTTTTATTTTTTTCCACCTCTCGCATATGATTCTGGAAGTTGAACTGACGCGAAACATAGATATAAAAAATGATGGCCTTATAGGGGCATGGCACGAGGGAAGCATGGATTACAAGTAGTTGGTCTTTGACCATTTTGGTGATGGGTCTGATCTACTTACCTCCCACCGCTTTAGGAGCTGCATCTGCGCCCATGATCCTTCAGGGTGGAGGCATTCCTACGGATGCGGAAACTCAACCTCTAGCCGAGTCTCACGCAAACCGTGAATTTTGTTATAGGGGCTTGATGGGTGAGTGCCAACAGATATACAAGTAATGCCTTTTCCTTCGTGAAATTTTGATAACTAAGTATGTAGGTAAACAGTTTCCTCTGAGACAAAAATGCTATAATACTCATAAAAAGGACACACTTCAGGCTCTTTACGAACATCTTGAAAGTTTTTGGTTTCACAAGTATACTTTCAAGCCTTCTCATCAGGTGAAATAGAGGCAAGGGACAAGGAACAGGAACAGTGGATTAAGTACAGAAAGAAGGTGGTAAAACAGCGCAAAGAAGAATATAGCTAAAGTAAAAGTGATGAGAAGGCTTGAAAGTATACTTGTGAAACCAAAAACTTTAAGATGTTTGTAAAGAGCCTGAAGTGTGTCCTTTTTATGTCAATGTCTTTCCCTCAAACCAGTGAACTATGGATATCCGTCACTTAACCCCATTTAGAACAAGCTCAATGACTTTCTCGCCGAGGGCCTTATCAAAGTTTAAAGCCCGCTCAATTGTAATTTTACTACTCCGTAGTACGGTAAGAGAGCATCTCATAAGTTCGCATCTATTTTGCAAACGTAACGCATTTCGAATAGACTTTACCCCCCTACCTCCCCCCTCTATTCGAAAGTCTTATCGCTCTGTGTTTATCTACTGTACACGTCCATGCGGCCCCATGCTATGCTATGCTTATGTACATGATTGTACATGTACATGTACATGGATATGAATGCTTGCTAGAGCGGTCGTGAATGGCATACAGACTCAGTCAGTAGTACCGCATTTACTGAGTACAAGTACAATCAATGACATGTACACGCACCTAAACATAGACTTCCTGCACAACAACTGTACTGCTGTAAACGCTGGCCAGGTACACTGTACACGGTTTGATCAGGCTGGTGTGACATTTGACACCTCTAAGTAGCCTGCATGCATGCAGTGCAAGGGTTAGCTGATCTGCAAACACAGGTAGATCTCCACCTAAACACACTCTTTTGCTGCAGGGATCTAGCACGGTAGTAGATTGTACAGTTCCAGAAAATGTGCGAACAGTCATTTTTTTCTATTCGAAAAGGGCGCTACCCCCCTACCCCCGTTTCGAAATGCGTTACGTTTAGAAACAAAATGCGAACTTATGAGATGCTCCCTAAAAGATCAAAATTATGCTAAGTATGTACTATGTACGGTACAAAATTAGAATATGTACAAAATATAGTACATAGCACAACGTTCAACGTACGCATAATAGAACGTTCTAAGCTGCTTTCTTCTATAGACCATATTTATAGGGAAGAGACGATGAACTATCTATCATTCAGAGTATGTAAGATTGCAAGTAGAACCGTGTTTCTTTATAGAACAATGGCAGAGCCCAACCCTAAAAGATTCCGGTCTGTAAGTGAAGAGGATTTGACGGAAGTTCTGGATTCAAGAGTATCTGCCAAAGCCAAGGAAGCAAATCAATGTTGGCTTTCTGTTTTCAATACGTTCAACAAGAAGCAACCACATCCAATAAAAATTGAGAAGTGTTCAAAGTTTGAGCTGAATACTTTCCTGTGCAAACTTTACGTTGCTGCTAAACGACAAGATGGCGGTTCATATCAACGTTCAAGTTATCTATGCTTTAGTGCGGCTCTACGCTGACACGTGGTTGAAAAGCGGAAATGGAATATCATCAGCAATCCTGAGTTTGCCCGTTCCAATAACTGCTTGGATGGAGTTCTCAAGAAACTGAAGCGAAAAGGAGAACTACGACCAGTCAACCACAAGGACTATATCACAGACGATGACTTCAGAAGCTGAAGAACAAGTTCTTACGATGCAAAGAGCCGGAGGTTCTTGTAATGGAGGTGTGGTTCTACATGACATATCACTTTGCACTCCGTGGGAGAGAAATCCAAAGACAGGTGAAGAAAACTGACCTGTCTGTGGTACCAACGATCTAATTGGTTTCGTGGACAGCGAGGAAACAGTGGTTGACGATCACACAGGCAGCAATGAGAAACTTCTCGAGACACATGTGATGCAGTTCCACTTTAAGTCATGCGCATCATGCAGGTAACAGGACACCGAAATGCCATGAGCCTGGCAAGCTACAGCAAGTCAACTGATGAACAACAGAGAAATATGGCAGCTGTTCTAGATGCACCTTCATCTCAATCATCGGAAAGACGACAAGCAAATTCAGTATCAAGGGGGTCAGATGAAAGGTCAAGTTCAGCTGATCAAAACTGTCAAGAATCATCCAACTCGTGTCAAAAGGAATCTCAAGACTCTTCTGACAACACCACATCTACAACAAGTCCTGCGCAATCTCAATCTTCACGAACCAACTCGCAAACTAGACCCTACATTCCATCATCAAATTCGCGTCCGCCTGACAATCCGTCACCCTCGCAAGCGTGTCTTCAACAGAATACGTCGAAAGAAGTATGTTCAACGTTTGTCCTTGATCCTCCTTCTCCAATGCAGCCACCGCCATCTTCAACTCTTCAAATCGCAGAACCTCCTTCAGAAGTTCATGTTGCCTGTCCAGGACCAGCTCCATGCTTTAATCCTCACGACAACAACAACAGCAAAGAATTAATAATGCTCTTCAAACTGTATTTAGTGGAGGTCTGCATAACTGCAATGTTACAATTAACATGTTGCCTCACAACTAGTGAGGTTATTTTGCGAGAATAATAAACATTCTTTAACCTTTTGAGCCCGGGCTCATTGAAAACCTCTGCCACGCAGTAATTTTTTTTAATTCACTCTATGTGAGCAAACTTGATTTCAAACGATTCTTTCATGTACCCTGAGCACAGAACTGTTTTTGTTTTGGAAATACAACAAAGATTACAAGAGTTATGACCGTTTTCATAAAGGTAGTTTTACGCGAAATTGGTATTTTGAAATGTATGCACGCGCATGTAACTCCAGTTCAAACGTACGGAGCGACTCACATTTTTTTGTTACTGTACTCGTACATCCTAGGAGTCCTCTGTGCAGCGGTACAGCTCGACGCCACGCCACGGAAGAAACGCGGTATCGATGTAGTTCCGTACTGACTCGTGACGTTCTAGAACGTCACGCGTGTCACAGTGGCAGTGGTCATGACGTGTCAGAACGCCACGCGTGCTCAAAATTCTGTCCTCTTAAAGAGAAGTTGTTGGAAAGGGGAAAATGAAGTCGTTGGGAAAGTCGCTGATTAGTCAGCTCCTAGGCAACGGGATTGACATCGTTCTAACATAGTTAATGCATGGCAGGGAGGGCCCAATGGCTTGTTAGTGCTCTCCAGGGTAGCCCTTGGGCCTACGGTCCTCTGACTACCCTGGAGGGCACTAACAAGCCACAGGGCCCTCCCTGCCATGCACTAACATAATTATAATTAAAAAAATCTGGGTTTCGGATCTGCTTCTCCGCACATTTTGCCTCCGTATACCTGTACTAAGTGTGTAAACCGGGCTGAATTTCTAACTCCTTATCCTTTGACTCTTCTGCTCTCAAATGTGGCAGTACAGAAATTCACGGGTCACACGATGCAGGATGTACAGTAGCTGGGTTTTTTTTTCATTGTATATCTACCAGACTACGTGCGAGGTACCAAATCATAGTGAGGGTGCCAGTTTTGGATGAATGGATTGTAGTTACTAGAACCTTAAAAATGGATACATGTACATAGTGGTGCGCTGAACAGCAGACTGGCACTTACCATTCGGAAGGCAAAGCAAACTAATGGGAACAAATAATATTAAAATGCTGAGGAATCCATGGAAGATGTTTTCCTGTCTGGACACTGAATCATCCCTACAAGGTCAAACAGAATGCCAAGCAAAAACACACATACACACAGTAAGCCGGAGAGAGGAAATTTATAGTTACAACTAGAGTTTCACGCTGCGGACCGTGGGGAATTCATCTTGTGCATACGCACCCACATACATACACAAACACACGGATAGGCTCGAGCCAGACAAACCTGACTTGACTAATACAAGCCACATAGCTAGGATGCATGACTTCTGCAAGTTATCACGGTAGAGTAGACCACTGGTATTATAGTAAATTGCCCATGCCATCTATAATACTATCAATCCCACGCGGGTTCACATGGGGTACGAAAGGTGAAATATGTACAGTGCTGCCAACCCTCCGTATTTTTCCATATCTGTACGGAAATTCACTCCTTTTTTCGCAGTACGGAAATTGACCGAAATTGTACAGAAAACTGAGAAGTCTGGATCAGCTGACTATGAACCAGTTTTTCTACATGTATATGGCATGGTACTCATGCACATGATGAGTATAGTTTGAATGGATATGGCCTTGATTTATGAACACGAGTACCGTATTTTCCCCATTAAACGTACACGTCTCCAATACTAGAACGTCTCCACTTGTAGTACAATCACATCATGTTGAGTGTGTATCAAAAATATAAAAGAACACGTCTCTAATAATAGTACATGCTGGAATGATGTGGTGGGTATTACTGGGGTACAGGTACCAAGGGTCCACATTACTTCGTTCTTCTTACCCATTCATCATCTTTGCGTCTTTGCACACTGATTCTTACCATGGCTGGATGTACTTACAGCCTTACAGCATCATTATCGCGAGTTGTTTGCCACCCAACCCAGGCAATCAATCTTTCCAGAAACAGTAAAAGTACACGTCTCCAGTACTAGTACAGTCTCCTATAGTATTACATGTCTGACCACCTTTGAAAAAATAAAAGTACTGTACATTTAATGGGGAAAATACGGTATCCTTGCGTGCTCTCCTTGCAGTGGCTGTTTTGCGACGGAAGATGCAGACTGAAGGCGCAGGCAACATCAGTGTACGTGTTCAACGGGTATGGCGGCGTGGTGTGGCTGTGTGCAACGGGCTGGCAGGACAGTGATTGCCTCAGGGGCCTCTGGGTCTGCCGCGTCGGCCAGTTCGCTTCGTCGTTCGTTCCCCGTCACGTCACTATGGAACAAGTACAGTCAGCCGCAGTATCTTTGTTTTTGTGGCACATGCAATGACTAACTTTTCTGGTGTTAGACTGACTGCTGTTTTTTGCGCCCCCCTTTTCACACGTGCTACATGTTCCTGTCCCAGCCATGAGCGCATGTCGTTATCACCTGACCTTGTTATCACTTTTGTCACTTAGGGTATGCCACGTTTCTATGAAGAAATGAGCGCAATTGCGCCAATTGAGCCCTATAAAGATCAGTCTATTCTTATTATTCTTTCATTCAACATCATATGCCTCCACTGATGAGCTCAGGAGGAGCGAAACAGCTGTCTGGAGGGTCATTGTCAATATCAATCTATATACCGGAATTGTCCTCGCTGTGGTGATGGTGATGTGAGTGCAGAGTTTGGATCGGCCAAGAGCGCAATGTGGTGGTGTGGTGTATTGGATTCCATAATGGCCGGGTCGTCGCTACTTCTTCCCATGCGTATCCTTGCTCTACCAAGAGTACATAACCCCCAATAGTGTGCAATTGCCTGCACAACCTCTATGCTGTGCTGCGACGGCAGAACTTCACATCACGTGACATGGTTCAAAAGGTTACGCTGGGAAACAGTGCAAAGTGACCACAAGAGAGTTGAGCCCAAAGCTGGGTTGTGCACAACCCTGTATCTATCATGCAAATAGTGCAAATAATGTGTACGGGTTCATCACGTGATGTAAAGTTCTGCCGTCGCAGACCCCATATCTGGAGTTGCACACTCTTGGGGTTACCGGTAGGGCTCAAACGATTAGTCCGATTAACCGGTTGCAGGCCGGTTACGAAGAATTAACGGTTAACCGATAAAGATAACGGTTACGCAGTAACTTTACAGTCAATTTTTCAAGTATCAGGTCGTTGCAAAGTATGCACTTTCGCGGGCTGTCGCACGCGTACGCAATTTCTGGGCTGTCAACTCGGTCATATCTGGTCTCTTGGTGTGAGAGTATGTATGAATGAGCATGCAAGAGAATGTACAAGTGTGCGTTGCACTGAATAGGGTACATTTTTTGAATGAGTATAGTCAAATATACGGTTAAAAAAAAGTCCGCAGGATTGCCGTGGCTTATAGGTTATAACCGTATAACCGACCGTTAGCTTAGCAGTTAACCGTCAGGGGTAAAACCGTGACCGTTTGAGCCCTAGTTACCGGTATGTACTCTTGCTTCTACCAAAGCCAGCTACAGTGCGTGCCACAACCACAATCATGACTACTACAGTCTACCGGGTCTACATGGCTACATCCGTACAATGCACACAAGTCAAGAGTTGGCAAGACACTCATTGAGCACCCGGTGCCCCGAAGACTACAAATTTCGCAAAAAATAAATCATGGGATTTAAAAAAAATTGGTAGCACGGAAAAACTCTGGAAAATACGGAAATTCAGCTGTCCGAGTACGCAAATCAGACCGAGCAGGTTGGTAGCACTGTATGTACATGTACACACATTCACTGCCTTACGATTATTCAGCGGTTTATTGATGGCATTAACGAAATTCACTGTGACGCGCCATAGCCAGGTGTTTCTGTAGCATCATGGATCAGAGTTCCACATGCGCCAATCTTGGTAATACAGTCAACCTCGCTGATAACGACTTTGAATATAACTACAAATCGCGAAAAAGCGACACTTTTTTGTTGGCCAGAGAAAACGCCCAATGGACCACATACATTCAACTTGGAGGAGTATACTGCTAACATGCCAATAACGACACGACTGTCATGCCCAGAGACCCAGATTGACAAGTGAATAGTGCATTATGACCACATGAGTGTCATCCAGCTGTCATAAACCTTGTCATCTCAAGTCCCTGGTCGAAAATGATTCGATGCGGGCAAGGTCGAAGAACATTTTTTTATTCTGCGTTTCCCTGAGATCGATGTACAGGGCTAGAGTGCACAGGGTTGTACAATTCTGTGTGCCTGATGTGTGTGGTATGCATGCAGAACAGACCCTGATGTGTGTGGTACGCATGCAGAACAATAGAGTATGTTCCCGTGCCCACATGCTAAGCTACCAAAGTCAAGGTCATCAGTCATGAGACTCAGCGTGACTCAAAGTCACATCACATCACTTCCTGCTTCAGATCAGGGTGAGAGTTCAGCTGATGAGACCTAGCAAGGTCGAAACTGCTAGCTTTCCGGACTATCAAACTAGATGAAATCGAAAATTTCTCAAAATGTTCTGAAAAAATCCAAATTATCTGATAGATCGGGATTGAATGGCTGGGTAAGGACACAAACGGGCAGTCGTGTTGGCTTTCACAACTCCCTGGATGGAAAGGGAGAAGACAGCCTTGCAAGAAACTCACTTTATCTTCAACTTGGTTGTTTTCAAAATTTTATATAAAAAAGCCTTTGAGCTATGGGCCAAAGCCCCGAGGCACCTTTGTACCCTTTTTCTGAAGAGTCCCCCCCCCCCCCCCCCCCCGGGTGTTATGTACTGTTGCTTTTACAGCAGACTGTACCTGTGAGGCAAGTGTGAATCACACGCACACAGTCGCCATGTCGTCTCTCTGTATTGCAGTCAACTACTCCCTGGCGTGCACGGTCATAGTGGACTTGCCTGGCAACACTTTAGAGGCCGGAAAGGGATGCAAGCATCCCATTTACCCTTCCACCCTCTCCCTGTATGGTCATGCCAGATTGAAGTTTCTCCTGTCATCCCTCCTCCTCAATTCAAATTCAAGCCCTGCTCTTTTTACCTTTTCTTCATACTTAAAGACTCTCACAACAGACATCCCTTTGAACTTAAAATATTGTATTGAATTGAGAAATATCTAAATTGAATTGAATAATTGTTCGTGTCCTTACCTGAACAGAGCAAATAAAACTAGTGAGGAGATGACAAAGAAGAGCAAGGTCAAAGTACGGGGCTGGTAGAAGAAGCTGATGTTGATATCGTCCACGATCTTTTCGTTGTAATCATGCTCGTTGTCCGAGCATGTCAAATATCCAGTGAGCGACGACTCAGAGTTGAGACGTGTCCTCATTGGTGGGGATAACTCAGGTGTTGTAGGAGAATTCGCCTTTCTCGGCATCCTCGGCGATCATGGAACGAATGTGCTGGTAGTCAAGCTATTCTAGGCTCAGGCAAGGCCGGAAAAGACGAGTGCCGAAGTGAAGTCCCACAACAAATCAAACCACAAAACCACTCAACCTCTCAAGCAAGTTCTCATCAAACAAGAAAGTGCAATGTAAAACACAGGTGCATCATGCAGTCTCGACTGTGCAGTGACTTTTTTGAATTTTTCTTTCCAGTGTGCGCGTGCAGCATCCAGAATGCAGAAAAACGTGCATGCAGCGCAGTCGATCGTCTACTAGCTCGGTGTTCTTCTTATCTGGTGTTTGATCACGTTCCGCGGACGTGGGGGATGCGCCTGCGCGAACGCGCTTTACAGAAGGGCACGCACCTGCGCTGCATCAGCAGCTACATAATGAGGTAGCTGCTGCGCTGCACTGGTGCAGCGCAGGTGCTTTTATTTCCCATTTCACAAGCAATGGCAAAAGTAAGTCAAGTGGACATACATAACAATGTCATTATTTGTAGCTGTTGCCATGTCATGTCCAAAAAGGGTGCCACTGTCCCCAGTACAGTGCTATGGAGTCCGTAGTCGTGGACTCCATAACTTACTTGGACCATAAGCCCTGGCCTGGCCTATGCATCTGCACACATCCTACAATAGGCTACATAATCATTAGAAGTCATTACATTACTACAATCATGTAGCTTCAAAAAACCTTTCTTCTCAAAGTTTCAAATCCGTGACTTGAAACTGAAACGGTCCACGCCACAATGATGTTGAATGAGACTGACTGTTCCCGCTTGAAATGCTATCGCCTCTGGAAAATCCACAGCCTGATAACAATAGCTGCTGCTGCCGGCCACACACTCTCTTGCTTGTACAATACAACCTTACTGTTGCTCATACATGTACCAAGACTGCAACTATTAGTAATGTTACTTTGCAAGAGTACATGAAGAGTATAATCATGATCTTGCTCATATTACTAGTACAAAACAAGTACTTGCGGTGCCCGCTGCGCTTGGTTGCACATGCACAAAGAAAGCCAGTCGACCGACCAACACAATTGCTGAGACGGATCCAGACCATTGAGGGGCCCCGTGGGATACACCATAACCTGAACAGTACTGATGACTGCTATGATTATAATTTTAAAATGTACAACAGTAGAGCCCGCCTTAGCAAGAGTACATAACCCCCAAGGTTATTGTACTCTTGGCGTTAGTTACTGGCTGGTAGAGTCCATACAATCATGTACACTGTACTAGAGTAGTAGAGACCAGGGAACTTGTCCTCCCTGATGCTATCAAGAGTATGTAACTCCGCCCTCCCCCGGCCGGATTATGCACTCTTGATAGTAGTGATCTGGTGATCATGGTGATCTGGTGATAGGGCTGAGAAAGATCGTACCAAGACTGCAAGACTGCAAGAGTACATACCGGTAAGCTGCACACTGTAGGATACTAGTACATAGTAGAAATCTGCACGCATCATGGGGACGGTCCTCTAGACTGGAGTAGAAGTTACTAGAACTAACTTCATAATGACAACACCAAGAATCATAATAAATTATTATTATTATAAGCTCCCAGCTCCCAGCTCATTTACTCTTGATACTTGAAGTACTCATACCATCATGTAGATCTACATGACATTGTAGATGTGCGGCTGAGCATGCAATCACATTACACCTTATATTTGTAGGGTATTTACTGGCTAGTGCAGGTACAGTGGTTCCTTTATAATCCGGCACCATTGGTGCTAAAGGAAATTCTGCTGGATCAGGGAGGGTGCTGGATTATCAAAATAATGATAATCTGATTCAAGTTCTGCTGCAGTGTGCATGAAGAGGACTTTTTGGTTACTGAAAAATAATGGTGCTGGTTTATAAAGTGCTGGTCTAAAGTGGGACAACTGTACAAAGTAGAGTTGCCGTTGACATTCAACAAGTATGTGTCAATATACTACAGCAATATGTGATACTCTCATATCAGGCACTCGGAGTAGACACAATGTCTACATGAACAAACACACCGCACACATGAACAGACACACGGTACACCATGGTATACAGCCGGGGTCTCTACACCAATCACCCTGTACATTGTGAAGTTCTACAGACGAAACACAAAAAAAGGAGGTCTACAGTTTACAAACCTGAGCCAAAAGTCACACAGTGCCCCCCCCCCCCCCCCCCCCCCCCATCTCCAACACGTGCAGACACGCACCTGAATGTACACACACAGCATCCCCCCCCCCCCCCCACAGAGCATCTCTACCCCCCCCCCCCCCCCCAACACACACACAACACACATAGAACAATAATGTTGTTACTTGAAACACGGCACACTATATCAGTTGCAGCAGCTTGCCACAGCCAAAGCGACAAACTAGAACGAACAACAACCAGCAAATGGACTAGTGACAACAGCGATAAAACCTCCAAACAGAACAGCAGAAACACAAGCCTAGCAACGAGAAAGATGTATAGAGAGAGAGAGAGAGAGAGAGAGAGAGAGAGAGAGAGAGAGAGAGAGAGAGAGAGAGAGAGAGAGAGAGAGAGAGAGAAAGAAAGAGAGAGAGAGAGAGAGAGAGAGAGAGAGAGAGAGAGAGAGAGAGAGAGCGAGAGAGAGAGAGGGAGAGAGAGAGCGAGAGAGAGAGAGAGAGTGAGAGCGAGAGAGAGGGGGGGGGGGAAGATAAGAGTGAGTAAGAGAGAGCGAGAGAAGAGGAGGGAGGGTGTGTGTGTCACCATGTGACAATGTCAGAAGACGCCACTCCGACAAATGCAAATAAATACCATGCCAGAAAATAGCATAAATCAGAAATCTATCTAGCGTTACAATCAAATTGAGCAATTGAATGGGGATGTCAAAAACCCAGCAGTACATGACGAGACATGCGACCACTCTGGTGAGCGAAGAGGGAAAAAGAAGACCTAAACAAGTTAAAACAATGGCAACGTCAAAACTCAGTGAAAGAATATATACCAAGATCTTTGCCGGTTGATGAGGATGACGACCTACGTAAGTCTCTGTGGCGACTGCGGCGTTTGCTCGACTGCTGCCTACCCCGCTGCTCCCTAGGCGGAGGCGGAGAAGATAGCTTTGGCGGTGACGTTGCTGGTGGAGGTGGCGGAGGCTGCGGTGGTGACGTTGGAAGGGGCGGTTGGCACCGTAGCGGAGAAGGCATGAACGGCGGAGGTGGCAGCGGTGGCTGCGGCGGAGGCACGGACGTGGGCAGCGGAGGCTGTGCGGGTATTCGAGGCGAGTCGGACGACATCAAACGGCGCCGCTTCCGCAGATGGTGGCGCCGGGGCGTGACGGGAAGGTCCGACTCGCAGGAAGAGGATTCCTCTAAGTGAATAAACGCCCGACTAACTGCTTGCTGGTGTTGATCAACTAGGCCAGGACTAGAAGTAAAGTCTGCTATGTGAAATCCCGAACTTCCTCTTGGAGATGACATGCCAACAGCAAACTGAGTACGAAGCAATGCGCTGTGTGGCTGTGCTGGTTGTCTAGGCGAGTACTGCTCTTTCAGATAGCTCCGGCTGCGCTTGCGGCTGACGGGGGAGAAGACCAGGGCAGAGTGCATCTCCTGAACACTCGCTGATGGGAGAGGCCATGCGGTTGGCGAGCTGCTGTGCCTGCTGCTACGTCGCAACGGTGGACTCCCACCTGGAGAATCCTTGGGAGCAGGCGGTGTACGCGGCGGGCTCTCTTTGGGCAGGGGTGGGTGAACATCTGGCGGCAGAACATTATCCAGCTGTGCAGCATCAGCAGCAGTATGCCGAGTTGGAGTGGCAGTGTTTGCCATCTTCACCTCACCATCAGGTGTTGCAGGTCGGGGTGGCCTCTCTTGCGGTGCAGGAGATGAAGGAAGGAGACGCACGTGAGCGTAGATGTCTTCATCGGCGTCCTTCTGCGGAGCAACAAACATCTCGGATGGCTCCACCACTTCAAAAGATAGACTCTCCGGTGCTGCAGAACGCTGTTTTCCTTTCACATGGAATCTTGAAGGTCGTTTACGTTTTCTAGTGGGTCGCGATGAAGACTTGCTGTTGGGACTGGACCGTTGTTGCTCCGGGCTTTGCCGAGCTGGACTTGTTTCCTGAGATAGAGTCGACTCGGCAGTGATAGGTGTGCTAGGGCAGGTATTGACGGCAGAGTTTATTTCCGGCTGCTCGCCCTTTGCTGGCCGAGATTCATCGTCCGGAGCCGGAGCATGGTCAGGTTGGTGGCGTGCTTCTTCATCCGCTGCTTGCTCAGCAGAAACCCTCTTGGTAGGGCTGAGCGAAGGCATCGCCTGGGCACACTTCCCATCCACAGTACCAGGGCTAGCCTGAGCACACTTCCCATCCACAGTACCAGGGCTAGCCTGGGTACACTTCCCAGCCACAGCACCAGTGCTAGCCTGGGCACACTTGCCATCCACAGCACCAGGGCTAACCTGGGTACACTTCCCAGCCACAGCAACAGTGGCAGTGGCATCATCTGTAATAGGAGATCTACGATTCGAGCGGCCAGAACTTGCCAGTTCAGCCGCCTGTTTACACGGTGAAGATTTGACAGGACTTGGGCTGAAACAGGAAGACTTGGAAGTAGCGTCAGCGGGTGATCTGCGCCTCCTCGATCGCCTCTGTCCAAGGAACTCTGCCGGTGGCGTCGGCAACCTGACTGCTTCTTCATTACGAGCTGTGTCAGGCTGGCCGCATGGTGTTTCCGGTGTTGGGCTGGCTGATGATTCACCTCTGCGCAAGATACATGCACACACACACATACACATGCACACACACACATGCACACACACACATGTACACACACATGCACACACACATGCACACACACATGCACACACACACATGCACACACACACATGCACACACACATGCACACACACACATGCACACACACATGCACACACACATGCACACACACATGCACACACACATGCACACACACATGCACACACACATGCACACACACATGCACACACACATGCACACACACACACACACACACACACACACACACACACACACAACAGCAGAGCTCTGGGTGAAATTGTGATTCTATTCTAGAAACAAACAAATGCACATGGTTCTGGCATGAGAATGGTGTGCACATAGTATCAAGCAATTACCGATGCCTAACTAAACATGTATCATGGTGTACTATCCATCGCCTCTCCTTGCCTGCACAGTATTGTACACGCAGATAACAGGTTGGGAATTCGCTTCAATAGCTCATAGCTCACCTTGTCTGAGTTGATGATAGCTGGGCGAGATAGTCATTGAGAGAACACTTTGCTTGCTGTATTAGCTCGTCCAGCTCTTTGTAGTTGCGACTATCTGCTGCAAACTTGATATGCTGTGAAGATGTAAGATGCTGTCCAGGCACAGAAAGCAAAGCCAACACAGACAGCCATGGGACCTAGCTACATGTGAAGAGCTTGGACACAAAACGCGACCAGGGCCAAATGTGAGAGATTGAGATTTTGAATTCAGTGTAATCAAAAGGTCCAGGGGCACTCTCAGGCAAAATTCCAAATTCAAAATCTGACTAGAACTACTTCGAAACTGGTACCCAAATATGGATTGAGATACCGCACATAAAATGAATCCATTTTTGCTAACAGAAAATTCCAATGGTTGGTATTTAGTACTGTCATGCCATGAGGACCAAGACTAGCAGCCCCTGGACAGTGAAAATCAAGACTTAGTAGGTCTTTGATCGGCTTGCAGAGTTACATCTGCAACTAGATTCCTGAGGACAGTGGTATTCAAGCGGATGCGGAAAAAGTCAGCCTGACCGAAACAAGGTCCATGACTTTCGGCAACACTGCCCCTTGAGGAAGAGAATTGGAACATACCGTGTTTAGGCAGTCAAACTTCAGGCCGCAACATTCACAGTAACCTTTCCGCTTCCAACCGCCGGCGACTTCATTTGCCTTCTTTGCCTCAGGTTCCTCTTGCTTGGCAGCAGCTGGCTGTTCAGTTGCTTTCTCAGAGGATTTCCTACAGCGACGTGATCAGATTACAGGACAAGACACAACGTGATGAGCCATCATTCCAAGCTGTTGAACCCACCCCCGCATGGCAAAAGGGACCGCAGTGCTATTCCACAGGCACACGGAAAGTGAGAGGGAAAGTGACACTACCGAAAAGAAAACGAACACAATATGAGAAATGAATAATTTGCTGTTGCCATCTTCATTCGGTCCGTCCACTCATAGCAGGTGTTTCATTGGACCCGACCGACCACACGACGCTTGCACACGACAGCACAAACAGTTCACCAGCCGCACTCCACGATAGCAAGTAGAGTTACTCCTAACACGTCTTGTTTCTGTCCATAAGATGACGAGAACTCATTCAGCCGAGCCCATTTCATTCAACAACTGCTTCTCCTCTGACGAGTTCTGTTTCTTATGGACGAAATAAGACTTCTCAGGAAAAATACAACCTGCTGCCGTGGAGTGTGGCTGGTGAACTGTTCGTGCTGTTGTCTGCAAGTGTCGTGTGATCTTGTTGGTACTAAAATGAGCAGCGGCTGACAAACTTACCCGAACAGACACTCAGTTTTAATATACAGTCGACCTACCATTATAACGATATTTTCGTCTGACCAAGAAATATTGTTATAAGGGTAATATTGTTATAGGGGTAACTGGTTCATTTCATACACATACGTCATCATGCATGAATTTAGTTCATTTTTTACACTCTTCATAGCGTCGAAAGCGTATGTACATGCACATTACGTACACAGCAAGGTGCCCACTGGTGCCCTCATCGCATTTCGTCATGTCCCAGCGACTTATCAAGTGAATCTTGCCCTACCTTGACAGTGGACTCTACATATCCCCTGCTGGATATTGTTATAGAATGGAAAGTGTTGATTGGTCAGCCCATTTTATATTGTTATAGGGGTAATATCGTTATAGCAATATTGTTATAAGGGTAAGGCGTTGTATACAAAAGTCAATGGAGTGATTTGGTTTGGCAGAAAAATATCGTTATAAGGGTAATATCGTTATAAGGGTAGGTCGACTGTACGGCCCTCTTTTAACCTTTGTCTCCCCACCATGCTTTGCCCTCTATGACTTCCCTGCCTCAACAGGGATATCTTGGGCATGCAATAACTTTGGTAGTCAGAGATGAGCTTCGCTTCATATTATGTACGCGTGGCCCATGGCGTTAGACTTAAGTTGCAATAATGCTACTTGGCACTAACCGTTTCTTCCTGTTCTCGCTAAGGCGCAGTCGAACGCGATTGCTTTGCTCGATAGGCACCACGTACGGGCCTACATCATAGATGAACACAACAGAAACACAGAAGGGCTGTAGGCAAAATATGGCAACACTCACTGCAGAGAATAAACATGGAGACCAGGGTAAGTATACTGAATTGGAAACACTCAAACAAAGGACGCCAGGAGCATGTCCTTGCGCGAAATTAAGGTTGAGTCAAGAGAACAGTCAAACAGTACAAACACCACATGAAAGTAAAGACATACCTTTATCAGAGGATTCAAATGGACACGATCCTGGCGATGAGTTAAAGTCAGGTCTTGGCCAAGTAGTGAGCTCCAAGTACAACGGGCGATATTTACTACAGTAGCAAACGTGAGAACAAAATGCGGATATAAATTCCGATTCCTAACCCAGAGCAAAGGCAGACCGACACGTCAAAGGCTCCTTCAACATGGTTGCGAACACTCAACTCAACCGTTAAGAGGAACAGGACAAAAGGACATACCACAAGGCCAGTTGAGCGTGCGGAACCTACCAGCTCCGGTCCTCCACCTTGATGTACGGTGCCTGCAGCTGATGAACATGGGTCTCGCTAGTCTTGCTGGCCGATTTGCACTGCGCCTGCAGGGACAGATCAAGCATCCACGGTACATGACAGTGCACACTTTGCATTGGCTGCCTCGATCGATACTGAAATTTCAGTAAAAAGTTCCCTGGTTATAACATACCGTGGGATATAACGCACTATCAATCAGCGTTATCGGAGAACTCAGCATGATGCTATGCCAGTCATTTGACCTCAGGTATGCAGTACATACTTGGAGCCGGTACACTATAATGCAGTTTCCCTGTACAGTGCGGATCGGCTATAGCGTTGGTGTTTGATTTTCGTGAAAATATCACTATAGGCGATATATTACTACAGGCGATATGCATACTTAGGGATGCCTGACACATGCGTGTATGGTGTCATTCGAATCAGTGCAGCGTGCAGGAACGTGCTGTGCATGTGACTGTGCAGTACGCGCAGTGCAGAGCTACATGTACTTCCTGCGGAAACAAAAACTTCGTGACTTTTTGACATGAGTTTTCAAGGAGTTCCTGTGCTCAACAAATGTGTTCTTTAGGAAGAGAAACACTTCAACACATTCAATTGACATATCTACAGGATCGATTAGTGGGAGTAGAGTCTCAGTCTGGGTCGCCATCGCTCGACTCATCACCGCTGAAACCGTTCCAAGTGGCAGGTCGATCGACGCGTGAGGTCGTATGTCACGGAGAAGCTTCTCCGCGTCCCTGATCGTCTTCGCTGTTACAGTCTGTATCGGCTATAGCATACCCTTTTGATTTCCGTGATTTTATCACTATAACCGATGCATCACTATATGCGATACGATCGATTTTTTTCTTTTTTCGATCAACACATGAAAGGCAAGGAAATACTTCCAGCATGGCGTTTTGACAGTGCTGCATAGTTGACAGTGCCCACATTTCCATAAAAAAATTCTGTTATGTGCATGTACATGTATCACTATAAAAATAAGCAAAGTGAAGAAAGTAAAAAATAGGGCCTTTGATATTATTGCTACATGTATTTTTAAAACGTTATCACTATAGCCGATAATAATATAGTGTGTTATGCATGTTTTGATTCTTTGTTGCCATCATAATATCCGATATATCATTACATCCGATAATATTGGTTATAGTGATATTTGTACTGGATAAAATACGTTTTTGCTTTTGATATTTCGTACCAATATCACTGTAGCCGATATATTCTTATATCTGGTCACTCTATAGCCGATACAGACTGTACCTGAATGCCTTCTCCAACATCTCGGCGGAGACCACGGTAGCGCTTCAGCGCTGGTACTTATAATAATTATTACTGCCTCCGCTCTCGCTCGAGGATGCCCCAGAACAACAAGCACAGCCAACGCCAAACATTTCGAATTTCCTCCGAGGGATATCATAGTCGTACCAGCGCTTCCTGACTGCCGCGATCAGATCTCGCCTTCTCCTTTGCGACCAAGGACACATCGTCGAGGCTGCTGGAAAAGGCGAGATCATCCACGTTGATGTCTGTGATGAACATGTACGATGTATACTTTTTTATGATCATCACTATAGCCGATGAAACATGTATGCAATAAAATCATTTTGACAAAGAAATCGTATCATTATAGCCGATATATTACTATAGCCGATTAGTGACCTAGCCAAAGCCGGCTCAGAGAATGCCGGCTGGGAGGGCGACCTGCCGGCTGAGACAGTTCCAATTTCGGCCGGCTGGCAAACAATTGAGATTTAGAAAAAATTTCAGTTTCTACAAGTACAAGTATTTGTAGCATGCTGTGTTCGGGGATCATTTTTCTTTCAATCATGTCACCAAGCCCACTATCCTCCGCCAAGGTAAGAGTCGATCACTGTCAGCTGTCGAAAATAGGTCCAGTTTCTGCCACTACAATGTCCGAATAATCGTGGAAACAGAACGACCGGCACAGCAGTGAAAACTTCCACTGAACTGACACTGGCACTGCACTAGTGCACTGTACTTGCGGGCGTACTGTATGCACTCGACTCTTGAGGTCACGCATGTAGACTGTAGTGCACTGCACTAGCACTTGAGTCGAGATGGTGGAGTAAAACCCATATCCGTAGGCGTAGGTATGTACGCTCAAATGCACTTGAGTATGCACTTGAGTACGTGGTGCGCAGAGTGCCAGTAAAATGTAACAGGTCGGGTCATGGTTCGCTGCTTCCGGTGGGTACACGGCTGTGACACTGACAGCTACAGACTCTGGACTGTCATATCGTGGGCCATTCGTGGCTAGGCTGGGTCTTGTGCATGCTGCATTTCGGAACACATGACCATCGGCATTGTACACTACTCCAGTTGTGTTGGCGTACCACTCAGGCACTGCGTTGCTTTAGTTGTGGTCGGAGATCCACCACTTTAAGTTCCTCTGCGTTGCTTTAGTTGTGGTCGGAGCTCCGGGTATGCAGTGACCTTCTGCACGTGGACAGCATGCAATGATTTTGGTATATAAGGGCTTTTCACTCTAGCTCAAGTGTACTTGAGTCCGCGGTGCTAGTTAGTACTCAGCATTAGTAGTTTGCAATGGGAATTCAGAAAGCTTTTACAAAGTGGAAAGAAGATTGCGGGTGGCTAAGTCACCGCGTTGTCGATGTTCAGGGACAAGGTGATAAGGAGGCGCGCATGTTTTGTTCCTTGTGCCTGTTCCATAAACCTTCGCTGTCTGGTGCTGGTGGTAGTTCAGGCGATGTTTGGTGGACTGTAGGCTGCAGGAGGCTGAAGGTCCACAGTGTGAAAGACCACGAAGCATCTGCCTATCACTCGGAGAGCGTCCGGAAGGAGCACGATAGGCAGCGCATTGATCAGGCAGGTGGTTTACAGCGGATGGTCATCAAATCGCAACCTTGCGGTGGGGGATCAATGCGACCAAGCGCTGATCCATGCCATGAAAGCCTTGTATTGGATCGCGAAGGAGAACATCGCTCTTCAGAAGTGGCATTCGCTGAAGGAGCTGCTGTGCCAAGTTGGCGTCGACCTCTCTCCTCTCCAGCAAGCGCGCAATGCCCAATACACCAGTCACGACATTCTGAGTCAGCTGCTGGAGTCGATGTCGGACATTGTGGTGCGCGAAACGGACACACTGGTGCGCCGCTCTCCGTTCATTGGCCTCACTGCTGATGAGACAACAGACGTCAGCAACTTGACGCAGCTTGATGTACACCTTCGTCTTCTGGACAACGGTCGCGTTGTGACACGCTTTGGCACCCTCATCCCTGTGCCGAAGACGACGGCCAAGGAGCTCATCAAGACAATGGACGGCTTCTGTGCATCCCGAGTCATTTCCATGCGCTCTGTCCACCTGGGCACTGATGGTGCTGCCAACTTCACCGGTTGTCGCAGTGGTGTCGCCACCCAATTGAAGGCTCGGAACCCCTTCATGGTGCATATCCACTGTGCTGCGCACCGAGAGGCACTGGCTGCAGACATGACGTTGGTGAACACATGATCCATGCTCATGTAGCTGTTTGCTTCCTTTTCCATATTTTGTTAATTTACCTATAATCACATTGTCACAACTGCCTGATGAATGTCCATAATTGGACGAAGCGAAAGGAGATGCAAGCTGCAATGAAAGATTTGTAGTGGTGTGTCTGTGTGGATATGTGACTGATGGCGGGGGTCTGGGGGCGCATCCCCCAGAACGATGCATTTTCACTAGAACATTGGCCGGCTGGCAAAAAATCCTGGCTAGACCTCTGGCCCGCCAACTGAACTTTTTTCGTTCCGTAAAACTTATTGATAATGCCGGATGGCCCCCAAAGTAGTTTGGAACGATCTTCAAAGACCCAGTCATCAACCGTGCATGGCAAAAAGGCAAAAGGGGCAGTGCTAACCCTCTGTTGAGTTAGACGAGCAAGAACGGTACACCTGCGATGTTGGCCATTATTGTTTTAGGACCACTATCCAGGGTGAGTGGTGTGCACGCCTACACCTCCGCCCCGCCGCGCCCCGCCTGGGACCTCCCAGCAGTACAGTTTGCGGGTGTCCCCCTGAATGGAGAGAGTAACCTCAAGCTTCTTGGGGTAACCTTGGACAGCCAACTTTTCCACCGCAACCACCTCCGTACCATCGCCATCAGAGCACGCCAGCGTCTCGGGCTCCTGCGGAAGGCCTCGCCGCTCCTGGATTCTCGCAGCCGAGCTACAGTGTACCGTGGGTTTGTACGCCCAGTAATGGAGTACTGCCCATTGGTCTGGATGGGCGCAGCAGATTGTCACTTGCAGCGACTTGACCAGACGCAGCGCTCAGCCCTCCACTTGATTGGCCCCGGCGCAATGCTGCAAAGGCTGTCTATCCGGCGCATGGTAGCTGCGTGTACCTACATTTACAAGCTACTGTGCTCCAATCCTACCAGCCCACTTCGTCAGCTCTTGCCTCCCTCTCAAGCCCCCCGACCAGCCCATGTTCGACCCACTCGTCTCTCTCTCGTCCGTCTCGACATGCATAACTACCAGCTTGAGACAGGGCTACCTGTCAATAGCCGGGAGAGTTGCCGTAGAGCTTTCCCTGCCTGTGCTGTCCCTGTATGGAATGCCCTGCCACCCGCCGTCCTCAGCCAGCCACCTGACCGGAAACGGCTGCAAAGTTTCAAAGTGTCTGTCTTCCGGCACCTCCGTGCCCAGCAATGGCACTGGGCCACTGACACTTTGTAAGATGTATGCACATCTGCCCACACACTGCTGCATATTGCCATACGCCTCGTGCCCTGCTTACTCTTTTCTCTGGATCTGAATGTGCACCCCTTACGTATTATATAATTATACTTTATTTAGTTCTCTCCCCCTCTCTTGCCCCCAACCCTCCCCGCTCTCTCTCTCTCTCTCTCTCTCTCTCTCTCTCTCTCTCTCTCTCTCTCTCTCTCTCTCTCTCTCTCTCTCTCCCTCTCTGCTATTGGCGCGCCTGGTTGTGATGAAGCCGAGACCCAAGGTCGGCAGAGCATCCCAGACCACGCCACCACTCCCCTTATTCATGGCTCACACATGACGGGTTTACGTGGCTCTAGTAAAAAAAATAAAAAAATAAAAACTGTTACTACGCGTTCTCTTGTGAACTGAAATGGCTAACGCTAGATTGACAACTACCAGAGTAAGTAAGTGTAAAGGACAAAACACTAATGCGTGCCACAAGTGCTGTACACGTACCACTAGATTCGACTGGCTGATAGCGTCACCGGAGATGAGATGTCGGTGCTTCTCCACGATGCGCAGAACTCTCTCCAGAGACACGACCTTGACCCCATCCCAGTCTTTCACCATGGACACAATGTCGCGTCGAGACGCGGTGGCCAGCTACAGCAAGCACACAAAACACGATAGATCACAGGCCACAGAGAGCAGAGGGATGGCCAAAGACACGAAAAGAAGAGTATTACACGACAAGAACAGGGTGTCTTCTCTGTAGAATAATTGTAATCATAATAAAAATCAAAATAAATAAATTCGACGGGGTTCACGTACCGGGCAGGTCAAGAACAAGGAGTCGTACAACTCCCTGGTCAAGAACCACCTTTCCGCTTCCGTGGGACGCCACCACCCCATGATCAGGCGTCAGATGCAGCTCCTAAACGGTGGGGGAGGATAGATCAGATCCACCAACCAGAGGCCAAAGGCCTCGCCCATTTGCCACATCCATGTATTACTCATGCCAGGCCACGAGTTCCCAATAATAATATTATATTATATTAACTGTGGGTCGCAGCACGGTTCGCAGCACGGTTTTTTTCCAATCATAACAAGCAAGAGCCTAATTCTCCAAACGATGACACACAAGCAAAGGTCCAGTGAGAACAGACTACTGTAAAACCGGAAAATTTTCGGTGGAGATTTATTTTCGATAACTTCGGTACAGGCAATTTCTACCTAAAATAAAACGTGACCTATTAGAAATTCAACACTGCCATGCCACACAGCGTGCAAAATGCATTTTTGGATCTGGAAACCTGGTTTACCGAAATTTTCGCGCTACCGAACCGTTGACATTGGGAAATACCGAAAATACTACACCACCGAAAATTCCCAGTTTTACAGTACTGGTACAACACAACTCCTTTGAGGTACACTTGTGCTGATTCGATGTACAGCATAGCCCCGTCGACTTGAAACCCATGCTGACTAGATAAAGATAGATGTGCAGTTCTATACAGGAGAGGATACACCAGGGTCCAGTCTTCCTTCGTGTTCACTGGTTGCTTACCTTGGTTCCATGAGTAGCCTTCTGCAAAATCTTTTGCGCACGCGTATTCTGCAAAATTTAAACAAAAGAGTAGGACAAGACTCCTCGGCACAATGCCAACCATACAAAACTGAAATAAAATGTACTTCAAGGGAGAAGTTCTTAGCACGTCACCAGCCATTGCAACGGGGTTCACTGTAACTCACTCGGACGTAGGTAAGCGGCGCACCAGACCCGGGAACAGCATCACAACTGCATCAGCGAAAGCAAAAGCAACAAAAAACAAAAGTCACACTTTAATGATTGCGATCTACAGGACAAGCAGAATGGGCACGTCATAACGGCTTTATTGTACTCGAGAGAAACACGAATCATGCAAGTGTTGACTCAGGCTGCGCGGGACAAAGAGGAAAACATGGTTACAATATGGCCGAAAGTAAATGGACAATGATGAAGACGTCTCTAACTAGTTTTCGTACAATTCTCAGCAGCAAGTCACGTTGTATGAAAGAACACAAACACGACAAGGGGATTAATAGCATAGTGAGTTTCGGAAAGTGATGACAAGAACAACCTGTGATAAGCAGTACCCACTACCGGTATGTGTTGTCGTCTTGTCACTTGTTTTTTTAATAAAAAATTTCCACTGTGTTATAACAGGTGCACAGTCTGAGTAAGTGTACATGCACCGCTCACGGCAACAACGACGGGTCATGGCCACTGGCTGAAGTCACAGGACAGACTAAGGTTGTGGAGAAACCATTAGAAAATCAACACGAGGCAAGAGAATTCAGCTTGCCACGTGATACGCATACACATACACTGTGATACACACTAACACACACGCACGCACACACACCCACCCGCACACCCGCACAAAGCACACCTGCACACAGTACAACACTAAGTGACACGTTAACTCACCTGAGCGGAGAAGGAGAGTCACCGGGAGTAGCGGGTGAGCACAGTCCGCTATCATGTACAGGCATACAGATCACAAAAAGTGCAAAAACAGAACACCTCTAACATAATAATATTAACCCTTTCCATGCTGGCCCCTTTTACTCCAGCAAACTGCATTTCCAGCGCACTGACTCTCCTGGTGTCGTTTTCGCGTTCAGGTCTGAACGAATTTTTCTCCCAATTCAGTTTACCTTGATGGATTTTCATCATTCTGGGCCTGTTGGAAAGATCAGGACCAAGCAAATATCCATCCTGGTATCTCTCAACTCAATATGCACAGCGGTGCAACTTCTACGTCCTCTTGAAGTTACCTCACGATGCCTCGGAAAGGCACAGGAACTCGATCTCACATTCTTTTTCAGTTTTTTGCTCCAGATCAGCCGATTTTCACGATTCAAACTGCGCTGCAAAGCTGACATCCACGTGCTTCCGCTGGTATCCATTACGCATGCGCTGTGCGAAAGGGAAATCCCCTGGCACGCAACAGAAAACTGCGAACGCATGAACAAAAAAATTTGAATTTTGTGTTCACTTCGTCGCTGCTCCGTCAATCTTTCTCCTATCGCAAAGAACTTTATATTGCTGGAAAGCTGAGCTCAACACCTTTCCAACGGTGTATCGATTGTCGCGATAGACTTATTTTTTACGGAGTTACGAAAGTTTGTACACTGATCTATGCACTGCGCTGTACTGCGCAAATCTCATGACGTCTATGGACGTCATTAGTCGTTTGGCGTACAGCACGCATGACGTCTATGGACGTCGTTAGCACGGATAGGGTTAATACAGATGTTTGAGAATCACAATGAACAAACCCAGCTGAATCAATATAGGTACCACAAGGCTTGGCATGTCGATTCAGCTGGCTCTGTGTATTGCGATTCTTTAACTATTGCCACCTCCAAATACACAAATAAGCCCTTATTTCCCTTCGTGCATCATGTATTAGGTCATGGTGCGGGTGCTGACTGGTCAGCGAATCCAACATTTGTACAACAGAATCCATTCCCTTCACCCGTACCAAACAGAAAATGCATAGGGAGAAATGGTTCTCTCACTCACCCCCTGTTAGACAGCAAGGGACTGCCAGTGGTGTTGGCTACATCGGTTAGTTTCGACGTCACATCTTTCTGCGCCGTCACCACGTAGGAGATATTGGCGTCCTTGGACAAGAATGATGACACGGCCTGGGACAACGACACGGGAACAGAAGGACAGACACAAAACATGTTATTAACCTGCAAACTTCCTATTGGTAATCTATTCCTTGAGCGAATCATAAGGTCATCACCTTCAAGCCCTACAGAGAGGGGCGGGGGTGGTGGTAGTCTAGTTGAAATGCGTACAATTGTAGTTACGTTCAACAAAAATACGAGAACTTATGAGATGCTCCCTTACCAGAGAGATTGTGTGCGATCAATTAATTGTTACTTGAGTTGTGAAAAAGAAAGTGTGGGGATGACGGCGTTGAGGAGTATACAAATAAAGAGCTGAAAAATTGAAAATGCAGTTCAAAATACTGCAAAACTATTAATATAAATTAAAAAGAGGAAACAGTGGGGTACAAATGCGTTAACGTCCACCAACTAGACCAGATCTTGAAGAGTTAGACGTGCACAATTTAGCACAAAACTGACAAGGAGTACTGAGACATTCCAAAGCATGAAAGTGAGCGTGGGCACTGCTCGATAGCGCTAACCAATGGCCTAAGGTTCTTGGTTACCAGTGATAACGCCTAAGAGGGGAAGGTAAGCACCATCGAGCCGAACACAAGCTAAGCTACATTCCAAGGCTCAGCGGAATGCTGCCTTAGGACGATGACGGGAAGGCAAGGCCACTTCGACGACGAAAAGCAACAACCATCCAGAGTGGGAGGCTCAACTTTATAAAGGATAAGATATGAAGGGGAAGCTTCGTGAGGACAAATTGAAACAAACTCGAAGCCGACATCCTACAGCACGGTACTTTGCTGAAGATAATGATGGACAAACTAACCTCACCTTCCCCTCGTTGGCCTTATCACTGGTAACCAAGAACCTTCCTAGGCGGAAGGCCATTGGCTAGCGCTATCGAGCAGTGCTTAAGCTCACTTTCATGCCGTGGAATGTGTTAGTGCTCCTTGTCAGTGTTGCGCCTAAATTGTGTCACATGAACAGACACTGGTGTTCCTAAATCCTTGCTGCCTATCATGGTACGTTCCCAAGTTAATGTTTTGGTGATGTCCTGTTCTGCGGCAGTTCGCTCTTCAGAGCCAGGTGCAACTGTAGTATTGGCGCACCGTAGCGTAGGAGCACGTGACACTTTGCATGCATGACCTGTCATCTATAGAAACCTGTACGCCGGCCTGATAGACACGCTTTTTGCACACCACAGTCAATAGCCTGAATGCTTCACAGATTTTATTCTTCCTCCTGCCGCCACTCTGTCTGGTCCACACACATAATAATAGATATCACTTTTCCTACACTGTCTCCCTTGCTTTAGCAATTAGTTATGGATTCCGTTACACCGCTGGCGTCTCTTTCTCTTTCTTCATTCGCTACCTAAACATAACGTTTCCATTGTTTCTCTTCGATATTCTTTCCGCTAGTTCTCGCTGTCTTTTCCCGTAGTCTCGATCTTTCTGCCGCAAAGCCCGCTGTTCTCCCGCTAGCTATTCCGTACTCTACGCTGTCCATCTCGATCTAGCGATCCTTCTCCCTGCTCCGCTGCGCTGTTTTATCGATCTCCCCGATAGCTAACTTCCTCTATAAATTGCTAGTGTTCACAATCATTCTTTGCCTTTCCGTGATTCAGACCAAGAGAAGTACGTTCCCGAGAGTTAGGCTCTCTCGACCCCGAGTTCAACTGTGAAAGTCTGCGACTGTGTCGTAGCATTGATTGTGATCGTAGTTTAGAGAGAGAGACTTTGAGTGCATGAACTGTTGATATCGCCGATATCACACTGGTGCCAGCGGTGGTTCGTCCTCTACGTGCTTTCTTCTTTAGTCCTCTTGCTGTCTCGGTCGCTACTTGCTTGCTTCTCTGTCCACTTAGCGGTCCTCGTTCCTCTTGTCCTGAATCTCGTTCACCACCTGCGCTCCGGTCACCATGGCTCAACCTGCTCCTGCTGGTGCTGCTGCTGCTGCGCCTGCCGCCGTCCCGCGTGTGCCTCCTCACGCTATTATGCCAAACAAATTTGCTGGTTCGCTGTCGGACAGCTGGCCGACGTGGCTCAACCACTTTCAGCAAGTGGCTACCATCAATGCCTGGACGCCCGCCGAGCAGAGTCAGTTCATGGCAATATCATTGAACGACGAGGCTCAGCTTTATTACCAGTCGCTGCCCCAGGCCACCCGACAGGGCCCAGTCGCTGCTCTCATTCAGGCGCTCCAGGACCGTTTCGCGCCTGCCCAGCGCGTGGACCTACACCGCGCCAATTTCAAGGGCTCACACCAGTCCAAGGAGCAACCACTGGGCTCCTTCTGCGAGAACGTAAGACACTCTGCACGCCTTGCCTACCCGGCCATGCAGCCTGCTGATTTGGATGTCCTCGCAAAGGACCAGTTCGTCCAGGGCCTGGATTCGCGTGCCATGCGGATCCGGGTCCGCGAGCTGAACCCCGCCACGCTAGACGACGCTCTTCGGGCCGCGATGCAACATCAGGCAATCCAACGCGCGGAGACTGCCCCGGAGGAGCGCCCGCCAACGTTGCCCGCGTGTTCCGCGCAGCCATCTTCGACCAGGGACGCTCTAGCCGACCAAGTGAAGGCCCTGGCGGAGACCGTGGCCGCACTGCAGTCTGTCCAGACGGAGCTTGCCCGCCGATCTACCAGGGACACGGGCTACCATCGGCGTGACGAGCCATCACCCCGCCGCATGCCGCCCAGCCCTCGCCCTTCTACATCGTGCTGGAACTGCGGGCGAGACGGTCATTTGGCCCGGGACTGCCGCTCTGCTCCTCAACGCCAGGCTTCCCAGCCGTTACACTGGCGCCAGCTGCGACGGTGAGCCCACGTTCGCCAGCCGTCTTCTCCTTTTGGGCTCCGGTTAGTGACCGATGTGATTTTGTATATATTCTTGACTTCGTTGCCATCGCTCTGTTTGCACTGGGTTGCATCCATTTCTGCATTTTGTTTCCTTGGCTGTTGTGTTGTCTTCCCGTTCTGTGGTGTGTGTACCGGTCGAATCCTCAGGCCTTCCGCCTTCCCTTTTCTACTCTTGTCTCTGAGATTTCTGGTTTGTGTTCCTTGCCGACTGTACAACCACCTGTGCCTGTTACCTCTGTCAATGCTGCCTCCTCATTCTCTGTACCTGCCTCTGCAGAGGATGTGTCTGCTGTAGCTCTTATTGACACAGGTTCTGCGGTATCCATGGTCAGTATGCAGTTGTATTCTCGGCTGCCGGATCACCTATCCTTGAGCAAGTCTTCCCTTCCACGACTTCAATCCGTTAATGGCTCCCCTGTCTCTGTGTTGGGTAAGCTGTCTGTGTCTGTTACTGTTGGTGGCCGTGCATTCCGTCATGACGTCCTTGTTGCTGATATCCAGCCAGAACTTGTCCTAGGGTTGGATTTCCTTGATTTGCATGCCTGTATCTTGGACACTAGTAACCGTCGACTTACCTTTGAGCCTGTGCCTGCTTCAAACAATGCCTGTCGCCTTGATAACAATACCCCACCTCCCTTCCCCGCTAACTGTCGTGTCCGCTTAACGGAGAGTATTTGCATTCAGCCCTTTTCCCAAGTCATTCTTCCTGTTGCTTGTGATGCACCACTTCCCACCGGTGACTTTCTTCTTGAGCCCCGCCCTGACCTTCATGAGGTGTTTGACATATCCGCTACTTACAGTGTTGTTTCGGGTCCCCTCGCTGAGCCTGTTCCGCTCCGTGCTGCTAGTACACACCAGGCCTCTGTCACTCTTAAGAAAGGCACTTGGGTAGCTACTGTTAGCCCTTGCTCTGTTGATCCCGAGTCATCTGCCCCGGCGGATGCCCTGCCTGTTCATGCTACCCACATTGGTTATGACGGCACCGTCCACACAAAGCCACGTCTCCAGGTCGGTGCTGAAGTGTCCGTCTTCTCGCCCGTCGTCCCGAAAGGAAAGTCGCCCAAACTACACAGCTACTGGTCCGGCCCGTTCGTTGTCCGTAAGGTGCTGGACTCTGTCACTGCCACCATCGAAGACGCCAGCAAGGGCCAACGGCTGACGGTCCACGTAAACCGCCTCAAGCCGTATATTCGGCCGCCTGAAGTGCCAGTCGCTCCTGCACAGTATACGGCCCAGATTAACCCGACCTGCGATGACGACCTACCCGTACCGCTGGCTGGCCCGTCGCCTCGCTATAACCTCCGGCCTCGGAATGCACTCCAGCGACCTCACCGCTATAGACAACCATAAATTGTAAGATCATTTTACACGTCATCGTAAGACACCCTTATCTATATTGTTTTCCCTGCTTCATTTTTCTTTCATGTTTACTACCTGTATACTTTGAACACGAGGGCGTGTTCTCAAGAAAACAAGGTGTGGTGTAGTATTGGCGCACCGTAGCGTAGGAGCACGTGACACTTTGCATGCATGACCTGTCATCTATAGAAACCTGTACGCCGGCCTGATAGACACGCTTTTTGCACACCACAGTCAATAGCCTGAATGCTTCACAGATTTTATTCTTCCTCCTGCCGCCACTCTGTCTGGTCCACACACATAATAATAGATATCACTTTTCCTACACTGTCTCCCTTGCTTTAGCAATTAGTTATGGATTCCGTTACACCGCTGGCGTCTCTTTCTCTTTCTTCATTCGCTACCTAAACATAACGTTTCCATTGTTTCTCTTCGATATTCTTTCCGCTAGTTCTCGCTGTCTTTTCCCGTAGTCTCGATCTTTCTGCCGCAAAGCCCGCTGTTCTCCCGCTAGCTATTCCGTACTCTACGCTGTCCATCTCGATCTAGCGATCCTTCTCCCTGCTCCGCTGCGCTGTTTTATCGATCTCCCCGATAGCTAACTTCCTCTATAAATTGCTAGTGTTCACAATCATTCTTTGCCTTTCCGTGATTCAGACCAAGAGAAGTACGTTCCCGAGAGTTAGGCTCTCTCGACCCCGAGTTCAACTGTGAAAGTCTGCGACTGTGTCGTAGCATTGATTGTGATCGTAGTTTAGAGAGAGAGACTTTGAGTGCATGAACTGTTGATATCGCCGATATCACACAACTGTAGTTCTCATTCAGCATGCATCAGTTGATGACCTTTGTTAGGTGCTGCGTATAACCATGTATGATAACAGAGCAATGCAGTGTGAGTGCTCGGATTTTGAATAGAATCTCTGGTACATGTACAAATGTACTCAAGTCATTTTTTAAATCTTGCACCTCGATTCTTGTGAGAAAAAAAATTAAAAACTCTTCAGGGCCAGAAGCATATGACTTACACCTCCAAGGATTTTCAGTTCTTTCTCGAGGGTCTTGGCTTGTTTCGGGTGCTCACTCAGATCTAAATAGAACACACTTCCTTTGAATGGCTTTCTGCTTGACGATCCAGCTGTGAAATCCAATCTCTTTCTACTTCTGCTCTGCATAACTCAGCAGCTCGGATTTGTTGCAGAATTGGACTGACGACAGACAGAAAGAAGCCTAGTATAGTACATCAACGATAAGCGTGGATAGGCCTGCTGAGTTTTCGTCTCCACAACTACTTATTTTTGTCCTGGCATGCTGTTCTCGGTCCAGGCAATATCGTTGTCGATCGGGAAGGGTCGCCTCGATCGAGCAAAGCAAGGTGCAGCGTCCCTGATCGAAATTTGGCGGGAGTTGTTGTCCATGGTAACATTCACGTGCGCCTGTGCACGTGTGCAGTGACGTGATGCAGAAATGCAGAATTATGTTTTGGATATCGATTTTGACAAAACCTCTGTTCCCCAAGTAAATCGCACTCTTGCACACAAAATCTGGCTTTCAAAATCTAGATTGATATGATCATGACGTTGGTGATGAACAATTCAAGATTTTTGCGCATGCACGTTCTTTGTTGTTAGCTGGACTGGGCGCGAGGTGAGCACCGGTATCGCAGTGCTGTTGTTTCTGTCTCTTTCTTTTTTCCCTTGAAGCTGTAGAGTTGGAACCAGGTACGCCGATGCTTTTGGTATCGTGGAGACTTGATGGGATGTGAGCCAAAGTGTTGTGGCCTGTGTGCTTTATGTCGTTCATTAGACATGGGTGAGCGAGGATCGAGAAATCCCCTCCTTCCCGGAGGGGTATCGCGGTACAGCCGCTCAAAAATGTTTGCCCGTCGTGCATCGTACAAAAAGAGGAAAACGGTTCCAGCTCCAGAGAAGAAGCCAGAATCTCGATTTGTCAGTAAGCCAATGCGTGGATCAAAGAATGGCACCACCAGGAACATTCCCGTCCGCAGCACCGTGAGTTCTCTTTGTAAAAGTTCAGATAAAATAATGAGATTCCTCATTTGATCTGTATGAAAAAATCATACGTCACATAATCATCACACAACATACAAAACTACTTTTGAAAACTAAAACTGGTAATGATTACTATCAAGAGTATCTACTACTAGTAATACCCCGCCCGGGGTGCGCAGCTATCACACGCCAATTTGTACTTACAGGTTTTTGAAACCGACCCCGGGCAATGCACCATATTCTCAGCCATCCATGTATACATTCGGCATACCTATCCCGTACAAATGCGTACAAGCAGTCACATGTGGCTTGTTCATCTCTACATGGACATGGAATTTCATGTAATAAATGCTGTTTCATAACATCGATTTAAACCTTTTTCCGGGTCGCCCAATATTCGGCAAAAGCACCTTTCCAAGTAGGTTGTTCTCTTCAGGGCGAGCAGTGCTGTTTTTAATCAGGCCGTGTTGCGAATGCCTTTTAGAATAATGCACTTTCACATTTGAACACCGTAGTGAATCTCTGTTCAAACGGTAACGGTGGACTTGCATTGGTATCAGCCTCGAAGGTTCATATTTTTTCAGGCTTGGAACCTGTGAGCTCCAGTTTCAGCACGGTGTAGCCGCTGTATGAGAATCTGGGGGGAGGGAGATTCTATTGATGAAATGGCTATATTTATAACCAACCCTTCTAGGTTGGTCCTGCGCAGAAGTATTCTAGTCTTTGTGTTTTATGGTTTATCTGGTATGTAATCGTCTTGCTCAAAACCTTTCCGACCTTGACTTAATGACATATGAATCCTGGAAGGCTAAATAGACTCTAGTGTAGGCTGCGGCATCCATGTTGCTGGAACTTCTCAACTATCGAGACTGATATATTGTGTTTTGTTGTTGTGCGCTATGTAGCCCAAGATGTACCCCACCGAGGATGTTCGCCCCAAGCTGAAGAACCGCAAAGCCAATAAGCCAACTCGCCTGCGCAAGTCTATCCAGCCTGGTACAGTGCTCATCCTCCTTGCCAATGCCCACCGTGGAAAGGTATGTGCAATCTCATGATTTCCTAGAAAACATGCCTTTTTTGACTTCAGAATTTTGTTTTTGTGTGATACCATCTCTGTGCTTCTGCAGCGTGTTGTCTTCCTGAAGCAGTTGAAATCTGGACTCCTGCTTGTCACTGGTAAGATGATGATGTTGTGCCCTCACTTGCCTACCCGAGCAGTAGTTATGTTGATATGCATGAATCAATATGATACGTTGACTGTTCTGACTGTGCTGGCACTATTGTGGACTATGTAGTGTGGGATGTTGAGCATGCGCTGCAAAGCTTGACATGGTATATAATGCAAGCCTTGCCTGATAGGTAACATGTTTTCACGTTGACAGCATGAACAAGGCGAGGACACACTGTATGGAAAACAGTGCTCCTGACTACAACCATAAACCGGTTGGTGGAGTCTCGGTCTTGTGACCATTTGAACAGTATGGGGACATTGTGTCCTCGCCTTGTTCACGCTGTCACTGTGAAAAGCTTGACATATCCCGCATGTCTGTGCGTCTGCAAGTTGTGGTGTGCCAAAGTCCCATTATTGCACACCCGCTAGTAAAGTACTGCATCTTCAGGCATGCTCACCAACAATGCACTTCAACTGCTACGTGATTTCTTGCCAGAAATAGATCAATAAACCACCCAATCAACACCAGCTGTGTGCCTAAATACGATTCTGTCAGCTTTTATTAATTATTAATCAATAATTCAACTCGCGGCTTTGTTTTATTGTGTCAATATTATTTCCGTCTTTTCAGGCCCATACCGTGTCAATGGCTGCCCTCTGAGAAGAGTTGACCAGACCTACGTCATTGCCACTCAGACCCGCGTGGACATCAGCAAGGTCAACATCCCAGAGCGTGTTGATGATGCTTACTTCCGTCGTCAGACCAAGGCGCGCAAGTCCAAGGCTGAGGGTGAAATGTTCGAGGAGACTCAGACTGTAAGTTACTGAAGTTTGTTATTCATCGAAATTGGATTTTGCTTCTTCAAGGGAATGGGTTGTTTGCGATAAATGGGGATGATTGTGCATCTGCGGCTACCTGCAGTCAGCAGTTGGGTGTAGTTCAGCTTGGGGTTTGTTTTCTGGCCTCTAGTGCTCCGAAGGAGTGATAACTTTTAACTGTCGAGAGATAAGAAAGGGCCATAAGAGCTTTGGCTAGTGGTTTCATTTTCATGGTTGAAATCGCACAAATAGATTACAAGTTTTCGGAGATGCTTACACGGTAAAATATGCAAGAATACGAAAGATGTGACTCTCGTCCACCATCGATACAGTCAGACCTCGTTTATCCTATCCTCGTTTATCCGGATCCCTCGCCATCCGGAAGAAAATCGCTGGTTACCAATGTGCAGCATATGTCATGCATACAACATAACCGGACCTCGCGATCCGCATACCGGTGCATGATTTTGTGTACAAACTGGTTAAAAGGTGTGCAAAAAGCTTCATCGTATCCGGTTGCATGTGGCTGGCTAGCGCTTGCAGAAGCTAGTATCAGGGAGTTGTACAAGCAAATGAGGTCCTTGACCTGCTGGGTGTATGCGGACAGCACTCAGTTGCATGCACTTGTCATTTTCCTCACTTGTTTTACATACTGGGCACGCTAGTTGTACTGCATAGGACCTGTCTACATGTATGTTCGATGTCCCTGCTTTTGACATGCCACATGCATATACAGTATGTGTGTTCAGTTATCCGGTTACCTCGCCTATCCGGATATTTTTGTGGAAAACAGATGTGTGCGGTTAAGCGAGGTCTGACTGTACACAGCGAAGAAACAGAAAGAGCCCTGGTATCCCTAGACCGGTCTTCTGGAGAGAAACAGCTGGGCGAAGGAGACACAACATATCCCTCTCAACCCTTGTCGTTGGTAAAAATATAAAAAAAAAGCTCTTGCCAAATTTCAGTCTCATCCACAATCTCATACTAGTAGTTTCCGTTTTGCTCAGCTCGAGTTGTCAGTACGACCCACAGTATGATTTCCTGCCGCTAACCGAAAGTTCAAAGAGAAATACAGTAAAACCTGTAATGGCGACCACTTTTCCTTGTCACGGACGCATTCACGTTCAAAACACCTCGGATAAGACGACCACTCGCTCAACGCGACGACCACCCACCCGCGACTGCGTTGCACAGTGCTAGTCATGTAAATGTACGCATTGCATGGTGCACCAAGCACGGTAGATCTACACATCAGTGCAGGAAGTGTAGATGTACATGGTGCATGCACGATCTGACAGGCCTGAGTACCCCAGGCACCTGAGTCGTGCTAGAGTAGCATAGGTGTGTGCACTGTTATGCACTGATCAAAATGATGTATCACATGTGGATATGGTCACGTGACCCACTGAACCTGGATAAGAAGACCACCTGGCCACGGCGACCACTTTTTCTCGTCCCTTGAGGGGTCGCCTTAGACAGGTTTCACTGTACCGTAAAGTCTTGTATAAAAGCCGCGGCTTATGACTTTCTTGGTGAAATTTTGCAGGTATTTCTATGTATGTCAACACTAAAACCAGGCTTATGTGTGATTTGATGGGCCCAAAATTGCGGCTTCTATTCGAGGGCGGCTTCTATACAAGACTTTACAGTAGTCATGGATAGCACCATAGCAGGCTACCAGATCTTCTTGTGATCTGTCAAACCGTGAATTCTGATGCTCCGAGAGAAGGGTTTTTTCACTGGTACGGGCGCACATGCTCTAGTCACACCTGATCCTCAGAAATCAGGGTTGTGTAATCTGCTGTGCGAATGCACTCGTGTCTCTCTTTACTAGTAGTCTTCCATTCCGGAACGTAGGTACAACCTGTTTCAGGAATGCAACATAGCAGTGACTGACAATGGCATGTGCCCAATAGTAGCGCAGGGAGTAGTAAGTAACGAGCGGGTTCTGGCGCAGGGGGCGCCCGGGTCCCAAAATGGGGTACTAATAGTACCCCATTTTTGCGGTGTAAATTATTTTTGGCCCGTTTTTTTGCGGATAAAAATATGTGCCCCTACCTCAAAAAAGGGGTATTATTGAAAATATGTATTGGGGTGTTATGCTCTACCCTAATCAATAAGGTAATATGGTGTCATGATTTGGAATTCCGCATGTATCATTAATTTTGATTTTTAGGGGTGGGTGTTATGTCCTGCCCTACATCATAATATTGCATTCCGATGTCTAAAATATTACTATTTCTAATGTCAATGTTATCTCACTTTTTCCAATTTTATATTAATCAGAACTCATAGTTTTGCAGTATTTTGACTTGTAATTTCAATTTTCCGGACCCCACCCACCTCCCCCAGGTATTTCTCACAAGTAGCTCGTGTTCACAAACATGGGAGAGTCAGATGATTAAAATACTTGTATTAACAATACGCCTCACGGCTGAGACATGACGATAATAAGATAACAGCTTGCTCTCTACGAGCAAAGAGATACAACGAAAAGAGAGAGAGAGAGAGTCTAGTAATCAAAGATATCTACAGAAGGTACTACCCAGGAGCGCTTCCTGGAAACTTCGATGACAGGAGATGTGTCCGAAGCCTGAATCGTGACAATTGATTCATCCAGGTCATCATCGGCCTTGCGCTTCCGGCTTGCTATAGTATCGCACAAGACTTCCGGCATCTTCTTATGATAACCTTCATCATCAATGTCGATCGTGCCGACACGCACAACAACACGGGTTATCCTCGTCGCGGTGACTGAGAGGCGGACAGATTTCGTCATCGCTTCCGTATCCCCGTCTCTTCGAAAGATCATACGCTCATTCAGATCCTTGATCACACGGATGAACTCCTGGGCTTCGATCTGGTCAGCATTTTCAAATGTCTCTTCGACATTGTCGAGAGCACCTGCAGCCTTCATCACATTGAACATTGATCTGCGACCATCATCCCAACACCGTAACAATCTTCCTGTATCCCGGCTTGATGGGCTTCCGTAGTCTGCAACACCGTCTACAACTATCTTGGGTAGACGTTGGAGTTTGTCACCGCTCACGATAATCATCGACGACACCCTACAAAGATATTCTGCGATCTCCATTGGAGACATGTCTACCCGATCCGGGTGCAGTAACACAGGTCTCAATTCATACGCTGTACACATATCTGTCAGTAAGCGCACGGTCAATTCATCGTTTGTACAAGAAAATAAATACCACTTCTCAACATATGGTTCGGAGGTTGACCAGGCCGACATCTTTGATCTGATAGAGAGAGAGAGAGAAATTTAGCAAATTGTGAACCAGAAATGAAATTACATCAGGTTTTATAGGTCCCGCCAAGTCCCGTCCCGCCAGGTCCCGCCACGGGGAGGTGACGGCCTTGGAGAACACGGTGCTAACATTGATGACGTACTGCAGTCTTGGTAAATTGATAGAGTATGTTGGCAAGATCAGGTGGGAGAGAGGTCACGTGATCTACTAAATATTCCAGACTGTAGTCATGCCAACAATAGGCATCTATTAGAAGATGCATCATGGACAGGTCTGCAGGTGACATCAAGGACAAATTAACTTTCAGAGTGTTCAGCTGTCTGGCGGACAGAGGACCCTTGATGTGTTCCATGAGATGTAGAAGAAACATCAGTGGAAAACATGATGGAAGAGGTTGTGTAATGCGGCTGCTTCTCAACCATGATACATTACTGCGCGGTAAAGAAGAACGCAGTGTGCGCACTGCATTGTGATCCTCATAAAGTATACACGATAATGCTATTGCATAGTTCATGCTTTTATAGCTACTGGCCTTCTTCATTGCTTGCAGTGCCTCTTGAACAGGGTGAAACTGTGCATGCGGTAAAGTGAAGTCGATCTTGTTGAGAAAATGTACAAGATGACGATTCACACCTTGAATGCGATCGGAATCCGTGTAGGTAATAGGGGATTCACACGACAGGCAAATCCACGTGCACCGGAACGTTGCTATGGTATTATTCCTGTGGACGAGAACAGTGGCTGAACAGTGCAAGCGAGCTGGGGGCCCACTTTCACGATAATCGTGGCATGCACGAGTACATTTACACCAAAAAGCGCGAAACAAGACTTGATTTTTTTACGCGGCTCTTTTCAACATGATACTTATTGTATGCGTGGTTTGAAAATTTGAAATACCCATGGCTACTGATCAGTGAAGCATTCAAAAATGCAAACGTGCCTCGAGTGCAGCCGTGTAAATCCACACAATCACTTTTCTCGTATATCACTCCCTGTAAAACGTGCAAGTGCCTGTCGTGTGAATTGCCTATAATAGTAGTGGTAGTGGGGTCCTTGAGGTTATGAGTACGCTACACACAAACTTTTTGTCTGAATCTTCAAGTGGAGTAATTTAGCACCAAGAGTCCATAAACAAGAGTGTGCAACGCGCGATAGGGTCTTGTCACAACTCGTTTTCAACATTACGTCATTTTCATGTAGCAAATGTCGCGGCCTGCACGCGCAGCTACATGAAAACGACGTAATGTTGAAAACGAGTCGTGACAGACATCTATGTGGCGTTGCACACTCTTGTTTATGGACTCTTGTTAGGCCATCATTTTTTATATCTATGTTTCGCGTCAGTTCAACTTGCAGAATCATATACGAGAGGTGGAAAGAAATAAAAAGTTGCAAAATAAAAATAAAAATGCTCATCAGAGGTGTATAGCACTGTACATACTACCAAGAGTACATAACCCCCCAGAGTGTGCAACGCCTGATCCAGCTCTGCATATATATATATAGGGTCTTGGTCGAGCGTAATCGGATCTTTGCGTCATAATACCGTACACATCTGACGGGAACCCGGGGAGTCGCGGGTACTCTCGTATCAAAAACAATGGTGCCCTGCCTCGAGACCGGCCTTGTGCTGGTGTGGAGTGTACGCATGACATCAGAAGATCCGATTCCGCTCGACCAAGACCCTATACAGAGCTGGATCGACGTTGCACACTCTGGGGGGTTATGTACTCTTGATACTACATAGCACGATAGCTCGTGCATGGTGTACATTCGAAAGAAAAATCGTACATCGAAGCACAAATCTGGGTTATCAGCAAGAGGAAATATTCACTTTGGACAGAGGAGGCAACCGTTGGTGCCCATGCTTCGCTGGATTATTGTACTCAGCCTTCAGCAGCGGTGCAAAGAGCTCCGAAACGACGCATCCTCTCAGCTTGAGGCGATCGATGCGGTCTGGTGTAAGCTCAAGGAATTATACTCGCAGATGCAGAACAAACGAACTGTCAACGCTGGCCTCGAGGCCAATTCTGAATCCCAGCTTTGCCGTATGCAACCAGTCCACACTGATGACTCGCACGAGCGTACACTCACTGTGCATGTTCGATTTTTTATTTTTTCCGAAAAAAATCAAAACGTATGCGTGCGAACGACGCGAAACATAGATATAAAAAATGATGGCCTTAGCACTGTTATGCATCTGTCCCCACAGAATAACACGGACAAAATCCTAAAATTATGCGCATAATTATGCGGGCGAAAACAGGCCATTATGCGGCAAATATGCGGGTTAATGCGGTCATTATGCACTAGTTATGTGTCACTGGTACAACTTTAGCGTGCAGTCTCATACAAGAATACAACTTTGTCGTACAAACTCATGAACCCATAGTACATTTTCAACAGCATGCACTATTTTCTTGTACATTCTCATGAATAACGCGGGAGTTATGCAAAATCTCACGAATGATAACCAATAACGCGGAAAATTCCGCGGAATCGCGGTATCCTGTGGGGACAGCTGCATGTACGTTAGAAATATCAGCACTGTTTCTCTAGTTATCAGTAAGGTGTTTCATTGTTGCACTCTTTTGCTGCTCTAGCACCGGTATATTATGTGTCTGTTTTAGCAATGTATTTTCTGTCTCTTTTGTTCACCTTTCTTGTAGACCTACAAGGCATCTGAGGAGCGTAAGGCTGACCAGAAGGCAGTTGATGCTGCCATCTTGGAGAGCGTGAAGAAGACACCAGAACTTCTGTACTACTTGCGTGCCAAGTTCACCCTGCACAAGGGACAGTACCCCCATGAAATGGTCTTTTAACTTCAAGGAATAAAGCTTCAAAAGAATATCATCTGTTGTCTTCTGTCAACTTGGAGATGGAAGCTGTGCAACAGCGTCTCTCATAGTCAGGATGAGGCCAGTCATGAAGACTGCCTGGTAATCGCGTCGCTGTGTGTTGGGATGCAACAATTGCTGGCTTGCTGTTTTTTTTTTGGTGTAGGCTTACAGCAAGAGTACCTGAAGCCCAGAGTGTGCAACTTCTGCCTTTTTCTGCATGGTTGTCTGTCGCGTAGTGCGTACAACTGAGTTGCTGTTGTGCAGAAAGAAACCTGCTTGAAACCTGCTTGTACGTACTACATCACTGAAAAGTGTAAAGTATGAAAACTTATGGAAATCATTATCGGAGTGCAACTACAGTAGATCTACTGTAGAGTCGCATGCCAAAGAATTTGGAGGCCAGCAACATTTGGGATACATATGATATTAATTACTTCAGAAGTATGATTGAGTTTCTACCGTGTGTCTGCACCTTTTAATAAATCCATGGTGGTATACATGTGTTCGATTATTACCGTACTTTCCCAGATATAAGCGCATGCGCTTATAAGCGAAAATTTGCTGCAAAAAAAATATTTTTGGCTGTGTAAACTTGTTCGGCCTAAATTCGGGTAGAAGCCCATGCGCTTATATGCGCAATAAAGGCTTGTCTGTGTTCTAAACAATAGGGAGGTTCTGCTCTACGTGTTGGGAACGCGACGCAAAGAATCACGCGAACTTTCTTCGCGTTCCCGTAACATAAAGAAATGCTGTTCTGCTCTACGTTTCACCTAGAGAAGTCACGTGGCATGTGTACTGGGAATTTCCCCTTCCATATTTGGCAATTTTCTGTTTTCAGTTGATCGATACCCAGCAAATCCGTACGCATTTTCTCTGCGTGTGCCACAACGTAGAGAACCCCATCTCCGCGTAGAAATCTGGAGCCAAAACACGCGAAGCCGTAGACTCTAACCCAGACACCTGCTCTCTACGTGATTTCTCTACGTTTCACCAAGAGTCCATAACCCCCCAGAGTGTGCAACTCGTGATCCTTCTCAGCACAAATCAGTGCCGCAACGAAATCCAAACTTCATACGTCATGTAGTGAGTAGCGGATGTACCAGATATGCACATGGCCCCATCCGCCCATGCTTGACTATGGACCGGATGACGCAATGTTTGGATTTCGTTGCGCCAGACCCCAACCTGGAGTTGCACACTCTGGGGGGTTATGGACTCTTGGTTTCACGTATAGCAGAACCTCTCTATAATGTAATGGTGTTATCACACTGCTTAGGCTGTGTTTACATGAGAAATTTCAACCCGGGTCGAGTTCAGCCCGGGTTGAAAGTCTGTACGATAGACAAAGGAGGTGAGCGTTTACATGAAGACAGTTGACCCGGGTCAAATACTGATATGCCGCCAAAAGTCCACTTCTACAGTCCTGTATGGTCACGTGAATCCGTTCGCGCGAAATTTGCATCTGCAGTGCCGTTCATAACCTGGCGCGAGATACGCACAGAAGTACGTTTGCACGATTTTCTCAATCCGGGGCGAAATTTCAATCAAAATTTAATAATAATAATAATATTAACTGGTTTGAGGGAAAGAGACAAACGGGAAAAGTCTGAAGAAAAAATTGACTGTCACCACCAGGACTCGAACCAGGGACCCTCGCTTGTAGCCAGCGATGCTCTAACCACTGAGCTATGAGCTATGGTGTAGTCGTCATCCCAGCAGAGACTGTTCAACATTTTCTTCAGACTTCGTAACTCACACTTCCTGTGAATCCACACAGGCGGGTGGGACGCAGCCCTCACTGTAACCCACACACTTCACGTACAAACTAGCACGCGGGGAGCCCCAAGTCATAAAATATTAACTGGTTTGAGGGAAAGAGACAAACGGGAAAAGTCTGAAGAAAAAATTGACTGTCACCACCAGGACACGAACCAGGGACCCTCGCTTGTAGCCAGCGATGCTCTAACCACTGAGCTATGAGCTATGGTGTAGTCGTCATCCCAGCAGAGACTGTTCAACATTTTCTTCAGACTTCGTAACTCACACTTCCTGTGAATCCACACAGGCGGGTGGGACGCAGCCCTCACTGTAACCCACACACTTCACGTACAAACTAGCACGCGGGGAGCCCCAAGTCATAAAATATTAACTGGTTTGAGGGAAAGAGACAAACGGGAAAAGTCTGAAGAAAAAATTGACTGTCACCACCAGGACACGAATAATAATAATAATAATAATAATAATAATAACCCGGGTCAAGCGTAATGCGCAATGCGTCATGTAAATGCGCCATTCATTTTGTGCACATGGCGGGTTGAAATCTGACCCGGGTTGAAACGCTTCATGTAAACACAGCCTCACAGTCCATTTCAAAACTATAGACGCGTAGGGTTTTTGAAATATTTCAAATCTGGCTGGACCTTTTTGAGAATAGTTTTCGGAATATTGCTCAGGACCGCTCCACAATTACTCTCATAATTATAGTTTCTAAACGATTGGATAACAGACGCCCAATTTGGAAAAAATTATGCACAAAGTGATCACAGATTTTATGTGGTATAGATGCTGGCCTAACAGTTTTTCCTACATAGGTACGCGTCTATAGTTTTGAAATGGACTGTAGTGATATATTCAGCTCCCGCCTTTTCACCAATAGTGTTCACATATAAGCACATGCGCTTGTAATTGGGGGGTGCGCTTATGTCCGGACATAAGCACATGCGCTTATATGTGCGGAAGTACGGTATAAACAAACTTTAATGCAGTCTCAGTTATAAAGTCATGCTGTCCCTTTCAACCAAGAGTACATAACCCCCCAGAGTGTGCAACTCCACTATGGGTGCTGTCCCGACAGAATTTCAAGTTGACGTCATTTTGATGATGCAATGCGCACTGTACACGGATTATCAGACGAATCCGGAACCTATGGTTGACCGAAGCCGATCGATCCTGTACAAATTATTGCAAAGAAAAACGTGTGATGCGTTGACACCCGTACACATGTTGTAAATCACTGCTGCAAGGAGCATTGCGTCATAAATAATGACGTCAACTTGAAATTCTGTCGGGACAACAGGGTATGTGGGAGTTGCACACTCTGGGGGGTTATGTACTCTTGCTTTCAACACGTACGAGTAGGACAGTCAACTTTGCATAACTGGCAAGACATCAGAAAGGTGTCCTGACACACTGTACCCAAAGTCTCATTATATCCTGTTTCTGGTATTCCCGCTTTCTCCCGACAGTATTGATTAACAAGCCATACACTGCACTCATCTCCCTTCCTCCTCTCTTCCTCCCTTTCCTTACACAGCACACAGGAGAGCCCCTCGATAGGCCTCTGCGGCCTTTGGACAATCCTTAAATAAAAATCAATCAATATCAAGCGTCCATAATAATATAAATAGGCGATTCACACGACCGGAACATTGCTATGGTATTTTACCTGTGAACGAGAAAAGTGCAAGCGAGCTGGGGGCCGGGGCCCACTTTCACGATAATCGTGGTGTGCACGAGTTCAGTTACACCAAGAGTACATGTACTCTTGGTTACACCAAAAAGCGCGAAACAATACTTGATTTTTTATGCGGCTCTTTTCAACATGATAATCAGGGAGTCGTAAAATACCTTTTTTTACGACTCCCTGATGATAATAAATATTGTGCGCGTGTTTTGAGAATTTGAAATACCCATGGCTACTGGTGGGTGAAGCATTCAAAAATGCAAACGTGCCTGTCGTCGAGTGCAGCCGTGTGAATCCACACAGTCACTTTTCTCGTACCTGTATATCACTCCCTGTAAAACGTGCACGTGCCTGTCGTGTGAATCGCCTATAATCCCCGTGGGATAATATGGGCTCTTGATTACAGTTTGATGGGACTTTGCTCTGCAGAGCAAAGTCTCATCAAACTGTAATACCGGTACATCTGGGGCATGGACATTCTGTCGTTATTCGCGTAGCTATGCAGAAGACGTTCAGTAACGTCTTGCGCTAGCCAGGGTCCACACAGCTTTAATTTGGTGTTTGTGTGTTTGTTTGTTTGTGTCACGCCTGGCGCTATCCGTATCTGACGGCAAAAAGCATAGGATGTTATAAATTTTTCAATTCTCCTTTTTTTTTAGGCATATCCTGTGATTCGAACCCGCACTATCGCCCTACATGCATTCCCCATAAACTTCGCATTCATACCCATTCTTCCAAGTTGCTTCACGTTATTATCTTGCGTTTGAAAGCCCTATTTGAATATTGCGGGCAGCTGTATGTGGCCAGCTGTGTTTGATGGTACGGTACGGTACGGGAGACGGTGTCGTATTACCCTCGATCGTACCTGTCCCGTACCTATCCCCTATCGTACCGTGCCATCAAAGACGGCTGGCCACAATGCATATTCAAATAGGGCTTTCAAATGCAAGATCACAATGTGAAACAACTTGGAAGAATTAGTATGTATGCGAAGTGTATCGGCAAGAGTTCATAACTCTTGGTATCGGGGGATGCATGCAGGGCGCGCGATAGTGCGGGTTCGAATCCCAGGTTATGTCTTAAAAAAAAAAGGATTTGTAAGAACGGGTTTGCTCCCCACACTGGAGCTCGCGCTATTCCGCCGACTTTACTTGACACAAAAAAGGATTTTTTTAAAGAATTTATAACATCCCTATGCTTTTTTTTTGTCTAGGTCATCAAGGCAGAAAAGCATAGCGTAAGGCCCTGAGCTTCCAAGCTCTCTCGTATCCGCAGTCGTTATTAGCGAAGTTGAGTGTACAATAATTCTAAATTCTGCGGCAATTTCTGGGGGAAAAGGGGAGTTACTCCACTGCATTTTCTGCAGTATTAAAAATCAAAAATCTGCGGCACTTTCTGCATGTTTTTCACCCTCCTTGTAGAGTACAGAAGAGTCGCGCGCTGCAAGAACGTTGAGCCCAAGAACATCCTGCCTGAAATGCTAAGAACGCCACAGCCTGGCGGTGTTGTTTTTCCAGCTGCCTTTGGGATATATGTAGATATGATCCAGTACGAATTGTTTCTAAGAATGTGCTATGTGAACGCTGCCAGATTGCCCAACAAAATAAGAATGTCCCAGGCTAACTCCTTGGAAACAACGTTCTTGGACGCGCGACTCTACTGTATATGACAACTTCAGTCTTTGAGCAATTATGTGCTCAAACAGGTCGTAAGTGTCTTCAGTAGCGTTTCTGCTGCTTTTGGAGTAGTAATTTTACTCTTTTACCCGCAATAATTCAGATTCCGTGATTTCCGCGGATGATGGCAATTTCTGCGAAAATTATCGCGGCACCGGAATCGCGTTTTCCAAGGGGACAGGCCATGGCTTCAAAACTTCCAGCCCAGCAGAAAGCGTGAACAAGTGGATTTAGATTGACATTTCTGTGTGGACTTTTATAGCATGGCACGGCGTAGTGGGCGAGTCATTTTGCATCTTGTATAATTAGCTAGGAAAGCAGCGGTGTTTCGATTATAAGACCATGGTTAAAGGCACAGCCATACAGTAAGAACGCAGCCTAATTGCTGAAAAAAGAACATGCCAGCCTCACCCCTTGGAAACAGCGTTCTTGGGCGCGCTTCTACTGTGTGTTTAGAACAGGGAGGTGTCTGTATGAGAACCTTTGACTTTGTTTGTGATATCAAGAGTTATAATACTCTTGGTGATATGTGGCGAGGCTCTTGGCTAGCAATGCCTTCAATACCGGTAACCCCAGGCCAGGGCCCGGTTTATGAACAGCTTGCCATGGCGGTGCAGTGTAAAGAGTTTTTCCAAAATTTCTGAACACAGGATCGTTTTGCGCAAAACCTTTCAAATGATGACGTAATCGCCAGCCAAGCGCTAGCGTAATCATGGTAAATCGCCTCGTGCGCAGTGCGCTTGTGGTGACATTTTGAGCTGCGTTCAAGCGAATCTGAACACCCAGTTTGTGGATAATCTGAGAAGGCACACTTTTTTTTGTTTTGACTTCATTCACACAAGTACATGCCCAAAATCACAATGCAATGAGTGCCAATTTTTTCAAGCATCAAATTTGTTTCGTATGTTGAATAGTCTCACCTTTCGTCTTGATCGCTGAGAGAATCCCAAACAGACATGGTTCGACCAAGTAAGTAAAGTCTAGTGATGATGGAAATAAATTCCCAGTTCCCATGTGTAGCTCGATCGTTTCTGTTTCTGCCCAGAGAAAAAGAGCAAGCGGCTCCCAGCTGCACAGAAATACAAGATCGAGAAAAAGGTACTTTTGACTCATTTTGTTCTCGTTGACCGTGATAAGATGAGATGTACTTGTTCCTTTCGCTACATGTATCTATATAATTATTATGTAGAGCTTCACAAAGCGCGTCGTGCATCATTGATCAGCCTGTTAGTGTTATTGTACAAGTATGATGTAGGTGTCAAAGGTTGCAGTCGATTTACAAGAACCACTGAAGTATAATTCTCAGGATCATCACATAACGAGTCGATGTAATTGCACTGAACATTCAAGTGTGTTATACTGGCTGAAGTACTGTGGAGGGTGTTCAGCACCCAGGCAATTTATTATGTAGTAGTGTTCTGTGCGTTACGTCATTCGTAATGCACCAATCTCACTATCAGGTTGCTTCTTCAGTAAATGTTAGGTGTACATGTATCACATGTGCTATACAACTGAACATGCTGTGTTGATGCTGGTTGGTTTGAAACCCGGAGTGTTGTTGGAATCTATGTGTTATTCTAGGTCCGGGAGCACAAGAGGAAGCAGCGGAAAGAGGCCCGGGGAATGCGCAAAAGTAGGTCAGCCCCTGTGGCAGGGAGCGTATACGAATATCATTTTTGTGCACAGCATTATAAGCTCTACCACTTTGACTTGGCACACAGTGCTGAGATCGACGGTTTGTCTTGATATGACAGCGGCGTCACACACGGTACAATCAGTATGACCATGGTCGTACCACTTTTCATCCAGGATCTAGGATGGTCCGCCCAATTCATCCAAAAAAGCAATAAAAGAACGCTAAAACGTGCCCTGTTGGCCGAAAAATCTGATTATTTCCCCCCGCGTGCATTTCCGCACCCCCCACCATCACCACTCCCCATTGCCCTGTGATGCCCCTGTATGATATCAAGCATCACTACTATTATCGTTTGTTTGTTCCCGTTGCTATGTATCAGCAGCATAGTGAGGGCACAGCTTCGCTATCACTGTGCAGAATGGCGGAGTGGGGCATCACTATGCAGGATCTAAAATGTGTTACGATTGTCATGACTGAAATGGTAGCACTTCTGCAATGTGATTGTGCTTACATTTCTTTGTGGACTTCTACTGCTGTTTGCCATTTATTGTACGCACGCCGGTCTCCACTGCAGTGCAAAAGTGTATGCATCTTGTAAAATCTATGGGATAATCTTCCTACACAGTTGTACTGACCCGTCGCCCTGACCTCTATGTCGTGTCATTGTCTGCGTTCACTTGTGCATGCAGAAAAGCCTAAGGATCCTGGTATCCCTAACCTGTTGCCTTTCCGCGACTCTATGATGAAACAGCTCGCAGACAGAAAACGAAAAGTAAGACACCCCCACCTTGCACAGTGTGTACATCAGTTGTGGTGTCTGGTGTCTGTTGCGGCATTCAGTACAAACTTCATTCTATGTTTTATATATATTTTTTACAATAGATCAGCCATTCGACTGATGACCTCTTTTAAACATGACAGACTTCATTGTGTCTTCTTCACTGTGTTTAGGTATTCACGACTTTGTACTTTGCTAGTTGATAACCCTTGCTGGCAAGTGTTTGTTTGCTACGGTTATGCCTTGTTCAAACTTTGCTCGAACACTCCTCTAACATATTTCTTCATTCTGTAACTCCTGCAGGAGGATGAATTCAAACAGAGAGAGAGGCAAGCAAGAGCCAGCTTCAGCAGCATGCAGCGCGATGCGGCCAAGCGCACGCGCGAGTTTGAGAAGAAATCAGCACCGGTCAGCTTGTACACATCGGACGGCCACCTGACGCAGATGGCGCGCAAGGCCTACTATCGCGAGTTCCGCAAAGTCGTGGATGCGGCCGACGTGGTGCTCCAGGTCTTGGATGCACGAGATCCACTGAGCTGCAGATGCGTCCAGGTACATATCTAGGTTTATATTAAAACTTTAAATTTAAAAGCGCCATTGCGTGTTTGCCTGTCCGTCAACAAGTCATTGGCGGTACAGCTGTTACGGTGATGGTGGTGCTCACTCGAGCTGGCTGCATGGCAGAACTCTAGTCCTAGTTCTCTGTGCCGGAGCAGTCCGGTTGCCATTCGTCGATTCCTTGTGTTTCACTAACATGTCAAGGGGTTTGCGGTGTAGTCACTGTCAAATACACTCACTTCGACTGCTTTACGTTTCGCTGCGAGCCGAAGTTGCTTGTGCCTAGTTCCATCTGTATGTGATTGGTATAGGCATTCAGGAAGTTGCATTTCAAATGGTTCTCTCATAACTGTTGCTACTGCTGCAGGTCGAGGAGAGCGTGCTTGCATCACCAAACAAGCGTCTGATTTTGGTGCTGAATAAAATCGGTAAGAACTTTATATGTGTGTGCAACTGTGCATGCTTCGGCATGATAGCTGTGCACTGCAGGTGTCATGTACATGTACTGTACATGGGTGCAGCTAAGGGCAGCTAGTCTTGGCTCACATCCCTGCTTAATATAAAGCAGTCTGTTGGCCTGGAGACATCCACAGAGTGGCATCGCCATTGCTCTGAGCGAGGAGGCTAGGCTGAGATTGTCTTCTTTTTTCGGGGGAGGGGGTGGGGGTGGATCCTTTCGGTGTGATTAAATGAAATGAGTTTTGTTGTGTGTGTGTTGCCCTATCACTGTTGTGTGTGTGTTGCCCTATCACTGCTGCCTAGATCTCATCCCAAGAGAACAAATCGGTGCGTGGCTGAAGCATCTTCGGAATGAGTTCCCTACAGTTGCAATCAAATCATCCACACAAGGCCAGAAGGATAGGATAGTATGTTCCTGCTAAAAAGCTGCTGCTGCTGCGCTTGTGTGTGTGCGCGCGCGCGCGTGTGTGTGTGTGTGCATGTGTGCGTGTGTGTGTGCATGTGTGTGTGTGTGTACACGGTGTATGTGTGTGTGTGGGGGGGGGGGGGCTACACGTGTGTGTATGTGCTTCCTCTGCAAGTCCAGTCCAGTTGCACTGTAGTTCTATTATCTTGGAGTGCATGCTTTCTTATCAGTGCAGGCCTATCAGACTCTAACTGCTTGTATGTTCTCTGGCAAGTTTGAGAGCACATCAATTGTAATAACTGCAGTGCAATATAATAATACATGTGTACCATTGCCGTGCATGACAGCCTATTGCTAGTGTCGGTGTGACTGCTCGCTGCGACCGGAATTGTATACAAGTTCTATAATACTGTACAACTGTTGTCGCTTGTCTGTTTGCAGGGTCGCTCCAAGGCATCTCTGGCAACTGCGTCTGAGAAGCAAATGAGCGGCGGTACATGTATTGGAGCAGACAGTCTGATGAAGCTGTTGTCCAATTACTGTCGCAATGCTGGGATCAAGACAACTATCTCTGTGGGTGTCGTTGGTGAGTGGGATTCGACACATCTAGTATTGTCTTCACTGAGTGATAAACACTATACGTGTAGTGTAGATTCAAGACGTGGCTTTCCTGTTTGTGGGGTAAGGTTCACTTGGTATGTCAGCGTACTCTGTAGGATGGGGTGCTATTGAGGCGGCATCCCTGTACACCACCTGTACACCACAGCATCAACACCGGAGGGGTCCTTACAGGGCTTATGGCTGAAAGCCTGGTACATGTATCTGACACTGTTACATTCGTGTTGTCTTCTCTGTTTTCACGTTGTATGTGCAGGATTTCCCAATGTTGGAAAGAGCAGGTAAGCTTCCCGAGCTGTTACTCCTTTCTTTCTCGTTATGATGCCGTTTGTGGGTTCTTCATGGTTGCTTGATTTTGGCATGTAGGCCTCTATCAGCAGTCTAAGCCCTCTACCGTGTACATGCATGCTTCTGAATCTTCTAGCATGTTAGCTAAGAAGACTAGGTTGTACCGTTGCTGGTTGGCGACTAGTATTGTTCTCCTGGCTCTGTCCGCTGGGCATGGAGTGCTCTACACAGCCTGAGGATACATAGACACATGTCTATCATGTTAGCTAGTTACATGATTGTACTGTAGTGTGTAGCTCTGAACACTGAGCGTCTGCGGCTGCAAACGATCAGGTTGAGTTGTTTCAGCTGTATCCCCAAGCTAGCCAGCACAATGCGAAGTCACTCCTCTTATAGGGAGCCGTCAAGCACCACCCCTATCGTGATATCAGGCAATTTCCGTTGGAGAACCTGCCACAGCAAGGTGACCACAGGCGCACGGTGGCAGTCCTTGTTGTGACGTGATGGTGGGGCATGATTATCTTGTGTACTACTTTCTGCCCATGCCCTGCAGCCTTATCAACAGTCTGAAGCGGTCCCGTGCGTGCAGTGTTGGTGCCACGGCCGGTGTAACAAAGTAAGCATTGAACATTCCGTGTCGGTCTCGATTTGTTCTGTTGTAGATAGTGAATCGGGTAGTACTGCATGACATTTAGTAATATTTACACTATAGCTTCTCTGTGGTGTGCGTGCGCTGGCCAGCGATGATTGTATTCAATGACTTAGGGCTGAAACGAATGCTCAATGAAGCGAACGAATATTCTTTTTCCGAATACATGCGAAACGAAGAATATTCGGAATATTCTAAGCCATGCAATTTCCATGGATACCTAGTTTTATCCATGGTAACCATAGACCATTAACTTGCATACATCCCAATTACAAGAGAGACATTTGAAAAATCATTTGTCTTGCTGATTATAACACATCGAAAGAGGCAATCCTGCTTATATTTTGCACCGAATAAGCTTGATCGATGTCAAAAAAGGCGAGTTTCTGTACATTTACGAATATTCCTTTTCTACTTTAACGAAGAATATTCTTTTCCGCCTTGCATATTTCGATTATTCCTTTCAGCCCTAGTATTCATTACCAGTTATTCACACTGTTATGCATTACATGTGGCTTGGGCAGGACGGTGCAGGAAGTTCAGCTTGACAAGCATATCAAGCTGCTGGACAGTCCCGGCATTGTGATGGCAAAGGATGACACTGACGCACATGCTGCTCTGCACAACTCTGTACAGGTAGGTGGCTGGTGTTGCTGTGCATACTCATGCACATGCACATGCTGCTACTGCTGCTACTGCCGCTTGACACAATAATCTTTGTTCAAGCTCAACAAAAATGTGAGAACAGGAAGGAAGGGGGGGGGGGGGGTGGTGCTGCTACTGATGTCGTAGTCACCATCACCACTGCAGGTTTTACGGCATGAACAGACTTATCCGCAGAGAATTAGAATTGTAGGGTTTTTTTCCTTTTCGGCCGAAGAGTTTATCATCAAAATATAATGTCGGACTAGATGACTTTTGTAGGCAGGTGATCTGCCTTTCTTTGTAGTTTATAAACTTAATTATTCTCAGATGAAAGTTTCAGCCTATGCATAGTTGGTGTCTTTTATGGCAAGGGTAAGGTTGGGAATGATCTTGAACTTCATTTGTTTATTTCTCATTTCACCTTTTGTCACAGTTGGAGAAACTCACCGACCCCATCACGCCAGTTGGCACGATACTGCGTCGTTGCAACCAGGAGCAGGTAGGTTGGTCTATGAGGGCGTCTGCCATTGTCGCTTGTGTCCATGAAAGCGCAGACCCGGGCAGGTAGATACAGCAGCACAGCAAGGAACTTTCACAGTGCAAGGCGGTTGCGTACTACTACTTGTGGCACTTGAAGGTGCTTGTAGGCAGGAGCACTGTTTTCGACACAGTGCGTCCTCCGCCTAAACACACTGTCAACCGTCCAACATGTTAATCTATCAAACAAGGCTTACGGGGCTTAGCAATGAACAAGGCTTACGTGCACCATTGTAGTACTTTGTATCCCCAGCTATACGTTATAGAGCATTTCATTTCTTGTCACAGTCTACTACTTGTACTAGTACGTGGGCAGGTGAGTGGCGAACTTCAAGTTGCTTCAATTACAAGTGTTGGGAATGGAAAGAAAGCGTGCGCTCTTCACGGACAACCATGGACATAGGCCACGGTTGCTGCTACCTTTGATTACTACTTTGAGTAAGTTTGCAGTACATGTATCCTTGTCTTGCACAGGTATTATCTCAAAGGTGTACCACTTGTTGTGCGTGCGCGCCATTACCAGTCATGTTCTCTTTGTGTCAACCTGGCAGATGATGCAGCGGTATTTCGTTCCCGCCTACACGTCCGTTCAGGAGTTCCTCGCGCATCTAGCGCAGCGCCTGGGCAAGCTTCGGAAAGGTTAGATGCTGCGTTGCTAAACATGGCATAGAATGATGGCTCCAGTCATACGGTTACTATCTGGACTGTGTGCGCATTGGTCTGTTTAGTGCTACGTACTAAGGCTGTAATCATTTCGCTGGATCCGGATCAAGATCCACTGGATGCCTCAGAATCAATTGACCACGCTTGGTCACACCACTACCGTGACCTTGTTCACGTAGAAAACGACAATCAAAGAGTCACTTCGGGTTTTGTACTTATGGATCTGGATCCAACCGAACGATCACATGCCCACTGTCACGTGAAAGCAATTCGGCGGTGTTTACCCGGAAAAAAAAGGTTTTTGTTTTGTGGAAGCAGCTGGATTCTCAGCCGCTTTATGCCGTCAGCTGTTCTGGAAGCTCTATTCTCAAAGACTTTACCATGCCATGTTCCTGTATGGGTATATGTCACAAGTTGCTTGCATGGAATTTTATAGCTACACACTGATCTCATCATAGTTTGCCAATACTGCACAATCGCCGCATATCAACATGGTTTTGCCCGCGTAATTACGTACATTAATCTGAAAATTGTCTGGTTTTGCTTCGGGCCATACAACATGTCGATATGGGTGGGTGATAGTTGTTGCCATAATTATCTTGTTTTCCTTTAGGTGGTATACCTGACTTGGAGGCAGCTGCAAGATCAGTCCTGAAGGATTGGAACTCGTGAGTGATTCTTTAGTACATGGAGCATGTGATTTTGCTGATAATGCTCACTATTAAGCCCACCTGTTAAGCGCTTTTTTAGCATACTCCCTTCTATATTCAGTGGGGTGATGTACCCATTGGGGTTTTATACTATTTTGCAGATTGAGTACTTTGAAAGTATACCGGTTGTGCAACTTCCCATGGCAGAAGGCTTCTATCTTCAGTCAGGACGATCTTTGAGCTCCACAGTTTGTCTATCAAGTTTCTCCCGTGGCAAAACGCTTCTAATTCCACAGTCGGGACAGTCTTTCAGTTGCAAAGTTCTCTATCTGACATGTTGTAGTAATAACTTCTGTAATCAGGACACTTCCCATGTCTGGTCAAATGAGGTGGGCACTGACTATCAGACTGAGAAAGGTTCAATCGGTACTGCGTGCACGCGCGTGTGTGTGTGTGCGTTTGCGTTTGCGCGTGTGAATTGAAGATGGTGTGTGCATATCTTTTCCTGCCTTGCCTTAATTAATCCCGGACATACCCGGTATTTCTGTTCATTGTCATAGTGGTCTTTTTCCCTGTCTTGTTCGTATTATTCTCACTGTCTTCTTCACGGTGCAGTGGTGCCATCAAGTTCTTCACGCACCCTCCGGAGCAGAGCACGCTGCCTGCTCATCTGTCTGCGCAGGTGGTGTCGTCGTGGGGCAAGGAGTTTGACATGGTGAGTACTGCGGCGGCGGCCTTGGCGTGTGCTGTCACCCCACGCACTCGCTTGGCTGTCCACCAAAGCACATGCACTTCCAAGGAGTCTTGGCGTACACTGTGATTTTGTTCATGTGCAGAACAACGACTGCATGAGTGCATTGCATGCTTGACGGTACTTCATTTCTGATTGCCAAGAGTCTCCTCTTTCCTCCCAAGATAGTTCATTGGTGCTTTGTGGATGACCCCAGCATTAACCTTGCTCCGTGTGTTCGCTGAAACGCTTGGTCATTCATGTTTGTACGTGTGTGTTGTGTGTGTGTGTGTGTGTGTGTGTGTGTGTGTGTGTGTGTGTGTGTGTGTGTGTGTGTGTGTGTGTGTGTGTGTGTGTGTGTGTGTGTGTGTGTGTGTGCATGCGTGGTGTGTGTGTGTGTGTGTGTGTGCATGCGTGGTGTGTGTGTGTGTATGTGTGCTGTTGTTGGTGTTGTGCTCTTTTGTATTGCTTGTGATAGGCCTCACTGCTGAAGGACGACAGCCAGACTGTGGAAGGTATGCCATGCACACTACAATGTACCTGCAGCAGAGCTTCTTCCAATCTCAAGCTAATAATCCCTGCTTCTATAATATATCTGTGCATGCACACCTATGCGTGTAATAAGCATGCCAATTACACGCGCCTGTTATGAATGCCGATTAAACTGTTGTCCAATGCCCATCCTGAGGAAGACAGGTCTACTGCATCCCACTTATCATTCTCTGAACTCCATGTACCGTAAAGTACCGTTGATCCCCCCCCCCACGCCATGTCGCTTCCCAGCTGGGTTTTCGGCAGGGGACAGGAATTAGATCAAGGCTGTGAAGTGCAGTATGATGTACAAAAACGTGGAGGATCAGACTCGATGTGCTGGATTGTGCACGTTTTCATCCTGCACTGGCACGTATTGGGTACAGCAGTGCAAGCGTCGGTTCAACATCGTATTTCGTTGTATACGCCGAAGTCGCTTCACAGGTAGAAAATAGAGAGGGGCGGATCAACGGTACTTTACAGTACATGAATAACCACCCCTTCGGTGGCCAGCGTTGATGGGGGAAGTCATCTAACTGACTACTACAGTCCATTCAGAAAAGGTTGAGCGCTGGCTCTGGAGAGCTCCCGTGTTTGGCGATTTTGTGGTACACTGTGCAGTGCCGCGCGATTCGAAACTTGAAAAAGGGTCCAAAAAGGCACCTCAACTGGGGTTCGAACCGCAAATGTACTGTTATGCAAGTGGAGTGAACGGCCTGGATTTTCATGGTTTTTACCCAATTCAGTGCTTTGGGGGCAAAACCTGGCCGAAATCCTATTCTTGTTATGGCTTGCTTTTTGGAGAAAATTAATAGACTTCAAAAACACAATTGGAAGAGCATTCCATGGGGGATTGCCAAAAAAAAAGGAGACGAAAAACTCAAAATTTGACCCGTTTATGGCCAAAAGCTAGGATATCATCTTTTTCTGAATGGACTGTAGTGTACCCGTATTCGAAATGTGTGGTATGTATGTGTGTTATGTGGGTGTGGGTGGGTGTGCGTGTGTGCCTATTTCTACTGATGTGTACGCTTTGCAGCCTTGTCTGCTGATGGCAGTGAAGAGATGATGGCCGTTGAGTCTGGCCAGCCACTGGAAATGCAGCAGGAGGATGACACAGATGACGCAGATGTGGTGAGTGGAGTTGCCGCCCAAGTACACCTAACCCTTCATGATGTTAATGCCAGATTCTAAGGCACTTCATCGGCTTAGAGATTGTATGATAGCGTTATTCCTTTCTGTGATCTTGTTTATCCACCTTTGGTTTAGCTCTGTCCTACTGATGCGTCTTTCTTCAACATTTCTTTGTCGTGCTTTGTTTGTTTTTGTTTTGTTTTGTCGTTGAAAACGTTACGAACGGGAGAATTTTGGTGGAGATTAGGTGTTAACTCTGTGTTTTGTGCTTATTCCACCGCAATACTAGGAGGATATGATGAGTGACGATGACGACGACTTCGATGAAGACGATGAAGATGACGATGAGGAGGAGATGAGTGGTGATGATGATGAAGAGGCGGAGAGCGAGGAAGAGAGCAATCAGGTGTGTGTTGCAGTGCTCCGGGAAGAGCGCATTGTGTCGCTGCCTTCTTGCATGCTTGCATTCTTGACGACTATTGTGTCGCTGCCTTCTTGCATGCTTGCATTCTTGACGACTGGTTGCAGATGGTGTGCTGATGTATCTGATGAGTTCTGTTTAGGCTTTTGTGTGGAGACCTGGTGCTTTTTATAACTGTAGTGTGTGTGTGTGTGTGTGTGTGTGTGTGTGTATGTGCGCGCTTGTTCCTGTTCTATCCAATCCTTTTAGATGACTGTTGTTGTGCCATCGCGGCGGAAACGACGATCTGCATAGGTTGGTGCCAGGATTTCTTCTGTTTTCTAATGCCGCTCTGTCGTGATGTTCTAACATACCCTCTGACATGACTCTCCATCTTTGCTGGGTCGATGGCCAATTAGCATTACACCACAGCCGATAACTAGCTGTAGTGCTTGTGTTCTATTAATTAATATCTTCCTGTGGAGTGTGCGTATGAGCTATGCACGTGCGGCAGGAAGCCTCTAAAAGAAAGAGAACAAAGAGTGTTGATTCTTTGTGCCGTCTTCAATAGGTCCGTCAAATACAGTAGTAGTAGGTTTTTCATTCAACAACTGCTTCTCCTCTGATGAGTTCCCCGTTATTATCTCTATGGAACGAAACAAGACTTGTCAGGAGTACTACTACTTGCTTTCGTGGAGTGTGGCTGGTGAACTGTTTGTGCTGTGATCTGCAAGCGTCGTATGGTCTCGTCGGGTCAAAATGAAAAACCTACTACTAAAGAGTGTTGGTGGCCAGGAGTTTGGGAAACTCTCCACGGTGTGCTCACTCTACACTGATCTATAAATGTTTGTCCGTGCTTGTCACGGCAGCACAATCCAAACCAGCGCACACTTCTCTCCCCTGATGCCGAGCACAATGGGGTGTGTAGGTATTCTCTCCCCTGATGTCGAGCACAATGGGGTGTGTAGTTATTGTGGCTTCATATCAGAATATTCTCGGTGCCATCTAAACCGTTTTGCATGCTTGTTACAAGGCAATGACTCGAACGTATACACATTCCTAAAAGAAAAGAAGTATGGCTGTTTCTGGGGTAACACTGGTCTGTGTATTGCTTGGTGTGGGTATCACTGGTTAGCTGTCCTTCGGCCAATGGCAGTATCTGGTGCATCATGTTGATCTGTCTGCTTCTATGACGTTTGCAGCTCAGTGTTGAGCAAACTTGGGAATATATATATGTACATGGCTAACTGTGCCATCTTTTTGTGTTTTGTATTTGTGTCTATTGAATCAACAGAGCCTCTGCTCGAGTGATACGACGACGGACCCGAAGCCCACTGGGATGACGACATAACTCTCAACGTAACAGTGAACTTTGATTCTACAAACTAACTACCTACTCACTTTCGTCGCTGTTGTTGAGAGCAATGTGAATGCAGCCTGTTGCCAGCTGAGGCAAAGAGAGTTTGCCAAGCATTGCCATAATGCGTGGAGTTCAGGGTCAGGGTTCAAGGACGCTTCTGGCTTGCTAGCTTTGAACTGTTGAGGGGAAATGTGGCTAACTCTAAACCGCATCTAGCAAGTATACAAGTGCAGCACACGAAGCTTGCAATATGAATGCTACTCAAAGTACATGACACACACACACACACACACACATGTATTACATTGATTAATGTGTACCCCTAGCAAACGGAACAAAAGCTAAAGAACTATGCACTACTCCTGGAGCCAGGGTACCGCAATAAGATTGTCTGATTTTTGCAGAAACAGAGCTTCTATCCGGGTTTTTTTCGTTGTGAATACTCCAGAAAGGCCTACGGACAAATGTTTTGCTTGAGAAAACTTTTGCTGGAAGCCCAATGACAATGTGGACTGTTGAAGTTTTCGTTTGCAACTTATTGCTTTTCGGTTTACAGTATTGGCGAGTGGATACCTTGATAAAATGGTTGCTTCTCAATAGGGTTTAATATGCAAGATATTAGCCCAATCCAAACTTTAGTGTAGGAACAAACTTTTGTTGGCTGCTCTTATGTAGAGAAATTGGCAAAAATCAATTTCAAATGGAAATGACAGGAACGTTTGTACTACATGTACAGTAGCGTCGCGCGCTGAAGAATGTTGAGCCCAGCGAACGTCCAGCCTGAAATGCTAAGAACACCACAGCCTAAAGTTAAGAACCGTGGTGTTGGTTTTCCGGCCGCTTTTGGGATAGATATGATCCAGGATGAATTGTTTCTAAGAACGTGCTATAAGAACGTCCCAGGCTAACCCCTGGGAAACAACGTTCTTCGACGCCCGACTCTACTGTACATGTACTTATACAGCATGACTTGTTGTGCATGGTTTCTGGAGAAAAGGAGAACATTGTCAATCGTCGAGTTGATTGCAGTGTAACTTGTTTGTAAGAGAAATGCAGTGCCTGTTTTTGTCACAGGGCCGTAATACCTGTGGGCTTTGTTTTGGAAAAAGTTGACCCACCCTATTCTGAGTATTCATGCGAAACAAGATTTTTCGTCCGTATTTAATGTTCATTGAGGTCCAGTACAGTACCAGACTATTCCCCCATTTAGCCGGACCACCTGAAATCCCAATGCTATGCCCTTGTGTCGCTTTTATCTCTGATCAGACTGCACTCTCCAAATGAACCAGTATTGTAAGGCACCAGAAACAGCTAGAAGAAAATACAGTCTTCCTGTTGGGAGCTCTACAGTAGTCTGACTCTCTTGTATGTGCGGGTCGCTGTGATGGGTGGATATTTGCACATAGGCTATCATCAAGAGTACATAACCCCAAGAGTGTGCAACTGCCTGCACAACCTCTATGCTGTGCTGCGACGGCAGAACTTCACATCACGTGACATGGTTCAAAAGGTTATGCTGGCAAACAGTGCAAAGTGACCACAAGAGAGTTGTACCCAAAGCTGGGCTGCGTACAACCCAGTATCTATCATGCACTAGAGTGCACGGGTTCATCACGTGATGTGAAGTTCTGCCGTCGCAGACCCCATAGCTGGAGTTGCACACTCTTGGGGTTATGTACTCTTGCTATCATGTATAGCAAAACAGAGCCGGGCACACTGAAATGCTAGATTATTTTTGAATGCTGAAACATTCCCCTGACGGAGAAATTGATGTGTGGAAGTGCAGCTGAGAAAATACTTGGTATGATGGTGAACACACTGTAGCATAGGGGAAACAGTGTTCCTGACAGGGAGTCGTAAAATGGTATTTTATTTTACGACTCCCTGGTTGGTAGAGTCCCGGTCTTGCGACTGTAGTGTATGACCAAGACAAGAGCAAGAGCATGGGGTTATGTACTCTTGGTGTGACACATAACGCCCCAAGTCTGTGTAACTCGACTGTGGGTGCTGTCCCAACAGAATTTCAAGTTGACGTCATTTTTATGATGCAATGCGCACTGTACACGGATTTTCAGACGAATCCGGAACGTGTGGTGGACCGAATTCGCGAAGCCCATCTGATCCTGTACAAATTTTTGCAGAGAAAAACGTGTGATGCGTTGACACCCGTACACATGTTGTATATCACTGGTGCAAGGAGCATTGCGTCATAAATAATGACGTCAACTTGAAATTCTGTCGGGACAGCAGGGTACTAGTATGTGGGAGTTGCACACTCTTGGGGGGGGGGGGGGGGGGGTTACCGTATTTCCGCAAATAAAAGGCCGTCCTTGTATACAAGACCGGGGCAGGGGACGATTTAAAAATAAAAGACCGTCTCCGATTAGAAGACCGGGCCTACTAAATGAGTCCTTGTTCTTGTGTTAAAAATAGAAGACCGTGCTCAAACTGTGGAAAAAAATAGAAGACCGTGCTCAAACTGTGTAGAAGAACATGGAAGAACGGGGGTAAAACTGCGTGGCGAGAAATAGAAGACCGGGGTCAAACTGGGTTGAAAGAATAAAAGACCGTCCTCGAATACAAGACCGTTCTCGATTATAAGGCCGGGTTAGGACGAGGTTGAAAAAATAGTAGACCGGCCTACTATTTGTGGAAATACGGTATGTACTCTTGGAGTGTGACCCATATGGGGCCGTGCCCCGGTTCAGACCCTCAGTATTCTGGGGGGGGGGGGGGGGGGGGTAAGAAATTCCCTACAGCGTGTCGTCCACCTTTTGCGATGCTGGCATCATCATACCTGGTAAACTATCAACTTGTACCAAGGAAGGCTTACAATTTCCTGACGGTGAGTAGGTAGACTACAAGTGTGTGTGTGTAGTCTAGACTAAAATGTACAGTAGGTTGTTGTAGACTCTAGCCTAGACTAAAGTCTACAACAACCTACTTGCTCACGGCAGACCAGTGTAGAGACAGTGCAAAGCTGACCTCGCAGTACGATCTCGCTGCACATAAAAATAGTCATTGTATCAAGAGTAGACCTATGTACTCTTGATTGTACATGTACTTGGAAGTTGTAGTTCTAACTGTTGTAGTATGTTCCCTCAAGGCTCCACCACTACACGAACAGGTTGAAAGCTGCTGCTTACCCTATGACAGTTTGCATGGTTTGAGTACAACTAAAATAATCATAATTATTATTATTATTACTCCAAGTCCAAGTACGTATGACTGTTGTGTTGATCAAACTTCAAAGACAAAGACGCATCAAAGACACGGCTGTCGAGGTTGACATAGCAACCCACTTGCAACCACCGTTTCCAGGAGCAACGCGTCTCCTTGGTATCTCTGCGCCTCTACTCTAGACTAGTACTGAGTCTAGACTAGTCTAGTTCTAGTATGCTATCGCATCACGCTACGTGCTACCGCCCTTGCCTTGACGTTATCATCAAGGCTCTTGCTCAGCGCTATGCTCTCAAATCAAGACTAGAGTCAAATCGAGAGAGAAAGAGCTAGCTAGCTGTAGTGTAGACCATGGTAGACCTACCTGCAGAGAGCTCGAGTCTCGCAAATAAATGTATCGTATCTCGCAACAGTTCTCGCAGCACATCTAGCTAAGCGCAGGACTAGCGGTGGAGCTCATGTGTTGTGATCCGCCTGGTGCCGTCCGATACTGTTTGTAGTTGGTTCTACATAATAGACTTGAAGTCAATACTGCTGTGAAACATGGCTATGATTTCAAGAGCTTCCACTCGCAATCGGCAACGCGCCTCGTCGTCGATGACGGCGGCTGGGCCATTTGCCACTGCATTGCCAGTTGGCACGAAGAAAGTACTGACGGACCCAAGAGGGGCCCAGCCGCCCAAGCACGCACCGAGCGACAAGAATATCGTGGATGCGAAGGCGGGCAAGACCGTCACAGTGGCACGCACGGTGGGTGGTAAGCGGACTGGCGAGACGGCCGTCATCATGCCGGAATCCGAGTGGGACAGAATCACCGGCACGATCGATCGATCCAGAGCGGTCGACGTCATGGCGGAGACGACGAGACGCGATCGTGAAGCGCTCCACCAGACGTCCAACGCTATGGTGAAGACGTGGGATAGTACACTGGAAGGGCAGCGCTTAAAACGACTAGAACGGTTGAAGTTGAAGGCAGACAGGGAGGAAGCCAATCACAAGAGGCTAGATTTGGAGGAAGCACAACTGCAAGCTGAAAAAAGGAAAGAGGCCATCGCCAAGGCAAGGGAAGGACTAATGCAGCAGACAGATCGGGTAAAGAAGTTCAACGAGGCACTCGTTCTGTCAGAAGTACTGCGCGAAAGAGAAGCGCAGGTGGACTTCAAGAAACGGAAAGAGGTGAGGAAGCAAGGCATGGATGCCCAGTACCTGCGACGGATAGAAGAAGACCGTGTCAAAGCGCTGCATGATGAGGCGGAGAAGCGCAAGAAACGCATCGCTGCCAGCCAGCAAACCGTCGACTACCAGCTGAAACAAATGCGGGACAGGCACGACAAGGAGCAGGAAGATAGGCGGCAAATGCTGCGTGAACAACTAGAGAGTGAAAAGCTAGCAGAGCAGTACTTTGCCGAGCAGAGAGCGTTCGAGGAGAAGCTGTCGGCAGATAAGAAGGAGCAGCGGCGGATCTATGACCTCACACTTGGCGACAAGAAGGCGGCCATTCACCAGAAGAAGCTCGAAGACGAACTGGAGACTGAAGAGGTGCAGAGGTTTGCCTCGGCTAAGCAGAAGATGACCAAGCTGCGGAAGCGGCGAGAGCGCGAGATCCTGCACACGGTGCGGGAGCGGCAGGACGCGATGTGCCAGCGGCTGCACGGCGCGGCACTGCAGGAACGCGACGATGAGGACAGGGAAATTGCAGAAGCCCAGGCCGAGAAGGACCGGCAACGTGATCAGGAAGCCAAGGAAAAGCAGGACATGTACATGCAGAGGCAGCAGGAGATCGCTGAGCACCGTGAGCGCGTGATGGAAGCTCATGAAGAGCAATTGAAACAAGAAGCCCAGCGCCAGGCAGAGCTCATGCAGCAGGAAAAACTGATCGATCGAAAGTTCCACATTCAACAGCTAAAAGAAGAGTCGCTTCGCAAAGAGAAGAACCGAGAATTCCAACAGGCTCAAATTGGACAAGTTCACGACCTCCTCGGAAAGCAGCAGGCGGAAATTGACGAGCAACTGAAGCACGACGAGCGTGCTATGGAGAAACTTGGTTATGAGGAGAATGACTTCAAGCGGTATGCAACACGGACGATTGGTGAAGCCAAGGAGCGTGGTGCGCCAACCTTCGTCTTGGAGCGCGCTGTGGGTGTGGCTCCTTGTGGTGGCCATGGACCAGAGCTAACGGAACGCGGTGGGATAAAGCCAAGCTTCTTGGCCATGGACGCGTTTGGAACGGAGCTGAAAAATTTCGGAGCCGCCCGAACCCTGCCCCATCTTGGTCCAACTGCTCAGGCCAGCCCAAAGAGCAAGCCACCGTCCTTTCCCGGAAACACTAAGAAGAGAGCTGGGTTTATGTGGTGATGACGGGCATTGCATACCTACAATGGCATTGGGCCCGTGGCTGACTGTGCTGGTTTCTTCCGTGTGACTGTGCCCATGCTATGCTTATCACTTGTAGGTGTAGACTCGGCACTGTCAGGTTTGAGTCAGCCACTCAGCCAGGGCTGTGTGCGCTCTCCTACAGCTGTAACAGATCAGTGATCGACACTGAGTACCCATGGCTGGCACTGTGCCGATCAGTCGCCGGCTGCTGGCCGTGTGGATGGTGAGAACAAGTCGGTCGGGTGCCTGCTGTGAGCCGCGTGATGACCTTGAGTAACACTGGCTGTGGAGCGATTGCAGTTCACATGTTTATGACTCAGTCCTGCCACCCTTGCTGAACACCAACGGTCAAAGTCTGTGTAATTGTACCTGTGAATAGTGTTATGCTTCATATATGCTCGTGTTTGACCTTCAGGCGGGATTGCAAGGAATATTCCGCAAGTGCCGCCTTTACTGCAGTAACCATGTGCGTTTGTCCGCCCCCGCCCCCCCCCCCCCCCGGGCCCCCCACCCACCGCTAATAAACCCTTTGGCTGTGGTGTCCTGGTCCGGGTCACGATGTATTTCCTGTGCCAGTCAGCAACTCCAGCCTCTTCATGTACATGCCATTCCATGTTTACTGTGTGCCTTGGCGAGCTGTGACACTGACCGCATCTGTCATCAGCTAGTCCATGCCGGGTGGCCTGTACTTCAGCCACGGCGTACTCTACATATCTACTCTCTCAGGGCCCGAATCCGCAAAGGTAGCTGGAGAGTGAATATCCTATCACCACTATGGCTGTACATGTACCTGATTGAGCTGAATAACTCGTGACTATTCTGTAGGGACCTTGAGCGCTATCATCATCTGATTGAGTCATTGATAATGTCCTAGCTATACTCTGATATTGCTGATATCGGTGCGGCCTGTATAATACATGTAGCCAGATGCCTAGAAACGAGGACCAAGGAACTACTACGTGTGTGTGTGACAAGTTGTGCTATCGAATGTCCACTAACACCACCAGTTGCTTTACAATCAGCTCATGCGATACACATTGCACGGCACTGACCAACTGAGCTGATTGTAAAGTAACTGGTGGTGTTAGTGGAGCCGGATTACTAGTATAGCGCAACGTGTGCACTGTGTAGTTCCTTGGTCCTCATTTCTTCTTGGAAATCAATCCTTGGCTCTCCACCCGAGTCTAAGGCTAACCACAAGATAGATTGACATTATCTTATTTCTGTTCTTTTTTTCCAATTAAAGTTGTGGACTTGTTACTGTCTCTTATTTGTTCTGGTTTCCAGTGCAGCGATGTGTGACTCAGCGATGCAACCAATGCTACGAGTTTTCGAAGCCATTTTAAGATACATGTACATGTACACGTGGAGGAATGAAGCCTGAGAACGGTCTGAACTACTTGGATTGCAGCTGTACTGGTATAGGGTCATGAACTCTTGCTTGAATAAAGCAGGCCTGCTTTGTCACCTTTGAGCTTCAAGTGTGGCTGACCGGCTGTGCACTCAATTTTGATTATAATTATTGCAGCAAGCGTACTGAAGTACATAACATTTTCTCTGTGCTGCCTGATGAGTCCACAAAGGACGAAGCAGTTCTGTCGGCAGATTGAGTGACTTCAAGTCGTGACATAAAACAGTAAAATAATAGTTCATAACCCTGGAAACTCTTGACCCAGGCCCAACTCTTGATATGACAAAATACTTGGCCTCATAATTATGAACTAAATATTGCGACAGAGCTTTCGGCCATATTTTCAATTCATTGCATTCCCAACTCCTCACAACCACGCGCTCTTCAGCCGAACCATACAGACACCAGCAAGGACACTTCCGTTGAGAGATAATATTCCTCCACGCCTCTAGACAGCTGTTTCGCTCCCTGTCGGAGCTCATCAGTAGAGGATGATAATGATAATGGAGAAATGATCATTCTTATACACCAGAAATGGCGCAAGTGCGCGCTTTCCACATAATATCAATGGCATATGCAAGCTGCTAAAATGGTAAAGTGTGAGAACAGCGATAAATAATCATAGTATAGTAATGAGCGCGTACTATGATTATTTATCGCTGTTCTCACACTTTACCATTTTAGCAGCTTGCATATGCCATTGATATTATGTGGAAAGCGCGCACTTGCGCCATTTCTGGTGTATAAGAATGATCATTTCTCCATTATCATTATCATCCTCTACTGATGAGCTCCGACAGGGAGCGAAACAGCTGTCTAGAGGCGTGGAGGAATATTATCTCTCAACGGAAGTGTCCTTGCTGGTGTCTGTATGGTTCGGCTGAAGAGCGCGTGGTTGTGAGGAGTTGGGAATGCAATGAACTCATAATTATGAGGCCAAGTATTTTGTCCTTTGCCTTTGGCTTTGCCTCTACTCTAGCTGCTAGGCTTTGCAATTTGGCAGTCAGGTAACTGTTTCAGTGTTTGGGCTATAAAAGTATAATACGAGTGCAGTGTGGCTCCACTGGCCTGCCTCCAGCCGTCCAGCGCCATAGACGACGCGCGTGCACGTGCACGGACATGACAACGCGATGCGCGCGGCGTGGAGCATGCATGGGGGTTCAGAATCTAGCAGCAATGCATGCATGCAGCTTGCATGCGCATATGCTAGTTCAGATCGGGGACTTGCAAAAGTCGTCAAATGTCACGATTTTCTAAAAGACTGGAAGGACTTTTCGAAGCATAGATAGAAGCCGTGAAAGGAAAGCAACTAACTCCTGCCTCGCCGTCTGCCACTGCACGAGGACATAGCTTTTCACTGCAGTCTGTGTGCAGTCCACTTTCGAGGTGCCACTTGTACGCGGAAGCGTAAGTACTCTCTGTATTTGATTATGGTCAATGCATTTTGGGTTTATGCCTACAATTACAAGTGCAGTAACTATTGCGAAAGCACTTGAGTTCACTTGTCGAATATCTTGATCATCGTTGATATCCTGTGATCTTCTGAACACGTCCTGCCCATTGCTGTAGGCAAGCAAGCTGAAAATGAGCAGTACTTCTCAGCCAGACAGATCGCGTTTGGCTATGGAACTTGCAGCAAATCCTTTGGACAGCATGTCGGGTCCTGATCCTCTCACCCCCGTCGACGCAACGGTCGACGTACACTCTCGTCAGTTTCGTGCTACTCGAGCCAATAATATCTTGGAACATAGGTCCCTGCTGGATATTTACAGCGATCCCGACGTTCCTCGTCTCACGAGCATAATATGTACCATCGGTGAGTGATGACTGTGATGAAAAATTATTATTTCGTTCTGGGACAAGCATTTGTATCAAGGTTTGAATTCGAATTCCCAACATGTACGGGTGCACTTACCGCCGGACTATTTGGCTCATCAAGGTGTTTCGTTGTTTTCATTCGATCGATGTTCTGCTTCGTCTTTCGTGAATGTAAAATTTTGAAGAAAGGGCTATGGGTACTGGGTGCTGCATGCATGACATGTTCTCCGTTTGTTTTGGTATCATTGTGCTTCAGATAACTGATTCTACCTGCACTCACGTGTGGTTATTCATGTATGACCAGCCACGTAACGACAAGACTTTAGTATAATTATTCGAAGTGCACTGCGTGTATGAAAGCTGGCTACCCCCCCCCCCCCCCCCACACACACACACCCACCCACCCACCCACCCACACACACACACACAATCTGATCAGGTAGTTACAGAAGTGATCATACAATCATGTACTTTGTAAGCATCATAATTCTGATATGAACGCTGTAGTTACGTCTGACGTTGCAAGCGTGTCTATTTTCATGTTCTTGTGCAGGAGTGTGTTTACTTGTGTTTTATTTTGTGTGACTACGTGTACTGCATGTACACTTGCGCTCTGTGAAATCCGGCGCCCTCAACTTACTCGCACGGCCCTTGACGACCTGACAGTGGTACGAATGCGGTAGGACGTACACATGTACAAATACAGTGATGTAATCGGAATTGGTCCAGCGCGTCAGTTTTGCACTTTGGATCGGATTTCACCGAGCGCAGCTGTAGTTTTTGTGGCATGCCCAGTCAACTCCGTGAAGTAAGTCGCGAGCAACGACACAGTCTTCAGACCTAGTGGCCGCATAGTTTCAACAAATCACGAATAGCGGCACTTTTCTGATGCAGGATCGATGGTCGTTATTCGCCAGGCTGACTGTACTGCTTTTTTGACATCTGCAGGCCCCGCATCTCGGGAAGTCAGCACTCTAAAGAAGCTGATGGAGGCTGGCATGAACATTGCCCGAATGAACTTCTCCCACGGTGACCATGATGTGAGTAATTCTACAACGCATGATTATCCCATGGTACGGTTTGATTTGGGCGATTTCAGCCAATCAGCGGCCGTTCAGAGCTGGGTATTTTCAGCGGTGTTCCCCGCCCGGTTCACATGGGTCACACCAAGAGTACATAACCCCCAAGAGTGTGCGACTGCCTGCACAACTTCGTACTGTGCATGCTGCGACGGCAGAACTTCGCTTCCCACGTGACATGGTTCAAAAGGTTAGGCTGGCAAACAGTGCAAAGGGACCACGAGAGTTGAGTCCAAAGCTGGGTTGCGTACAACCCTGTATCTATCATGCACAGAGTGCAAATGATGTGTACGGGTTCATCACGTGATGTGAAGTTCTGCCGTCGCAGACACCATAGCTGGACTTGCACACTCTTGGGGTTTATGTACTCTTGGTCACCCCAAGAGCTAATAAGGGAGCTTTAGTGTTGGTCACACTCTATATTTGGAAAAGTATCAGGGTATACATGGATTATACCATTCATACCAGGCACTCTGTGTATACGGTGTCCCTCATATTTCCCCTCATGCTACGCACCCGGGGATTTCCCCTCATGCTACGCACCCGGGAAAATGTGCGGTATTCATGGTTTGATCAAATACATGAATTTAAAAAAAATCCAGCGCTTTACATGTACTTCAGTGTAGATGAGTAGACCTGTGCTGCGGACAATGTGCGTACTAAGCACGAGCGGGTCTTATCAGGGTACGTACTACTGTAGTAGGTGACGTGTGTTCCACTATATCTCCAAAGTAAGCAATCTGCCTCACCTAGCCTTATATTCATGTACTGACCGAGGCACTTACCCTCTTTTCCGACCTAGGTACATGCCATCTTTTTTTGACCTGGGCACATGCCATCAGCTCTAGGCATTGTCAGTGAACTAAAACTATTACCGTGAGCAAAATACTCTTGTACTGTTTCGAATCCTGGTGGTGACAGTGAACTGTTCTCCAGACCTCTCCCTTTTATAGCTCCCTCAAACTTATAATTAGGCAAGAGAAATGATGATAAAATGGACCGATTCCTATCAACGTTATCTTACAGGCCATACACATACCGTCTCTCTCTCTCTCTCTCTCTCTCTCTCTCTCTCTCTCTCTCTCTCTCTCTCTCTCTCTCTCTCTCTCTCTCTCTCTCTCTCTCTCTCTCTCTCTCTCTCTCTCCTGCGTGAATTTCTCGCAGCAAACCCTTATGGCCTCATGAATGTGCTGCGAAGCGCACTATTTTTTTTGTATTTCCTACGAGTGCTTTATTTGCCAAATCAACTTGATGCCTTTTGGAACCCTTGCTAGTTGCTGTACTTGAAAGTAATGTTTTGTTACGTCTGTGCTTTGTTCATGCACATATGCACACAGTATCACAGCAGTACAATTGCCAATGTCCGCACAGCTGCGGCTGAGCTGGACAAGGTTGTGGCCGTTGCTCTGGACACAAAGGGCCCGGAAATCCGCACTGGACTGCTGGAAGGAGTAAGTTTATTTTAAATTCAAATTGTGTTTGCACGTGCACTGCCAATAGTCCATGACTCCTCCTCCCCCCCCCCCCCCCCCCCCCCCCGTTGGGTTTGGGTTGCAGCCAAAACCAAGCATTACATCATCTGAAGGTTGCCAGGTGCTGAAACATAGGCTGTGCAACTTTGAGGCAGGCCCGCGATTGCTTTTTTTTCTTTTCTTTTCACAAAGTACATAATTATTATGCACCCACCCGGTCGTGCTATCATGAAGTTTGGACAATGCTATGACATAACACCGTGCAGAAAGTGATGCACACTTGTGCACTCTAGGGCGTCATGGACTCTTGGCGATTCTATCCGATTGATCTTTTTATCGCAGTTATTAGGTGTTAGTTGTTACTCTGCCGTAGCATGGATTTCCGCGGTCCTATTCGAATAGTGGCCGAATTTCAAATTTCAGATTGCCTAATTCAGTCAATGATGTGCTTCCCTGGTCTGAGGTGTCAGTCAGTGCTGGCTGAGTGTCGGACGCTGATTTGTCCTGCTCTGTACACTAGCTCTGCTGGTCTCTTTCCGAAGGCTGCTTCTCCGTGTGTTTGCGTTTTACTAACCTCATAGGGCGGCTCGGCTGAAATTCAACTCGTGGCTGGTGCCAAGTTGATTCTATCCACTGATTCTACGTATGCTGAGAAGGGCTGCTTGGAACGTATCTTCGTAGACTACAAGAACATCACTGAGGTCATGAATGTTGGCCAACAGGTCTTCATCGATGATGGTCTGATTTCTCTTAGTGTTCTAGAGAAGGTAGGTTTTGTCACCTGCGTGGCGTTTTGTTTGGACGTGAAACATCAGTCTACACTGTGAACTTTTATGTGTTGGACTGTGCACTGCACCATGCACTGGTCTGTTGAGGCAACGTAGTCTTTGCAGTGTGAGTGAGACGGAAAAGAGAGAGAGAGAGAGAGCTTGCCTGTGCCTATTACAGCTATTCTTGTTCTTTCTTTTATGCTGTACATCTTGCACAGGGAGCTGACTTCTTGGTGACTGAAATTCTGAATGGCGGCATGCTTGGAAGTCGTAAAGGCGTCAACCTTCCCAATGTTGAGGTGGATTTGCCTGCTCTCTCTGCCCGCGACAAGCGTGATCTTCAATTTGGTGTTGCTCAAGGTGTTGATATGGTCTTTGCTTCCTTCATTCGCAAGAGAGATGACTTGAAAGCTATTCGCGCAGAGCTTGGAGAAGCTGGCAAGAATATTCAGATTATCTCAAAGGTATGCATAATTACTCCCAAGGTGTATACGCCGAAACGTAAGCAACACAGCAGAGTATTCTGTTCTTTATTTTATTTATTTTTTTACAATTTGAAGATTGAGTGAGAGCAGTGTGAAGTGCAGTGTTACTTGACATTGAGTCGTTCATCCATCCACACCGCTGGTGCATTCTACTTTGAAGTATTTTATTGTAGTACCAAGACTCAAGAGTGTATACAGAGTGTGCAGCTCTGCGTGTGGGATTTCCGAAGGCAACACTCACATCGTGTGTTCAAAGTACGTTTTGTATTACTTACGACCAAGGCCAGCTTTCTCGCAGTCCAGATATCTGCCATCATCTTGTTGATGCCTAGCATAGACGGAGTGTTCACGTTGTATGCTCCCAGCTTGCTTTTAGTGCGCACTAAAAGCTGGGAGCGTACAACATCAACACTACACCGTATGATGTGAGTCGAGTTTTCGCCGTCGGTGGACCACATTGCAAGCCCATACAGAGGGGCACAGTCTTTGCAGTACTTTTATCGTACGTACACCGCAAAGTACTGCCACTGAGATCAAACTGAAGTTACGCATTGCTCAGCTCTAGCCTGTGGACTTCTTTTTACGAGTATTTGGCCAGCACCAGCAAGGTATTACCTTTTAATTTCATCTTGTTTGATGTACCATGTTGTCTGCTGTTGCCAGATCGAGAATCATGAAGGTGTAAAGAAGTTTGACGAAATCCTGAAGGCGAGCGACGGAATCATGGTGGCCCGTGGAGATTTGGGTATCGAGATTCCCACCGAGAAGGTCTTCCTGGCCCAGAAGATGATGATTGCACGGTGTAACACGGCTGGAAAGCCCGTCATCTGCGCCACCCAAGTGAGTTGTTTCATGACCGTGTACCCTTCGCTGTACAAATACAGCTTTTTGTTATAGTGCACCGCCAGTCAATTTTCAGCCTACCATCAGTGTGTTTTGTATGGGACAAACATGCGGTGATCATTGTACCTTCATGTCTTCCAGTGGCCGGGAACTTGACTGTGGCATGCGCTGTATGCTTAGTGTTTTTTTTTTGTTTTGTTACGGTGTGCCCATTGATCAGATGTTGGAGAGCATGGTGTCGAAGCCTCGGCCCACGCGTGCAGAGACCAGCGACGTCGCCAATGCTGTTTTAGATGGTGCCGATTGTGTAATGTTGAGCGGAGAGACCGCTAAGGGAAAGTAAGCAGAGATGCTTTTGCTGGCCTGGTGTCAAATGTCTTAGTTTTTAATACTTTTTATGCAGTGCAGTGAGCTCGCTCAACTCCACTGCTACTCGCTTGTTTCTCAGTTCTGAACTGTGACCGAAGTGCTGCGGTTTGGAGTTGAATGGGCTGAGTCCTTGCCTTAGTTTCTGGCGTGAAGCTGCGTGATTGGGCTCTCAGATACTTTGCTAATGTGCATGATGTGTCTGCCTTTCATGCATGTGTTGTGAGTGGAATTGTGGTGTGTTGCACACAGCCTACACGAGTTCTTGTTTTGCCATCGGTTCTGTACTCTTGCACAGATACCCAGTGGAGGCTGTTGACGTTATGCATCGCATTTGCCGTGAAGCAGAGGCGGCCATTTTCCACCGTCAGCTGTTCGAATCGCTGCGCTATGCGTCTTTCGAGATTCTGCCGACAGTCACCACCATGGCTGTCGCTGCCGTTGATGCAGCGTTCGCACACAACGCTGGTGCTATCATTGTTCTGACCACCACCGGCACGTATGTTTGCTGAATGCGCCTTTCTCTAGTCATTCCTGTACTTTGCACCTGCGAACAGTATTTAGATTTACTATAGTTACACAGGTGTAGCGTTATGCTGTCTGATGATCTGCCAGTGCATGGAACGTGAACTTACAGCACAAACGGCTTCTCGACTCCTGTAGCTGTATACTAGTACACCGCTCCGCACTCTGATGCATTGGGCACTCTTTTGGAGCTGGCCGACTGGCCCCGATTGAACGTACCTATTTACATGGGAGTGATGGGGAATGATCCCGCCGCTGGCTCCTTAACATGTACATGTCCTTGTTGGCATGCCGCCGTGATCACCACTATTCCCCGTGTTGTATGGTGATTTCACAGTGTGCATGAAACGCGGCGTAGCAACACCCTACTAGCCTTGGTCCACTGTTTAATTGTATACATGTATATGTACAGAAGAAGGTGCGTGTACATGCGAATAAGGTGGATCTGCTACGAACGTGCGTGTTACCTGCACTGAAACGTAGCTGTGCAGAACTGACTGACATCTTGCTTTTTGCACTGTGTTTGCTGCTACCATACTCACTGTATTGCACGTGCAAGGAGTGTTTACACTTGCAGTGCCGTGTCACATTTGTTTGACAATGCGGCTTTCTCCCTGTGTGCTCTCTTGCTTAGATCTGCCCGCGTTGTGGCAAAGTACCGTCCTAACTGCCCGGTTTTGTCTGTTACTCGTGATGCCATGACCGCACGCCAAGTAAGTGACCAGATTTCTATCCGATTCGGCTGTGTGACATGTGCCACATCATGACCTGTAGCAGTTGTGTCATTCTGCGTGGCAGTTTGTAAGCTACGTGTGCATGTAACTGCACTGCAATGTCCACCAGTCAATGTTCTACTTATCCTGTCATGTTATGTCACACACGTGTATATGGAAGTATACATGACACTACATGTCACACTTCCTTGCCGTGCCTGCTGCCCTTCTTTTCTTTGTCATGCGACCTTGATATGGATGAGCTACGGTCATGTGACCTTGATATGGATGAGCTGCGGTCATGTGACCTTGATAAGGATGAGCTATGGTCATGTGACCTTGATATGGATGAGCTAGGGACTGGTTATAGTAACGTTGATGTACGTCGATGTACTTGTAGAATACCTGTAAAATCTTGAACAGATATTTGGACTGAATGTGTGCTTGTATTCGTTGCCTTGTGCCAAGAGTAGATACACAAGAGTGTGCAACTCGTGGCTGGGTTGGCCCACGGCGGAATTTTTTGACGACGTAACCTTTTCTACGACGCACGCGCTGCGAGTCTTTTGGGAAGTCTGGCCTTGTGCACTTGGCCGGGCTTTACATTACAAGGTCGGTGCCCAGCATGTGCTCTCACACTGCAAAATGCGTGTGCGGTGACGTCAACAAGAATTTTTTTGGGGTCGGACTTGCGTCGATCCGTCGACGCGGTCCACCACGGACACACTTTCCCTACTCACGATGTCACACTATGGCGTGCGACACGGATTTCGCCGTCCCAGATCTGATCAGTGAAGTTGCGCACTCTGGGGGATTATGGACTCTCGGTATTACAACCTGTGGTTACAGTCTCTCCCACATTGCCGGTATTACTACCTGGATTTGAAAGTTGCCGTCTCCCACATTGCCAATGGCCTTCTAACGCGACCTCATACACACGCCAACTCCCAACAACCCACGACGAGCTGGTTTACTGATATTCGGTACAGGTCTACCGCCGTTAGTAGACAACCCGCGGCGGTTTCAAAATACTTGTCTTATAATGAGTATTAGGGAGGTTTCGCTCTATGGAATTACGTATGAAAATAACGTAGGAACTGCATGGAATTTTCATACGTAAAAATCAGAGCTGTTGGGTTTCGCTCTACGTGATTTCTCCACAACTGCTAAACATGCGTTGTTGCTTTGGAGACGCGTTGGCTGCATGCGCCCACCTCATGCACCATGAACCGAAACCGCGTTTTTCATTTTATTTTGCACGTGCTGTACGGTGTGTGCACCTTGTGTTTCGCGCGGCTTGAACGTTGCCATGGACAAATGCGAAAAATATTTCACAAAAAGTCCTACGGAGGACCCAAAGTAGGAAAGAGCTTTCCTACGTAATTACGTAGAGCGAAACCTCCCTATTATCTACTATCCGGGCTTGCATGTATGACTGCTACATGCGGTTCAGGTGTCGGGGAATTTTGGATCGGTGTCTGCTAATGAGGTTCGTCTTGTAATCGACACCGTACCAACAAGGGTAGACCTGGCCATGCTGGGAGTTGGCGTGTATGTGGAATGTCAGCTTAAAAGCTTGCTGACAGCGTGGGAGGCTGCAAACTTCGAATACTGCTAATATAGTGCTGCTGCTGCTGGTCACAAATTTAATTTCGTATGTTGCTTCTGTGTTTGGCCTGGCACAGCTTCATTTGAACCGTGGCTGCTTCACCCTGCTCTACAAAGAGGATATCGTAGAGCCATGGGAGGCTGACATGCGCAACCGTATCTCGTGGGCTATGGAGCGCGGCAAGGAGATTGGCTTTCTGCGTCCAGGAATGTCTGTTGTTCTCCTAACCGGCTGGAAGGCCGGGCTCGGCCATACCAACACCATGCGCATTCTCAGTGTCGCATAAGCGCATGAATGCACTGAACGGCTGAACAGGTGAGCGCAGCGCTGGCTGGACTGTGTGAGGCGGCGGCGCCATCAGCAGCAGCATCCCTTGTACCCGGTTTTGGCTTGCCGTGCCATGTCGCCTCCGATGTGGAGTGGCGGTGTGGCGGCGTGTAGCTGTCAGATACCCACCACTGGTATACATGTTGATGTGGACATAGCCAGGGAGACTGCGTTCAAAACAAACTTGTCACTAGTACCCTGGCTGCTGCTGCTGCTGCTGCATGGGGGTCTGTTGTCGGAACAGTGTCGTTCTTGTCCTCAGTCTTGTTCTTGTCAATGTCACTATAGCCACACCGACACACATTATGCACGTCTGATGTATCGATTACTGTGAGTAGTCCCTGGTGCACATAGTACGTGTTTTCTATTCTCTTCCGTTCTCGGTTACTAGTACTAGACTACTAGTACACTGTTGCTGCTTGGTTCCCATACACATCACTGGTTTCTGAGCGCATATATATATTCCTTGTTTCCGGCCGTACGACATGAGATGACGGTGTCAGCTCCTATTTGCATAGCCACATCATCCTGACTGTACTTTACTGGTCGTGTCATGATTATTGCATTTCACATCGATACTGCACGGCCACATGTTCCAGTCATCAGTGTGTGTGTGTGTGCGTGTGTGTGTGTGTGCGTGCGTGCGTGTGTGCCAGTTAGTTCGGTTGGTGGGTACACTTATGCCAGGTAGTGTTGGGTGTGTTGCCAACTGGCTCGGCTTCTTGAGGGCGTATTGACTATTGTAAATGTTGCACCTGCCACCTTTGTTGGTTTCAGGGTTCATACTTTCTATTTTGAAGTACATACCAAAGAGAGCCAGTCAGGCAGGGAGACATTCACGGGCACACCTATGGCGAGATATGTCCTGAGCATGTCAGAAGCGTTGATTACAAAGCGGACAGTGATGTAGGTAATAGTGGTGCGACATAATCCAGACGCAGAATGAAAGCAGCTAGTGATGACAGTAGACATATCTGGCATTCGAGGGATTCTGTCTGGTCTGGTTGTCTACGCTGTTGACATTGCGAAGGCTGGACGGGTGGCTGTTGTGGCTGCAGTGGTAAACAACGGTGTACGAGTCGTACATTCCAACCGCCTTCGAAACCACACCGGGCATTGCCAAGTGGACACTGGGCTAAGCCACGTTGTACTAGGCTTTTGCCATCTTCAAATTCTTTGGGCATGCCACTTTTCTATGTAGAACGTGCGCAATTGCGCCACTTTACCCTATAAATATACTCATTCCGGTATTATTTTCATGCTGTCAAACCAACAACATGTCATTCCTTTATCTAGCTATAATTTATTATAGGCAAGAGGTGTTTATAATACTCTTGTTATAGGTTAGTACATGGGGGGGGGGGGGCCTTATGGCTTGTTACTAATGTTAGCGCCTAACCTGAAGGGCACAAACAAGCCATACGGCCCTCCCTGGCATGCACTAACTATTTTAGGACGAGGTTACATGCATTATCTCACTTGCATTATGCTTGTGTACCCATTATATTCGGTAGTTTTGTGGTTTGTGTTCAGAGAGAATTGGTGTGGTATGATAGAATATTGTCTTCTGGTAACTCACCACCACTGAGGACTACTAAAAGTAGAATAGAAGCAAATGAAATGCTGGGCTCTTATTGCGACCTTCATTCTTATTCGTAGCTTGTGGAGCTATTTAGGACCTAGGGGCTTCGAGAGCCACTTTTTGATACCTACGTGTATGACTTTGATCTTCTATTTTTATAGGGCTCAGCCAGCTAGCTGTTGAGAAAGGAAAATCGTACAGATGAAAGAGTACGGGAGGCAAAGACCATACAAAGACGATACATAGTCACTTCTGAAATGGGTAGCTTTTAGTAGTTGGTTGTCAAGGCCGGGAAGCTGAGGACGCCTTTGCAGGGACTGGTGTGCACATTACCACCGACGGCCACCGGTTTCTAGGTGCTGCACTCGGATCGACGGAGTTTGCCCACAGCTATGTTTCCCAGAAGGCAAGCGAGTGGAAAGACGAGATCGTGCCCTTGGCCAGGGTTTGCCGAAACCCAGCCACAGGCTGCCTATGCAGCATTCACGCAAGGCTTAAAGCATCGCTGGTCCTTCCTTTGCAGAGTCATGGAGTGTGCTGCTGCAAATCTTGCCCCGCTGGAAGACACCATCACCAATGTCCTCATTCCTGCCCTGTGCGGTAAGCCATGCAGTAAACCCACCGGGCCACGTGAGCGAAGGGTCCTTGCTTGCCCATGCCGTGAAGGAGGCCTCGGCTTAGTCGACCCCACCACCTTGGGCGACCAGTTCCGGGCATCGGCAGCGATAACCTTGGCGCTCGTCCGCAAAATTCTGGACCAGGACACCCAGATTGGCAATGTGCTGGACCTGGTACGGTCCACTAAGAGGGAGGTGGCAAGTCGTACCCGCACTTCAATGGCCCAAGCAGCCAAAGAGTTCATCCTGACGCAGAACACTGATATCCAGTTCTGTGTCGGTCTGGCGGCGGAGAAGGGTGCGTCGGCTTGGCTGACCTGTAGACCCCTGAAGGCCCATGGCTTTGCCCTCTCGAAGGGTGAGTTCCGGGATGGCCTTGCGCTCCGCTATGGCTGGCAGCCAGCCCACCTTCCATCGAGCTACCCGTGTGGCGCATCATTCACCGTCGCCCACGCCTTGTCGTGCTCTCTGGGTGGGTTTCCCTCACTGAGGCACAACGAGGTACGAGATGTAACGATGTAACGGCTGGTCTCCTCAAACGGGTCGCCAACAACGTCACCACTGAACCCCACCTGCAGCCGGTAACTGGGGAAGCATTCCGCTACCGCTCTGCCATAACGGACCCCCAGGCTAGGCTGGATATAGCAGCGAGTGGTGTCTGGGGTGAGCGTTTTGACCGCACTTTCTTCGACGTACGGGTATTTAACCCTTTCGCGGCTTCAAATCGCTCCACCTCAGTACCCTCCTGCTACCAGCGCCACGAACGGGAGAAACGCCGCTGCTATGAGGAGCGTGTTCGAGAGATCGAACATGCAACTTTTTCACCTCTCGTTCTCTCCTCAACAGGCGGCATGGGCAAGTCGGCAACAGCCTGCAAGCGGATTGCCGGGCTCCTGTCCGACAAGACGAAGGAGCCGTACAACAGAGTAATGGCGTGGATTCGCTGCCGACTTGGCTTTGCTCTGGTTCACTCCAGCATGGTTTGTTTGCGTGGTGCTCGGCGACGCCCCTTGCGTGTCAGTGATGTGGCGGATGCATCTGCTACCTTGGCCGTTGCCGAGGCCCGCTGTCCTGTATAAGGTATACTATAACTGACTGCAAGTGGTTCCTAAACCAGTTCCTATTCCTCATTGTTGCTTCTTTTTTCCCCTCTAGTTTTCTTTTACGGTATTATAATTTCACGGAGAAGGTGGAGAGCCCGAACGTGCGCAGTTTTATTTTTTTATTTTGCCATGGCGACCCCCGTAAGTCCAAATAAGAAACTGTTACCCCAATGCCTTGCTTTTTCACGCTAGTACTTATGACTTTCAGCTATGCAGAATGTATGCAAAAGTTGGGCGCCCATCGTCTGTTGCCTCAACCATTCATTCTATCGCGAACATGATCACCTATCCAATAGTCTATTATATTAATTATTCATATCTTTTTGCATCTTTCCCTCGAGTGGGTCTATTCACTCTATTGTTATTAGGCAATTGTCTGTTATAGTCACCACTATAAATAAAATCCAACCCAATCCGAGCCAATCCAATACTAGTAACTGGCAGGGCAGGGTTGGGCCCAGGGAGTCGTCAAATATATAAATACGGTATTTGACGACTCCCTGGTTGGGCCTTTTTCTTTCTTCTCGGATTGTAATTTCTTACCAGGCGTGGGCCATCCCCTGATTTCATAGGTGCCAAAAGTAAAAAAATCTTGACGATTTCGCAGAAAAAGAAAAGATAAGAAAAGCTTTTAGTAGTACAGTGCGTATCGCGGTTATTATTATTATTATTATTATTATTATTATGACGACTTTATTCACTCCCAAAGCAGAAAAAGAAAGCTTGAAAGGAGGCATGAAGCACAGCACCGGGATCCATATGACCCAAGGGTGAAGCACCAATCAATGAAGATAAAAGAAAATCCTGAACCAAATTTTGATAAACTTCATGAGAGAAAAATTCAAGTATACCAACTTCGATACTCACATAGAATCACAGTCATGTATAACAGAACTACTCAAGTAGTAAACACCAAGCATGCTGCACATGGGACACTCCAAGCAAGACAAACTCAGACGAGATAAAACGGCATGTGCAGAGAAAGACAATACATGACTGGGGGCATATGGCAGAAATTCACGCCTCTCGGCTCGTCACACAGCACATGATGCACCACAATCATAAAACACACAGACTGAGACACATCGAGACATTACGGGCAGGCTAACATAAGGTCAACCGACCGTTCCGACCATGCCACTCTCCCATCCATGACCAGTCACCGACCGCACAATTCTCAGGGTGCCCAGAATAGCACATTGCTGCAGCCGCTGGATCACGGACGCGTGGAGCCCAAGGCTTAAGATGTGGCTGCGGCTCGTTCCTGACACACCACCCAGAGCACCAATGATAACTGGAACAATAGTTATCTTTTTGTTCCAGATCCTCCTTATTATTATTATTATTATTATTATTATTATTATTATTATTATTATTATTATTATTATTATTATTCAAATAATCTACGTGGAGATAAAAGTTTAATAATAGCAATGAAAAGTATGAATGCCGCCGACATCACCACGCAACATGACAATTTGTTCAAGGTTTGGTTTTGTGTGTTTCCAAAATCGATTTTCACGTTCCGATCATCAGTGGAAATACGGAACTAAAGAGATCAAGGGAAAAACAAAGGTTAAAAATCCAAAGAAGTGTGACACATGACGGGTAACTTGTGGTAAGTTTTACAAAAAGTGAGAACTAAAATAAAGAGTAAGTGTGACAAACGGGCATGAACAGTGCAGAAACAACTCATGAACACGGGGTGCAAACTCACGAAAATAACCTAAGTGCTAAAACATGTTCTTTTTGCTTACACAAATCGGGCTTATGCGTACGAATACAAACAGCTTCAAGGACCTTCAACTGCTGGACATAACGGGCACGACACAGTACAGAGAAGTGGGAATCATCATACACACTCAAACAATCGGGACGAGATAACAAATGCAAATACACAGCTGACTTCTTACGAATTTCACCCTCATCAGCTCCATCACCTTCCCTGCCACCTGACTCCTCCTCGTCCGTTTTATCACCATCACCACCAGCCGTCTCACCGTCATCCGCCTCGTCTTCATCCGCCGCCTCGTCATCACCCGCCTCGTCGTCATCTGTATCCTCGCCGTCATCCGCCTCGTCGTCATCTGTATTCTCGTCATCCGCCGCATCATCACCCCACTCATATTCACCACCAGTCAGTCGTCTGATACCATCCATGTTCTCCTTCCTACGTCTGTCCCGTGCCACTGTCCTTACCTCATCTACGTCCCGAGATTGTGTTCCGTTTTGCCCCCGGCTTCCGGTCTCCTTCGATGCTCCGCGTGGGCCTTG